AGTTATCTCTTCCTGCTTTTCGCTGGCATGGTGTTTTATCCGGAAGAGTCTTAATATCCTTGAAAATCTGTTTTTGTCTCAATGAATTGGAGGAATTTAAAAATTCACTGGCGTCTACAGATGAGTTGAATTTGAACAAGATCGGTGAGTGCATACCAGGATGACTTCTTTTTAATCTTGTGCATACACATGGTACGTGTGTCATATTGCTGGCTCTAAGCAGACTAGATTTGATATTTTTAAGGGCATGTGTATCCGGTATATTAAACACAATTGCATTACTAGATCGTCTTATTCTTTCAAATACTTCTGATGCAACACGATCTAGGAAAATATTTATGTCATTCATTTGATCTGGAGTCTCTGTGAGGTTGGGGTTGATGAGATATTTAAGCGGGTTGAGAATGTTCATGTCTACTTGCAACTTTTTTATAGCATCCATATGGTTGCAGTTGCGATTATCATCACTGTTTACCATCAGAGTTTTCAACATGTCTGGAATGGAGACAACTGGTAAAAGCTTGTCTGCTTCCAGATGAACGGAGTGGCTCGTCTCGTTGAAACTGTTGGAAATCGTGTCAGTAGTGGTGTTAAATTGTGTCGTTTTCCTACGTTTGGCTGGACGCCTAGAAGCAGGGGTCTTCATTTTCTTTTGTGGCATGATAAGAAAGTGACGTATAGCAAGTGGATTGAACAGAATGTTGGAAATAGAAAGGGGTGAAAAAAATCAATTCCGAGGGCTCAAGTTAGTCTAAAAATCAAAATCTATGTTTTAACCAAGGGTCAATGTATCGTGAGGATTAGTGGTGTTAAAAACAGATGACTATGGCAGGAAGATAGTAGTGGAGATGAAGTATTTATGTCAGTATCTGTGTGGAGGCAAGATAGAATATAAAGGAGCAAGTTGTATAAATTTTAACACATATGACATGAAAGATAGCCTTATATGGTAAAGTAATTTAGAAAGATACGGAATGGAAATATGAGTCCGCCTGATAACATGACACGATAAGAAAATGGTCAGACGTTTTAAGCATCCATCATAAGGTAGTTTGTAGAGACCCTTCATTAACGTTTTTCCTAAGCGTTGGACATGCCTGAGTGTGTCAGCATCCTTGCTAAGAAATAAAACAGCCACTTTCATGCAGTATTGTCGGTACAGTCCTACTTAAGCAGGGTATAAAGTCCGAAACACCTCATCAGTTTTTTAATGCTCAGCGAAGTGAACATAGCACGCGAAAACGTTTGGCCGCTGATGAGTTACAATGTGCAGTTGTTTTTAAGCCATGACTTACTTCTACTCCACATGGAGGAGGTGTACCGTTAACAGCAGACTAGTAACTATTGCCGTATCCGACATGCATTGACACACTCTAGAGTCACTTTGTAAGCCCTAAATTTGAGACCACCTGACAAATTCATCTAATTTGGCTTGGGGATCAGGATGATTAGCAACTCTATTTATTTTCACCCAGATTTCAACATCATCTGCAAACAGCAGTGACGACGCCTTAGGCAGTTTCGGTAATCCACTGATGTAAAGAAGGAAAAGTAGGGGACATTAGATGATACCTTGTGATACACCATTTTTGGTCGGTTTACATCCAGATAGTATCCCATTTACTCTCATGCTGTCTCCGGTCATAGAGGAAGTTTCTTATCTACTATTGTACGGGACATATTATTCTGAAGCTCGAGAGCTTCTGGATAAGATCTAAATTAGAAACTTCATCAAATGCTTTGCTAAAACCTCGGCAAACAAATCGTTATCTTGGGCTTCTGTCCAATCCTCTCTCGGAACGTGTAAGTTAGTTAGCTATGAGTGCTTATTTCAAAACTCCTGGTGCTCATGTGTCAGCAGATTGTATTATTGTATATGACTCAGAAGCTTAGCCTGAAATATTTTTTAAAGTAACCCAGCTATTACGCTGATTAGACTGACAGGTCAGTAGTTAAAAACGATCTACCTATTTCCATATCCAAATGGAAGACTATGTATAGCATCTTTTCGATTCCTGAGAACTTGAGTGTGGGAAAGGGACATTCTGAACAGCATCGTGAGTGGTCCTGAGATAGTGTCTGCGAGAAATCTCAGCAACTGTGGATGCAACTCATCAGGATCCGGTATCTCCCTAGATCTGAGGTTGAGGACCAATTGAAGAAGAGATTCCTCAGTCACATATACAGGTTGCATAGCTAATATCTCAATGATGAGGTTACAACATGTTTCGTTAATAAAACCCGTTGAGTAGATTTCGCTGAGATAGTTTGGTACAGTCTCAGCTTTGGCCAGAAATGATCCAGGCAATGTGTTTGAATTCTCGTGTGACAATAATGAAGGAATACTATCACTAAGCTTTGAGCTTTAGATGATGTTTTAGTAATGTACGACCATCATATATCAACTGTCATTCGAAAGTAGTGTGACACCTGGCCTTCGTCTTTTTACATATACACTGGATTTTTGGTATTTATACTTAAACTATTCGTGGCTTTTTGGCAAGGAAAAGTCCCAGAAGTGCGATCTGCACTTCAACAGAGTTCTAGTTTCCTAATCGATCCATGTAGGGCAATGTGATAGTCTACATGTTGACTATGGAATGAACGGTAGTATTACAGATTGGAATATGGTCTTAAACATATTACATTTGTTTTCGACAGACCCATCTACAAAGATCAACTAGTCTTTTGAGATGATACAGTCTCTGATTACCGAAATGTTAGCTCGTCAGATATTGGGATGGGTGGAACAAATACATACTACGTCATATGTAATCGAAACCTGATGTAAGGTACAAAACGTGATCACTGCTTACTAATGAGGGAAGGTGCTGAATGTCGATGACATCATCAGAGTGGTGTAAAGAAAAAGTCAAGTGTTGACAATTAGTATTTGTCGGTTTGGCGGCACATTGAACAAGCGCACACCAAATAATGGCTGACAGTAGGCCACTGTCAAAACACCCACTTGGGGTTGTAAGCCTATCCGGTTGATGTGCGGCGCCAACGATGCGAGAACGACCGGCCGTATTCCAAGAACAAATTGTAGGACAAGCTACTATGTTAAGGCTGTATAATAGACTCTAGTTTTCGGACAGGCCAAATTACCCATTCTTCTTGATTCGGGTTTTGACCTCGCTAATTATTCGCTTGTCGAATTTGACCGTTTTTATATGAGTGTATGTGTATGTACATTATATCCTACTCATAGCATGTCTGTAGCTTAATGTTGTGTGTCTATAAATATTGAATAACGCTTGATTAGATCGAGTTGGTTTAAATGCCTTCACTGCTAGTGCTTTCGTTTCGCTTCATCTCTCTGATTGTCTGTCTAGATCGGTGAGTGTACAAAATATATATATTCAGAAATACGCTCGCGTATTTGACTTATTTAATCCCGTTATTCATCAATGCGATAATTATATATGAGGATTGATGTTATGAGTATTTCAATAACAAACAATCAGAAACGATCCAAATGGAATCAGATATCAGGCCACTGAAGTGGTGAGCCCGTCGACGTCAGATCCAATTGGCTTAAAAACAATGGGCCACTAAAAGATATGACATAAAGTAAATTTGTTAGCAAGACAACGTGAACCATGGCATATTCCTCTCATAGCCACTATCCCATGTCTAGATTAAATTGCATAACAAGCTATCCCACATGTGTACCATAGTGCGTTTCTGATGCACACGATTTCACGCGAAGGTGATCTGTAATATGTAATATTATCCTTCTACGCTTATGATATACATTCTGAAGATTCTTCTCTATGTACATTTCTGGTAGCGGAACCCACTAACTCCAAATTATATGTGTCTTTTAGCAGGGTCATTTTCTTCTGGTTTTTCGAGGTTCGAAATACTAAAAGTAGGAATGTATTCAACTGCTGAAGCTCGTGTTTATAGCCTTCCACTGTGTTATAATTTTTTTCCAGTTAATCACTGTAAGTTTTCCTTTATTCATCCTTCTGGTTTTGGCTTTCAGACGAATCCACCCACTGATAATGTTGGATTTTCTTGTGAAAGAGTGTTGTTCTCTGTACATTTTATTGTTGTATTCGTCTCATCTGCAGTGTTTGGAATAAATGCACTTTCAGTGGGTGGTAATTTCTTTGTCCGGACGGTAAAAGACTTATTACTGTTACGCGCAACAATGATCTGAACAGGCTTTGTCTCCTGTTGGGGTGTTAAAATTTTTTGTCTAGACTTGTCCGTCAGATGCAAGAGCTGGACTAATGACACTGGCGACTAAACTTGTTTCTTCTTCATCTGCTGTCAGGCTCTATAAGTGGGTATCATCACTCTGTCACTTCTTCATCAAAATGAGAAGCTCCAGGGTCAAACTGGGAGAATCACTTTAGTAAGATAACGTGCTCTACATAACCATGATGAGACCGGTTTAAAACAACGCCTGTACACGGATGACGATAAATTGGTACACATGTTGTGAAGTCATTTCATGCGTTGGTCACACTGCATACGATCTTCGATGGGGAAGTGGCATAATGGTCGACTGTGTCGATGACTTTGAATCATCATTATAACCAGTACGATGTGGACGAAACAAGAAAAGTTCAAACAACTACAAAACCCGACTCAGAATAAAAGCATGATGAAAATGGGAAATCACGGATACATGGTAGCAAAATGCTTCAAATAGTGAAAGGTGAAGTAAAAAACTTGGAAAGACACTTCAGAAACCCAAACAACTCCGAAGACGTAATACGAGAGCTTAAAAGTAGTTCCTGACACGATAAACACAAGAAGAATCTATTGTCTTAACGCTTCCTTTTATCGAATCGCACGGCTCTCGTCTTCGTCATAACCAAGATCACATTACAAGTGCCCAAACGCAGATCTCAGGACGCAAAGGGTTTTTTAATTTTTCTCAGATGATTTTAAGCTGAGGTATAGACGATTTGAAAGTAAAATGTATTTCGCAGGACGTTTGAAGTTTTCGTCACCTGGTAACAAACTCTGGCATTTCTTCAAAAATGGACGGGCAGACATGTGAAGCACTTGGGTTCAGTCACACCAATATATATCAGAATGCCATTTCTTTACTAAAAAACATATGTATTTCTAAATCAAAACATAATGACCTCTTAAATAGATGCGACTGTTGACAGTGGAAACATTCAGTCAATTACAGAAAGTGAAGTTAATAATATCAAGTCCTTAATAAATGATTTAAGATCACTCGTAGGTTCATTTAGGTTTCTTAGACCTTTAGTAGCATAAAATGAGATGTTGCGCCCATCAGATTCTTGAAACGGAGTCCATCAAAACATCCGCTTTGAGGGTAAAGCTTCAGGAATTTAAAAAGCGAAAGGTAGAAGAAATTTTCGGTAAGACAAAGTTTTAATCCTACTATTCAAGCCTTAAAGACAAAAGAAATCTTGTGAGAATGCTGAATGAAAAGGAACTGAAGGACCTAGAGGATTCTCTGAACTCCATTAAAAGTACTTATGAGGAAAGTGAACAGGCACTTGAGGAACTTACTCGCATACTGAATTTATTAAGGTCAGATATTGATTGAATCTTAGCTCATCATATGTCAAAATCACTGACCTGGAATTTCTAATTGGTTCACATATTAGTTTGTCTTGTAGTAGTATAAAGCCCGGAGAACTATGAAATCCTACAGCTCATATCCATCCAGTTCATACTCCAAAGTACTTTTGACACAAACGTCGGAGCAAAAGGGTTTTTTAGGCGTCTAATTTGTACCCCACTATAGCCCATTTAGCGAGCTTCTGCCCTTCTCAAGATTGTGGTGGACAAGATATATGACTTCAGAAATAATCAGTCTTCTGTGATAAGGATAGGAGGTCTATCGATCTATATTAATCGTTGCAGTTTTTCACACCGTGGAGGTCCAATCTCGTTTTAAATATATCAGCAGAAGGTGCTGATATTACGTGTTCCGGTAGAGAGTTCCAGTAATTCACTACTTGGTGCGAGAAACGAAACTCCAGGCGTAAACGATTTGATCTCGGTTTTTGAACTTTCTTCGAATGTCCTCTCAAATGATCGATCCTAGACGGAAGCAAGAGGTGATACATGTTAATATCAAGGTCATCGTTCAGTATACGATAAGCCAATATTAGATCACCCCGTATTCTACGTTAAGATAACGGAAATAAGTTAAGGTGTCTCAGTCTGTCTTCATAAGATAGGTCAGATAGACCTTGTACCATCTTAGTACCTCGTCTTTGAACTCTTTCCGGCATATCTGCTTCGTACTTGAAACAGAAACACGCTGCTTGAATCCCGTATTCTAAATCGGGTATAGTAATCAAAACATTTCATCGTCTAAATACTGGAAAGACCTACGAATCGACCATAATACCCTATAGCCTTTCGCAGTAGCAGCTTTACAGTGACTAGTGGTTTTGAGATCATTGCTTAATATGACTCCTAAATCTTTATAGTTTCTTACTTTGGGTAGCACGAATCCACGTAGTGTATAGTGATACGATTCATCAGAGTTATTTAACTGCATCACTACACTCTTATTAGGATTTACTTCTAGTGACCACATGTCCAACCATGCCACCAATCAGCTAAGATCATCCTGTAATACTATTCTACCTGACATACTGTGTATGGGTCTCCAAATCTTTATGTCATCAGAGAAGAGTAGAATGGCTGATTTTGTTACAGTTGGCAATTCACTTACATAAAGCAAAAAAAGAAGAAGACCGAGGAATGTACCTTGGGGAACTTCACTTTTTACAGGCACCCACGAGAAGAGAGCTCTGTCAAACCCTGCTCTTTGTCTCTTGTCATGAAGAAAGTTACTTATCTACCTATGGCTGTAAAATTGATTCCAAAACGTTCCATTTTGAATTTAAGACCAGAGTGGGAAACCTTATCGAAGGTCTTGCTTAGATTTATGAAAATCACATCCACAGGAACATTCCAATCTTTTGCAGCAGTCCAATCTTCTTTTGCGATGAAAAGATTTGTCGGGCAAGATAGGCCTTTCCGAAAACCATGTTGCGCCCTGGAGAAAAGATTATGCCCTTCAACATAGTTTAGAACGGATATCCGAATGATTTTCTCCATCAGTTTTACAACTGCACTAGTTAAGCTAACGGGTCTATGGTTACTTACTAAATCCTACTCTCAGCCCTATACACCGAACTTATTATAGCGTCTTTTCAGTCTCTGGGCAGTCTGGACTGTCTCAGAGACATGTCAAACAGTATCGCTAAAGGTTCAGCAATTACATCTGATATGGCTTTCATAATCCTAGGATGAATATCATCAGGACCACTCGACTTATCAGGTTTGAGATGTTGAACTATCCTTAAGACAGGGTCCATCAGCGAGCCGTCACAATCACAATGAATCGTTGGTCGTTCTTCATTACTGACAGAAAACACTTTGCTGAAATATTCCTATAAAGCTTCAGGTTTTTTGGTATCATTTCTTGCCAAGATTAATGGATATTCTTGTAGCAAAGGTGGTGGAATTCCATCGCTTCTCTGAGTTTGCCTTTTTATATACGGGAATAACCGTTTCAGACTATATCTAGAATTCCTAACCAATTGTTTTTCATATGATCGTCTGGTCTTACTTATTAACGCTTTACAAGCATTGCTAATCTTACAATAACTGGATCTGTATTGTTCTAAACCAGTGTAGATAAACATATTCCAGTACTTTTTCCTTTTTCTAAGAAGTTTTCTGACGGGTTTAGTTATCTATGGTGGACTTTATCCGGTCTACGCGGTATCAGGTATGGTATGAGCGAGGATGTAACTAAACTAAGCTTGCTTTTAAATACAGACCATGCTTCTTCAACTGATAAGCTAGTATCTACAGACCAATCAGTCTTAGCAACGCACTTCTGGATGGCTGATATGTTAGCTTTCCATACATTTGGGCGGGGTGTAACCTGATCGTATATCATGGCTCTAGTTCTAAACGTGAATGATAAAACAGAGTGATCGCTATTCGCTAACGGTGGAAGAATATTTAGGTCGACAGTATTGTCAATCTCATGAGTGATTACCAAGTCTAACAGGGAAGAACCTTGGTTTGCACCAAAACGTGTGGGTTTGGATAGATGCTGTACTAACGCATGCTTCATTATTGTTATCAGGAACCTACTATCAAATGAGTTTATATATTCCTCCGTGGTCATCACAGTCCAACTAATATCAGGTGTATTAAAGTCTCCTGATATCAAGCATCTGTTATTTGCACTCTATAGCTGGAGTGCTCCAAAATAAAGTCATCAGCTAAGCCAATTCGGATGCGATAAATGGTACCGAGTATAAGATTATTAAAGAAAAAGATCAGAGGCATCTGACGATATGCCGAAATATAAAATATGCTCAAGGAAAAAATATGAGACGTTACCTAAATTTTAGCAGAAGGCGTGTTCGGGTTCGTCTTTTGAGCTCGTGATCCACAATTATAAGTAGTCAATCTTCCAAAGTATGATCAATATAATTATAGATATGTATCTAGATTCATCAAGCAATGGGGATACCAATGTGATTTGTAAACACAGACGATGAATATGCTAGTGTCCTATTATCGTGATAGCTGATAAATGGGAACGAGAAGCATGTGTGTTCAATAGTGTTTTTGTGAGTGATAAACAATGTATCGTTTCTGTACTATATCATTATATGCAATCTTTCTTTTATATATTACCACCATTGACTTTACTGCTCCTATGAATTCGGTGTTCATGTTGATGATTTGAATATTTTATCATGTTACATCCAGTTTGTTTGCATTCCGATGTCCGTTAATCTTGACACATATGTTTCAACTGCAGGGTATTGTGTCCAAACTCATCTATAACCTTTAAGCACTTCTCTTTTGTAGATATTTTTGGTAAGGGAAATATGCCAGCTACCACTCTTGTTAACAATTATATACTGAAGTATGCACTAAGCTAGTTTTTTAAGCATTCCAGCTTGTGGTATGTATTGAAACAGGTTCAAAGTTGATATAATTTGATGAATAAATAGTATCTCAAAGTGGATGAGTTGTTGTCAAAGTGGTTCGAGCCTTAGAAACAACAAAATGTATTTCTTAAAATGTATGGTGGAGTCATACTAATTTGCCCTAAATTCCAAACACTTCAATGTCGGACCTATTCATCTTCTCAATATACATGACTTGTTAGTAACACTTTTCATAGTTACGCGAAGTATATTCAATCGAACGTTCTCTATGAGTTTCAGAAATTCGATTGAAGATAAGGGTTTTCAGGCTGAAAACTAAAGTTTAACTAACGTTCATATCTATCTTTCAGATTCATTTATCATTGGCTGTTTTGATTTTTATATTCCACTTCTACTGGCTTCATATTTGACCTCCGTTACTTTTCTAATTTAAACTGTCATGACAATAATTTATCGGATTTTTATATCATTCATTCATTTAATAATTGAATTCATGAGTCGATTGAAAACCTGGAAGCAATGGACGACTCTTTCGTCCTATTCACAGACTCATCACTAGCGTGCATCCACGACCCCTCTCACAGACTATGAACCCAGAACCTTTGGTCTTACACACGAACCTTTAACCTTAAGACTTCTGAACTGGTATCCAATAGTGCTAATGTTTAACTTCAATCGATTCATTAATTTTCAAACTTTTCTATTTAGACTTCATGAATTAAAGTCAAATGAAGAAAATAGTGTTACACTTGAAGCTTTAAATAACTGTTTAGATAATAAAGCAAATAAACAAATATTTTTGAATAAAAAAATTGAAGAAATTGAAATGACTGAATTGAAGGTAATTCGATGTTATTATTATTATTATTATTATTATTATTATTATTATTAGCGGCTTTATTCAATATTGTATTGTTGGTATAATATAGAATTTTCAGTAAAAAGTATTTCAACAAATTTCCGTTCCCTATTTCTTGACCGATCATGAAGATAAATATTGAGTGATCGCCAGTTAGATGTTAACAGTCCAGGAATCATCGGCATCTGAATAATGTATATTCTTTTCGCTACATATTGCCAAAAACCATCATGTTTCTGATTAGGCTCTTTTGTAAATTGTACAAATGCACCTGAATAGTTTATGCGACTAATAGGCATGATGATATATTAAAACACAAAAAATTAGATAACTTGTTGAAATATGTAGATAACAGGAACAGATAGCTCAGTTATTCAAGCAGGCCTCCATTATTCAACTTTTGTAAACAGATACCATTTTAAGCAAAGATGGATGATGACTAGCAGTGGAATCCAGTTTGACGCATGTTTCGTCCTATTTGGGACTTGTCAGCTGGATGTACCTGCATCTCAGAGTTGATGTGCACTCTGCGACTCGAACTCAGTACCGTTCGCTTCAAACGCTATCGCGTTATCCACTTAGCTACTGAGTCCTGATAGCCACTTGCTTGTGCGATGGAGTGAAGTTTAAATTTACTCCGTAGTGTTTGTTTGAATCTTCCCATTGATTTTTAGGACTGCAATTGATCAGTCTCATGTTGGCATATGTGCAACCTATGCGGATCGCCTCGATATAGCCTTAATTGATAGGACTTAGTAGCTCAATGGAGAACGCGATAGCGTTTGAAGCGAACGGTACTGGATTCGAGTCCCGGAGTACAAATAAACTCTGGGATGCAGGTACACCCTGCTGACGAGTCTCAAATAGGACAAAACGCGCGTCCTGGATTGCACTGCTAGCCACTATCCATCTTTGTTTAGTCTTCTTTTGTTAATATTTACATTTCAATGATTAGTAATTATAAATAGATCTGTTATCTGAAAAAAAACATTACTTTTGGACAGGTGAAAGAAACTCAAAAGATGTTGGACGATTTAAATGCAGAAATAACAGAAGAACGTAGAAATGCAGTAAGAAAAGTTATCAAATTGGAAGAAGAAACGGTAAACATTGTCTTTTTAATTTTGTTTGACCATATTTACTACTTACTAGTTTTAAAGTAACTAGATTATATTAGAAAAGAAATGTAACATATATAAGTAAGCCGAACATTCCTGAAGTCAAAATGAAGTGATTATTTGATACTGATGATATAACTTTTAGTAATTTTTACCGAGCAGTTTATTTATACATACGGAGGAACTTCGAGTTTACTCAAACTTTGAAGTGGGTTATTTCACTCACTAATAAAGGGATTCAAAAAAATTAGAGAACGTGATATTTGAAACCAGAGTGTTTGTTTTACCATCAAACTGATGATACTTTATTCTTTTAAATATTCCTACTGAAATATTGGCATTACACTATAAAGAAAGTACACTTAAGCAGATTGTGTGATTTCTCTGTTTTTTTTCTATTTCACAGAGTAGAATTTGTTCCTAATGTTCAGTATTTAGTGTATGTGATCTAAATTGACGAGAGTTATTCTATAGTTTGTTAATTACTTACTTACGCCTGTTACTCCTCGTGAAGGAACATAGGCCGCTCACCAGCATTCCCCATCCAACCTTGTCCTGAACAATCCTTTCCAGCCCCTTCCAGTTCTTATTCATCCTTTTCATATCTGATTCCATTTCTCGACTTAATGTGTTCTTTAGCCTTCCGCTTCTCCACTTTCCTTCAGGATTCCAAGTTAGGGCTTGCCTCCTAATTCAGTTTGATGGGCTGCGTAATGTATGTCCTATCCATTTCCATAGTCTTTTCCTAATTTCTTCTTCATCTGGAAGCTGGTTTGTTCTCTCCCACAAAAGGCTGTTGCTGATGGTATCCGGCTAATAGATGTTGAGTATTTTGTGTAGACAGCTATTTATAAATACTTGTACTTTCTTGATGATGGCTGTTGTAGTTCTCCAAGTTTCAGCTCCGTACTTTGGAACTGTCTTGACGTTTGTATTGAAGATTGTGACTTTGATATTGGTTGAAAGTTGTTTTGAGTTCCATATGTTCTTCAATTGTAGGAATGCGACCCTTAATTTGCCGATCCTCGCCTTTACGTCTGCATCTGATCCCCCTTGTTAATCGATGATGCTTCCCAGGTATGTGAAGGATTCTACATCTTCCAGAGTTTCGCCATCAGGTGTGATTGGATTGCTGTTCTCCGTGTTTTACTTGAGGACCTTGGTTTTCTCCTTGTATATGTTGAGGCCTACTGATGTAGAGGCTGCTGCTACACGAGTTGTCTTCATCTGCATTAGTTAGTGTGTATACGATAGGAGGACTAGGTCATATGCGAAGTCCAAATCATCTAAACGGTTCTGAGCCGTCCATTGTATTCCGTGTTTTCCCTCAGATGTCGAGGTCTTCATAATCCAGTCGACCACCAGAAGAAAGAGGAAGGGAGAGAGTAAACAGCCTTGTCTGACTCCGGTCCTTACTAGGAGTGCATCTGTCAGCTGTCCTCCATGCACGACTTTGCATTGTAGTCCGTCCTATGAGTTCCGGATAATATTGACAATCTTCTCAGGAACTCTGTAGTGTCGAAGAACTTTCCATAACGTCCTCCTATCTACACTGTCAAATGCCTTTTCATAATCAATGAAGTCGATGTATAGTGATGAGTTCCACCCAACTGATTGTTCGACGATGATCCATAGTGTCGCGAATTGGTCTGTGCACAACCGATCCTTATGGAATCCAGCCTGTCGATCTCGAAGTTGGACGTCTACTAAGTCTTTCATCCGGTTCAGTAACACTCTGTTGAAGACCTTCCCTGGTATTGATAGTAGTGTAATGCCTCTGTAGTTTTCACATTTGCTCAGATCTCCTTTCTTTGGAATCTTGACGAGGTGTCCTTCTTTCCAGTCCATCGGCACTTGTTCCTCCTCCCAAATCTTTTTGAATAGAAGATAAAGCATGCTTGTGGTTGCTTCGATGTCTGATTTCAGTGCTTCAGCTGGTATGTTGTCGGGTCCCGCTGCTTTCCCGTTCTTGATTTGTCTGACGGCCATTCTAATTTCTTCCGTAGTTGGTGGATTGACATCTATAGGAAGATCTGTGTGTGATGCTTCGATGTTCGGTGGATTCATTGGAGCCGGCCTATTCAGGAGCTCTTCGAAGTATTCTACCCATCTGTTACGCTGTTGTTGAATTTCGGTGATTGGCTTGCCTTCTTTGTCTTTGACCGGTCTCTCTGGTTTACTGTATTTCCCTGATAGTTTCTTCGTTGTATCGTGAAGCTGTTTCATATTTCCTTCTCTTGCAGCTTTTTTCGGCGTCGTTGCTAGTTCTTCCACATATTTCTGCTTATCAGCTCTAATGCTCTTCGTCAGTTGTTTGTTTGCTTCTGTGTATACGGTGTATGCCTTGACATCATCTGCTCTTGTCCAGCTGTTATTAATTGCAGTCTTCTTGTTCTTCCTTCCTTTGATTTAGTCCAGTGTTTCTATAGAGATCCATTCCTTATGATGGTGCTTCTTTATTATGATGTGATGATCTGAAGCTATGTCAGCTCCTCTCCTGGTTCTCACATCTTCAATTGTCCTTCGGAATTTTTTATTGATGCGAATATGATCTATCTGGTTCTCTGTGTTGTGGTCCTCAAGCTAATTTATAATCCTCATTTAGCCCTAGTATGTAGGTGGACATTCTCAAGTTCTCTTTAGCTTCGCTCAAAGGTCGTCCATAAATTAGTGTCACCAAGATTATATTCCGTGATATATTTTTTTATTTTTAGAAAGATGACCACATGTTCTTTGGTTTCCATTTAGTTAGATCAAAAGTCTAACCTTTATATAATTTCACTAATTTGAGAATTAACATTTTTCATGGACTACTCTAAAGATGATGGAGAAGATTTGTAGCTCAGGTGGATGATTTTGATGGAGTTCCTGTTCTCTGAGCTGAATGGTTTAGTCACGAAGCTTTCACCTTTCTTCTGGACGAAAACATCAACACCATCCAGCTCAGAGAACGAAACTCCATCAAAAACAGGATTATCTTTAAAGATTGCATTTTATTAAGGTGTAATTTTGTTTGTTTTTTTTATTTACAGAAAAAACTGAAAAAAGCACTCAGTGTTCAACATGAAAAAAACAGAACATTAGAAATGTAGGTGAACGTCTAATAGATTTTGTTAAAGATGATGGTAAAGATTTGTAGCTAAGATGGATGATTTCGATGGAGTTTTGTTTTCTAAGTTGGATGGTTTGATCGTGGAGTTTTCATCGTTCTTCCGAACAACATCGTCAGTACAAAATTTAAGTAGAATTGAAGTGTTCGAATTTCTCCACAAATGACTTACAGCTTGTTCTGTAGACCTCGATGTTGATTGGTTCTTGTCGACTTTAGACTTCTTTGCTTTGGTTGTATCTTCGATTGGTTTGATTTTTGTTCCTATGTTTGTGCATAATTTCCCTGATTGGATAATAAATTGGATCGATTTCATTGTGCTTGTTGATTGTTGATTGATGAGTCTCAAACATTTTAGATTGTTCTTCATTCAAGATATCAACACTTTTCCAGTCGAATGTGTGACCGCAGTTGTTCACGTGCATTGGTATGAGTGAGATGTCATGGTGTTTGACCTCTAACTGATGTTCATGCAGGAGAAGACAAATGATGCGTCCGCTTTGTACGACTGAAAAAATGTAGAAATCTTCGATGAAGGTAATTCTAAAAACACCAGATGATTTTTAAATGTTTGGCACTCAGATCAATCAGCAATCAACAAATACATTTAAATCGATCCAAAGTTATGGAAAAACTATAGGACCAAGAATCAAATCACTGGAACATACAACCAAGATAAAGAAGTAAACAATGACAGGTTAAATGTCAACAATAATAAATCGACATCGAGGTCTACAGGACAAGCTGTGAGCCATATGTGGAGAAGTTCGAACATTTCACTTCTACCTGAAGTGTGAGCTGATGAGATCGTTCAGAAGAACGATGCAAGCTCCACGACCAAACCATCCAGCTCAGAGAACAAAAACTCCATCAAAATATTTTTTTTAAACTTGGGAAGTGTACATTTTAATCCTGTTCATGGACTCACTCATTCGACTCGCACGCTCATTCACCTTCCCGCTTGCTTTTCGGCACGACTCTTTCATGCTTGTTTAACATACCTGTAATTTTGCTTATCTGTGCATGATGCAATAATAAACGTAATCAACACTTCGTATTCACCTTCTGATTAATACACCACTAGGGCATTATCTAGTGACGATTATTAGGACGAACTCTATACGAAGCTTAAGATTCTATTGAATATCAACCATTACAATCTACTTAACGTCTCCCACTTTAAATAATTAGCCTTATAAAAATCAAGCTCTTATTCTCTTGGTTCTCTATATCTGTAAACATTTTGAGTATTTGTGTAGCTACATTGATCAATGCTGTCATGATGATATTTATGCGTATCTTGTTTAATATACTCTGAAAAGAAGTTATTTAACTTAACAATGAAATGTTTGGAAGCGTAGATTGATGAATCTTGTATAATTTATTTATTTATTGGTACGAGAGGGCACCAAATATATATATATATAATGCTCCCAAATGCCCTGGTATGGCCAAAAGTGAGATAGGCCCTCTCTTCCTCTCGAAATGTTCTCACACTACCACGCGTATACAGCCTCTGCCAGGGAAGTCCTACTCACTGCCTTCTCGTGGCGGGGGTGTTGTTTACGAAAATGAGAGGACGAAAAGCGAATGTCCGGTGCTTTAACCGGATCCCAAACCAATGGTGCACATGGGCTCCAGTACCCTGAGGGAATAAATGGTGTATGGATCAATCGTTGGTCACCGGCTACCATGAGACTGCATCTTCGGACGATGCTCCATTGCCTTGTAGATCAGACTTTTAGGTCAAAGGCTCCGGGTATGGCCCCCTAAGATAACCACCTACTTCGGTCTGGGCACCCGGACAATATCGCAGCCCACACACAAATCAAATGAAAATGACAACATTTACTGAAAAATCTTGTATAATACTGATTAATATTATGGTTACTTTCTTCATCACCATCATCAGCTTCATTATAATCATTATTGTTCACTTCACAATTTTGTATTTTAATAGACCACATAAAGAAGTTAGTGAAGTATTACGTTGTAAAAGATTTGAAGAATTCTCATTATCAAATAGTGTTGATGAATTATACAATAACATTCATGAATGTAAAATACGAAAATCGTCTTTATTAAATACAATTCAAAAGAAAGAAATTGAAATTAAAGCAGCTGAAGAAAAACGGTTAGTTAATTGTGTGTAGTGATTGATACTATATCAAACTCATATGGGTTATTCTAGCTTCGAAACAGACCAATTTAAGATGAAATGGTCATCCAGTGCTTTCAGATTTCCAGTGGTGGTCTAGTTTCAATTGACTTATGATCTCAACCATTGAAATTATTCATACCTCTTGAGTCACATGTTGATCGGTAAAACTATCATTTATGGACGACCTTTTATTGACCTTGAAAGTGTTCACCTAATAACTAGGATCAAATAAAGGTTATAAACCAGTGTGACGAATTCGAACTATGATTTACAGTTGATGGTCAGGGTTATAAATTAGATTTACGGTTTTCATTACGAACTGACATCAGCTATAATACCAAAACTTTATTTAGCCAGATGGGTGAGTGAATTTCGCGCCAAAATTCGAGATCTGTCATCTTATACCTGATTTGTTCGTCCATAAATTACAGTCTCGTCTGTTAACCTTCTTAATTATTTGCTTATCAACTTTGAGTGTTTTTCTGTGAGCTTATGTGTGTACATTGCTTATCTCATTCATCATCTGTCTTTAATGTACTTTTACTTGACTATAAATATCGATTCAAAATTGATTAAATCGAGTTGGCTCACATGCCTTCTCTGATTTCGTTTCGTACTCACTTCTTTGCTTCGTTCCCCTGATTGTCTGTCTAGGTCAACAAGTGTACGTAATATACCGATTCAAACTCCATTCTCGTACTTGACTTATCTAATTCCGTTATACACTAAAGCGATTTAAGTCGATAATTATGTACAAGGGTTGGTGGTATGTATGTTTCGATAGAAATCATAGGATATAACTGGAGTCAGATATTGGGCCACAAAAGTTGATAGTACATTATTTCATCCTTACTACCCATTTACCTTTCTTATAGTTAACAACCCGGATTGATCTTTGTTAAACAGCTTCTGATGATCCAGAAGCAGTGGACGACAGTTTCTTCTTGTTCATGGACTCCTCGCCAATGCGTATCCACAGCTTTTCTATAGGAGATCAAGGCTTAGGTCCTTCGGTTCCACGCGCAAACGTCTGACCTTTAGATCAATGAGCCAGCATACAGTGGCTTACATGTTTAGCTTTGATGGATTTTCAATACCGAGCAACCATCTCCCAATATTACTTGATGGGTAACTGCCTCGTACTCGACATGGATTGACTCTACTGATCACGGTTTCTCACTAGGATTCCGGAATCACCTCTCGAAATTAGTCACTAGTGAGCACATGATCATTAATTACCATAGGGGATCTGTAGAGATTTCTATCTTTTTTTACAGTTAAAACTTAGGCCTGATCTTTGTTTGCATTTATGAGGGAGACCAATAGTCCTAGGATCAACCACTGGTGGTGGGATCACAGACTCATACTTCTGTGAAGTCTCATACTACGACGAAACAACTTTCTAGTATCACTTAATCTTAAACAGATCAGTCCGAAATGCTAACTATAAAAGTCCAAAGATCTACGTGAACTCCCTATCGTAATCAACCGATTAAAGTTTTAATTAATCTTGGATCAAAAATTTGTTGATGGATAGATATAAATACATGGAGTGTGTCAAAATTGGCTGATTGTTTTGTCGCTCACTCTACAATGGTGTCAAAACAGGTTGGGGTCATTCTTACGATGAATTGTTTTATATTGAGTCAGTTAAGTGTAGATGTAGTTGTGTGATAAACTGATAAAGTTAAAAAACCCCCCACCAATTTAGTTCCTTTTTCCTGATGTTAGATATCTGATGATAAACACTGAAACCATTAATCTCTGGATAACTAGTGGATTAGTTGAAGTTTGACATTAACATTGTTGGATGCTGGCTCAGTGATCTACAGGTGAAGCGTTCGTGCGTAAGACCGATAGGTTCTGGGTTCGAATCCCATGAGCGAGATCGTGGATGCTCACTAGTGAGGAGTCTCGTACTAGGACGAAACGGTTATCCAATGCGGTGATCTGCCGTTCATCGTTCACATGATCTTAGTAAAAAAAATTAGTTTAGGGTTTGACTCACTGAACTGTAATAGCTGACTCATTTTACTTCATTCATAGAATATTTAGTTCCATTGTCTAGTTAATGCACAGTTATTTCATTTCACTTTGATACCTATCAGCATTGAACATACCTGATTATACATAGGACTGAATAAAGAAATCCAAATATTCCTATCTTTTGACTGTTATCCAAACATTTCTAATCTGTGCTTAGAACAATCCTGAAAGAGATAGAAATTTCTATTAAGTAACCTTATTAAGATAAGATTTAAAGACTTACACTATCGAAATTTACACTGCAGCGGTAAGTAAATCCCCAAAATAAATAGCTCTGGAAGTTTTCGACATTGGATGCTGACCACATTATTTTTAATGGACTCGCCTAGCTGAGGGAGCTCGGTCATGCATCCGCACCAGATCACGAGTGAGAATGCCGTGCTCAAAAACTCCTGCAATCGCTAGTCAGATTAGATCAGACGATCCTCGATATATTGATAGCTTATCAAATATATCTTCGGACCTCCTCGCTTCTGTCTTTTGAGTTCACTTGGTGGGTATGATTCATATTACAAGGTGTTACTGGTTGAAGCGTTGTCAAACTCCGAATACCTGTGGCATCTTCAAAATCTTAAGTTTTTCTTCAAATCAACAAGATTACAAGAAACTTAAAAGAGGATAATCAGAATAATGGCATTCATTATAAATACAAAATATGTTCGATGTACTTTTGAAGGATTTTAAGTTGTAGTGGTAATTACGATAACATACAGCTACTGTAGTAAAATACAATCGTCCACACTTTCCACCATCTTTAAATTTGTAACAAATTACTTGTAATCGTTTAGTGTAATCACTGAGTAATTACCCTACTTTTAACTTCATTCACTACATGAATAACTATTAATCATTACTAACTCATTTACTAAGTGGGGTATAAATATAGATATGCATATCAATTGAAGTCTTGGATTTTTGTTTTAAAATGATATTTTCTTTGAACGATTGAATTACCCTAAAATATTTCATCGTAAATTAGTAGTTGAATCCATGAAACAACTGAAACTAGACCACCATGAAAAATCTGGAAGCACTGGAAGGCTGTTTAGTCCTAGTACGAGACTCCTCAAAAGTGCGCATCGAAGACCTTGCTCGCGGGATTCAAATTCAGAACCTATAGGTCTCGCATGCGAACGTTTAACCTGTAGACCATTTATCCGGCATGTAACGGTGTTAATGTCTAACTTTAACCAATTCACAAAATTGAGCCACCGTCCACCATTGTCTTCAGTGAGATACTGTTTCACAACAGACCCGGTTTAATTCCACTGGTCACTGCTTCTCATCAGAACTATAGAAAATCTATCTTGAAGCTAGTCACTAGTGAGCACATGATTCTTACCAGAATGAACAGGGATCGTGAATGCGCACTTCTGAAGAGTCCTATATTAGGACGAAGCAACCATCCAATGCTTTCAGATTCTCCATGGTGGTCTTTAGTTGTTTCATGAATTCAACTATTAAATTACTATAATCTTTACGGAACCCCAATCTAATTGTAAATAATTATTCTATTTCTTTCATTTAATTTCTATATTATTTCTATAACTGTTAAGTTATTTATTGATTTCAGTGATTTCATACAACAATCATTAAATAAAATGTTAGAAGAACATGAAGAAAGTTTAGAAAATATAAGAAAAGAATTGAAAAAAGTACGTTATAAATTCTTCTTCTTCCTCTTCTTCTTCCTCTTCTTCTTCTTCTTCTTCTTCTTCTTCTTCTTCTCCTTCTCCTTCTCCTCCTTCTCCTCTTCCTCCTCCCCCTCCTCCTCCTCCTTCTCCTCCTCCTTCTTCTTCTTCTTCTTCTTCTTCTTCTTCTTCTTCTTCTTATTATTATTATTATTATTATTATTATTATTGGCCTTATTTAATATTATAACTTTTGGTAAAATATAGAATTAATATCGGAAGGGGTTTTGGGGTATTATAGTAATTTTAATAGCTGAGATCATGAGTTAATTGAAACTAGACCACCATGGAAAACCTGGAAGTACTGGACGGCTATTTCGTTTTAGTAACTCACTGAAGACAATGATGGACGGTTGCTCAATTTTGTGAATTGGTTAAAGTTATACATCAACATGGTTAGATACCGGATCAGTGGTCTACAGTGTCCCCAGGTTTTCCACAGTGGTCTAGCTTCAAATGACTCATGATCTCAACTATTTAAATACAGAATTCTCAGCACAAATTAATTTCAACAAGTTTCCGTTCCTTACTTCTTAGTCGATCCTGAAGACAAGTATTGAGTGATCTCCAGTTAGATTCTAGCAGTTTAGGAATCGACATCTGACTAATGTTCATTATATTCAATGCATATTGCCAGCCATCACGATATCTCTGACTGTACTTTTTTGTAAGTTGTATCGAGAAAGGTCGTAAACTTTTCACAAACGCACCTGAATAGATCGTGCAATTAATTGACATAATGATCTGTTAAAACAAACTAGGAAACAGATAACCTGTCGATATATCTGGATAACAGGCGCAGGTAATCCAGATATTCAAGCAGGCCGCCTAGTTAATCCCAAAATAGTTTCCACATATATTTTTCTTAAAATAAAATAATCAGAATACATATATGATCGTGAATGCGCACTGCTGAGAAGTCTCGCACTAGGATGAAACGACCATCCAATGCTTTAAGGTTTTCCATAGTAGTGTAGCTTCGACTGACTCATGATCTCAACTACTGATATTACTATAATATCCATAAAACACCCCTTCTGACACATATGTTTGCTCAGTTTGAAAGCTGATCAAATACTGACTAATTTATGGTGAACTTCCATGAATTATTCACTAATCATATTCACTAATAACATTAATTAATCCACCTACTGATTCGGGGGTTTTCTGTTTTGACTTTCCATTATTTTATGATGAATGAGTATTTAAGGCATTGAAGGTTCCACTAATCATTTGGTCAAATAATTTTAGAATATTTGGATTATGATCAGCAGTGAATGACCACTACATCCTATTTAAGACTTATCATCTGTATTTATTCGAATCTTATAATTCACAATTCAAATATGATAAATAGGTAATGTCGAGGCATCTCTTACATGATTGTTCGAGAGATCCCGAAAACTCCTCGTAATAAGACAAGCAAGGCTTTGAAAACATTGAAAAACATCTTATCCAATCAGCGTTCAGTAGGAGTTTGTGAAAAGTCACATGTAAAGTTTCTGATTGACTGATTACTATACTGCTACTATGTTTAGTGGCATTCCAGAATTCTCGAGAAACCCAAGGACATCTAAAATACTATAAAAACATTAGATTTTCTGCACATAAACGATTCTTTGGAGTAAGGTATTTCTTGCATATTTCCCACCTTTTCTCTCGTGTTCAAGTTGTTGTGTAGATCTATGCCTGAGGGTTAATAGAAGAGCTTAGAAACTAAATCTAGCGTTCAATTAGAAAGACTTATCAATGATGCCTTACGTGTCAGCAAAGAATGATCGTAGGAATCTTCTACAAACCTTACATATAACTAACAATGTTCATTGGTTTAATAAAGCCAAACTTTGTGAATTTCGTTCCAAGTGTTTTGTTTACTTAGTTGTTATAAAGTAAATTTGATTTTGTTGTATTTCAAGTGATTCAAAACTGAAATGCTCTTCATAGTTTCCAAGAAAATTTTTGAACGGTTTCAATGTTTATCTTAAGATGTAAGACCAGGTTTGAAGCGGAGATATTCTTATCTACTACAACTCTATTAACTGAGTAGGTATGTATGGGAATGACTCAAAAATAGTCTTAGTGATGTTGATATATTCATTATTTATCGTATCTTAGATCTTAAGTTTAAATATACTTACATGGAGAAGATTTGTAGCTCAGGTGGATGATTTTGGTGGAGTTTTGTTCTTTGAGCTGGACGGTTTAGTTTTCGGAATGACATCATCAGCACAAACTTCAGGTAGAAGTGAAATGTTCTAATTTCTCCACATGTGGTTCACAGCTTGTCCTGTACACCTCGATGTTGATTAGATAGGACAAACTGTGAGCCACATGTAGAGAAATTCGAACATTTCACTTCTACCTGAAGTTTGTGATGATGATGTCGTTGACAAGTACAATGAAAGCTCTACGACCAAACCATCCAACTCAGAGAACAAAATTCTACCAAAATATACGTACATACATATCTTCATTTTGTTTCTTCTTTACAAATCATATTCTTTATACTTAGCCTTTTTTATTATCATTGTTATTTCCACTACATTGACTCTTTCATTGTTCATCTTGGTCTGTTGGAATGGTGTAACAACTTTGGTGGATGGATATTTATTCCATGCTCTGACCTTATGATAGTCAAAGGAATTCTTTTGTTTTTCATTTCGAATATAGTAATGGAACCAATATCTAAATATGGTGTATCGTAATTTAGTAAAAATGTAACATTTGTACATGAGTTCATAATTAGCATGCAATTACGCGAGGAAAATACATTAGGAAACTTGCGTATATTAATTTATTATGAAGATGAACGTGTAGTGGCTGGTCCTATGTCTAACCCACATCGCTTATTCTAGCTTCCAGACAAGCCAGTTTATCCATTCTTACCAAGCTACATTTTGACCATGTTAATTATTCGCTTATCACATTTAACTGTTTTTATATGAGAGTATGTGTGGGCACTGCATATCTCATTCATCATATGTCTGTAACCTATTTCTATCTGGCTATAAATATTGATTAACACTTGATTAAAGGGAGTCAGCTCATATGCCTTCTCTACTGTGCGTCTTTTCGTTTCTCTTCTTCACTTCATTTGCTGCGATTCTCTGATTGTCCGTTCCGACCAACGAGTGTACAAAATATACATATTCAAACATCCATTCACGTATTTGTTTTATTTAATTCTGTTATACACTAAAGCGGGTTAAGTCGATAATAATATACGAGAATAATTAGGATGTATATTTCAACAGCAATCATTCATTGGAGTCAGATCCCAGGTCACTAAAAACGTATTCAATAAGATGATTTAAAATATTAGGTATAGAAACTGTTATCCCATATACTGATCTTTGGATGGTGAAAATCAGTAATTAACCATTGAACATGAAGCAACAGATACTGTGGTGTGTGCTACTTATATTGACATAAGTAGTATAGGATGTTAGTCGTGAACAGAAGGTCTGGCAGCAGAGAGACAAGAGGATCAAACAGTAAAGAATGAAAACAGAATGCAATTTGTATAAAAATGCAAGAACAATGAAGTCTGAGTCATTTTGCAAATTCAGTATTTACTTTATGATTGTTAGATTTTATTAACAAGTCTTGTAATTTTGTGTTAAATACATTCGATTGTTCCCTACTGGTGTTCGTGTTCACTACAATACAATTTAGTAACTATTGAAGGAGAGATTTCTTTTCTATCACAGACTGCTTGTAATCAGATTGAATAGAGTATTTTGTGCTTCTTTTCATCTATCGTATCATTTGGCAATGCTAACATCTGTGATAGCTACTATGTATTCATGAAATAGTTGAAAAGGTATGGTTTATTTCAAATAAAAAAAATAAATTCTCGAGTGGTATTAGTGAGAATAAACAATCAAATCCATGGTTTATATATGAGAAATAATAGAAATAACAGATAAATAGTGATTTACTGTACATAAATGAAGCCACAGGGGTTAGGGTTACCAATATCAAAGTGAGAATCTTCAATACGAATATCAAGGCAGTTCTACTGTACGAAGCTGAAACTTGGAGAACTACAACAACCATTATCAAGAAGGTACAAGTATTTATAAACAGCTGTCTACGCAAGATACTCAACATTCATTGGTCGGATACCATCAGCAACAGTCTTTTGTGGGAGAGAACAAGCCAGCTTCCAGCTGAAGAGGAAATCAGGAAAAGACTATAGAAATGGATAGGAGATACATTACGCAAATCATCAAACTGCATCACGAGGCAAGCCCTAACATGGAATCTTGAAGGAAAGCAGAAAAGAGGAAGGCCAAATAACACGTTACGTCGGGAAATGAAAGCAGATATGGAAAGGATGAATAACAACTGGAAAGAGCTGGAAAGGATTGCCCAGGAAAAGGTTGGATGGAGAAAGCTGGTGAGGGGCCTATGTTCCTTCACGAGGAGTAACAGGCATAAGTAAGGGGTTAGGGTCACATAAATTAGATATTAGAGGAAATAATGCTTCTTACTTATTGCTTTCAACTAACATACAGATTTACATGTATTAGTTGTTTGGATCTTCCAATTAATGTTGATGAGTAGGATTGATCAATATCTTTTGGTGCATGTGCATCCTCTGTGGATTGCCTCAATATTGTAACTAAGTCACAAGCATTTTAAAGCATAGATTGATTGTGGTTACTTATAAATAACATACAGACTGTTGGTCCTTCAAGGTTGTCCACTATCTCCATTTTTGTTCAACTTCATTATAGACTTACTGATGGAAATAAAATTCTCGTCAACTGAATTGTTGGGCATTGATCTCTTTCCACGAGGTTAAGTTATCGACTTAGAATACGTAGATGACATAGTCCTGTTTGGTGAAGACGCTGATGAAATTCAGAGTCTCCGAGTAGAATAGAGCAACAATACCAGCATGTTTGGGATGACCATTAAGAGTTGAAGATATTCGTAAGCTACTAGTATTTGATCACAGATGACTTAGAAATATTGCTGGCATCTGCTGGGATCACAGGGTGAGTAATAGTGAGGTTAGACGCAGGGTATTGAGGAACGATGGTAAATCAATTGATGAGGTTGTGAATCTTCGTCGACTGAGATGGTTGAGCAACATGTTTCGTATGCCTGAACACTGATAACCACGATGAGCAATACTGACTAGTGTGGGAGATGGCTGGAACAAAGTTAGGAGCGGCCAAACCGAAACCTGGCATCAGTACTTGAAGTCACTAACTTCTAGTCTGAGCCATGTTGGTAGATGCAGACTACTTGATTGGGGTCCGCGTGACTATCGTAACTAATGGTTAGAGAGCGTGTGTGACATGGCTGAAAATCGGTCACAATCGCGTGGGTGTATACACTCTCTGTCTTCCCTTAAACTAAGGGATTAGAATCGCTTCAGATCTTTCTTTGTACCAACTAATTCTTTCTTCCTGTACTATATCCTTATATGCAATCTTTCTTTTATATATTACCACCATTGAATTAAGCACTTTTATGAATTTGGTGTTCATCTTGTTGTGCTAATGGGGTGTGGTATCTTAGACCGATGGATATATATGTCTGGTCTTACATTGTAGCTGTCTAACTGATAATCTTACACAAGCACTTAATTATTAATTACATTAACCAATGCTGAATAAGTAAATTACATGATCCAACTAGGATGAACATATTGACTTCATAAATTTTTCTTTTCTATCAGTCACTTTCACTTTCTTGTTGACAACGTTTCATAGATTGAAGAATCACAAAAGACTTCAATCACAAATATTGAAGCATATGAAAAGAAAAAAGAGATTTTAAAAGCCGGTTAGTTTAAATGAAGCAAAATGTTTTTTTTAACCAAATTTATCTAACTCTTTGATGGAGTTTTATTCTCTGCGCTGAATGGTTTGGTCGTGGAGCTTTCGTCGTTCTTCTGAACGACATCATATAAGTACAAACGTCATGGTAGATTATTATAAGACTTTCATAATATTGGTATCCTTCAAATTTTTATTATTATGTAACTACTACTTATACGTGACTAATTATATTTGAAATAATCTCAGCGATTGAAATTTAAATAATTCCAACGTTTTGTCCAGCTAACTTGTCTGGACTTCTTCAGGGTAATAATCAAAATATAATTTTCACATATAATGACTTCTCTATACTCGGCGCCCGATTTCTGTCAAACTATTCGTTCTAATCTTGACGAATATTCGTATTAACTACTACTTAGTTTATTAGAATTTATATCTTTATAGATTGTTTAAATTGTATTTAGTTTCTGTAAATAACTAACTTTACTATGATTAGTAGGGTTAAATCATACAGGGATTAAAATAAATATCACTGATTGAATTGATGATCATTTGAATGATCTTTCTAAATTCATGAAGTTCAACTATTTTGGTTATGAATTATTGGTGTCAGTTAGTCAACAACAACCTAGAACTTCATACATACGTACATCAGTTCGAATTGCTATACCACTTTAGCATATAGATACAATTTTCCATTCAAATCCTACAGTGGTAGAGGTAGTAAAAGTAGAGGCAGTAATTGGAAACACTAGGGATTGAAGATTTTATTCAAAGAGTATAATACAGTGAAATAAACTTGAAAAGAGAAAAAAGAAAGGGACATAAAGAATTTAGAAGATTAGAATTTGGGAGAACACAAAGAGTAGATGCACCTGCGCTATTGCAAACGATTTTGAGCCCTATCACTCAAGGTCTCTAACCATCGGTTGCAATCGTCTCGTGGATCTCAACCAGGTATTCTACACCTACCAACATGGCTCAGTTCAATTGTCAATGACTCGATGGATTTGTGCCGTGTTTTGGTCTAGCCACCCTTAGCTCTCTTCCAAATTACTCCTACACCGTTATTGGTCTATATATACAATACTCATTCCAAAGCATAATGATCCTGGGTTCAGCTCTATGTTAATTTACTATTCATTACTGATGAGAGGTTCTGAAGACTGCACGAAACAGCCATTCAATCATCGTTTGTTTTCTATGACTCTAAACTTTGTCAGTTTATTATATGAAAATTCAAACATATAAATCTAATACTTTAAATGTTCGAGCACGTCTAAACTATAATTTTTTAATCTTTTTAAAATGGTGAGACCATAATTTATGGACGATCTTTGGGCGACGCCAAAGTGACCTTGAGTGTGTCCACCTAATAACTAGAACCAAATTAGGGTGTGAATAATTAGAATTATGATTTAAAGTTGATGGTTAGGGTTAGGATATAGATTTATAGTTTTCATCACGAACTGAAATAAACTAAAATGTCAAAACGCTATTTAGTCAAATGGATGAATGATTTTCGCGCCAAAATTCAAGACCTGTTATCTTATATCTGATTGATTCGTCCATAAATTCTAGTCTCGCCTTTAATACTAAATAAAAGTTTAAAGATGAGTTTTGTTTTTGTACTAAAGTCAACTGCCGTGACTTTTTCCAGTTTATTTACTACTAATTAGGATAATCACAATGGCTTATTCTGGCTAGTTAATGTTACTACTCTATAGTGATTATTGAGTGAATTATATATATAGTGGGCTATGTTGTATGAAAGTGAGGTTTCTGGTCTACTGTTCTTGTGCTATAATGATATGCACATGTTTGTTTTTCTGTCTACTCTATATGATCTAGATCGATTTAGACTTAAATAAGAAATGTAGGATCTCAGATTTGAAAATTATATGAACATACTACGTAAAATGGAGGAATGTTATGAAACGCTACAAAATTGAGAAAGATGATTAGGAATATTTCATATAAGCAGAGTTGAAGAGAAATATAGAAGTTTTATTGTAGGTCATAGTCAACAAAGTACTTGGATATGTCTTCTTTTAGAAATATAGTCTCTGTTTATTTCATATGATCCAAGGATAGTTACTACGATGCCTCTTGATAAATTCATTGGAACCTGATTTTATATTAGTTAAGCTTCCTCTACTTCAATACTATGATCATTAACATATCACATTAGAAAAGTTCACGATGGCTCATAAATTTTGTGACATCTTCTTTTGTTCATTTAAGCGTATGTTCACGAGCATTCTGGAATAAAGTTCTCTCAGTTTGACGTATGTACACGGAGTTGTTAAAATTATATATATATATGTTGAATACTATTTAGTTTTCATCAGCTCTTTAGCTGATCTTAGTAGTAAATTCACTTGGTGATGTTTACTCGTATCTTCCTATTTTTATTTAGGGCTGCAATTGATCAGTCTCTTATTGGCGTATGTACATCCTGTGCGGACTACCTCGATATTGTCTTAGGTTACAAGCTTTATAAGCAAAGATGGATGATGGCTAGCAGTGGAGTCCAGGACATGCGTTTCGTCCCAGAGTGAACATCAACTCTAAGATGCCGGCACATTCAGCCGACGAGTCCCAAATAGGACAAAACGCGCGTCAAAATGGGTTCCACTGCTAGCCACTATCTATTTTTGCTTATAATCTTAGTTGTTGTTTTAGGTCAATAAGGATTATTACAATATTCCTATGCAGTTATATCAGAAATGAATAGCTTTATTTATATAAACATAGATAAAAGTAACCAAATATTCACTAACATCGTTTATTTGTCAAGCACATTTAAAGCTTCTAGATAATAGAATAGAAACATTTTCTTAGAAGACCTATTATTCAAGTAAGCTATGTAGAGATTATCCTTTAAAGATGTTTTCAGATTTGTTTAAAATGATAGATATAAATATCCTAGTGCACATATATGCGCACTGCTGAGGAGTTCCACAATAGGACGAAACAGCCATCCAGTCCTTCCAGTTTTTCAATGGTGATCTAACACCAATCAGTTCATGATCTCAATCAAAATCTTAATAATCTCCGCAACCCTATTTTGATAGATGCATATTCCTGATATTCCATAAATCTTGAATTCTGTAAAACAGCCTTATTAGGTTCACATTAAACATCTTTACTCATTGATAGATGATCTTTTTTCTTTTGGATTGACACATTTGTTGATTGTAAGAAAATTGAACTAATTGTGATATGATATTTTGTTTTAGATGAACAACGTTATGAATCTGAAAAGGAAAAACTACAAAAAGTTTTCAAGACAAAAGAAACTGAGTAAGATATTTGTTTTACAAACTCGGCTAAAATATTTTAGAAAGAGTTTTGTGCTACTATTCAAATATTAAGTAGTTTATCTAAATAAAAGAAAGATGACATGAGCTACCCTAAAGCTCATCAAGAGCGGAGGATATAATGAAATAGTGACTTAGATTCTAGTATACATATAAGGGACATGATTATTCAGGGACAACCATATAAAGAAGTTTCAGTTATCTATGCTTCAAAATAACAACTTAACCATACTAATTTTCAATACGTAAGAAACGTTCAGAGTAAGAATAAGGTTTGAAGTAAGGAATGTTGACATATAATTTATCAATTTCCGACCACCACAATAATTGAAATACCACATTGTTCGAAAATTTAGAACTGTAGACCTCTTGATACCGTCATACTGTAGCAGCTCATTCATCAATTGATCTGAATTTTCTAAGAAATTGTGGATCTTTGTGGTAACTGGTTCAGTCGGTCAGAACTCTTCGATTCGTTTCATAATAATCCTGCTCCTAGGTTCAATGTTATCATCATCTTACTCTCTCTTCCTACTACCTTTCAGTAATGTTCAGGTTCTAACCTCATAGTTTATTTACACGGCTTTGAATGTCGGGTTAGATAAAGTTTCAGGATTCAGGTCTAAAAGAAGTAAGCTTCTGATCTGGAGAGTTCATATTTGACGACGAGAAGATGACCTTTAAGCCACCGCGTTAAATGTAGTTATTCCAAAAAATTCCTAGTTGATGCACTTGTGTACAGTCACAATAACTCGCGACTCCAATTACAATACTGCAAGCGAAAATATTCGATTCTATTTTTTTCCTGCCTTGCTAATTAGAGTAACAACATCAGTTTTTGTAGATGAAGCTATTTGATGTTCACTCAGTTTAATCAATCAAAATGCATTGAAAAGAGCAAGAACAAACATTCTAGGAGAATACCATGAATTCGTTTTTATTTCGTCTGATTCTCATCAGTTGCTCACAACTCGTGATATTTAAAATCATAATTACATAATGAGTCTGGTTGGAGATTATATTGAAGACACTTTAGTAGAGCATAGCAAGGGCGTAAATAAATTAATTAGACTGAATATTGTACCTTATGTAAAAGAACATTTTAACAACAGTTCAAAAGGCTAGAAACAAGTAAACATTGACAGGAATAAATGAGTAGAGCTCAGTTGATAATATAAGGTTATTAATTTGGTGATGATTTTACAACCGGATAAAGGTTCAGGTGTCGTTCTAATGAATACAACTGATTATGTCACTAAGATGAAGCCACTCCTAGACGATCAACTGGGATTCAAGGTAGATAAATCCAAAACAGATTTAACTGATTCAACAGAAAAATGAATCACAGGTATGCTTATAATGATTTAAAACCATGTGGCTCACGTCTACCTCATATATATGGTTTACTAAAAGTTCACAAACACGACGTTCCCCTTAGACCTATCCTATCAATGATCAACTCACCGTATCACAAAGTTGCACGCTGGCTAGCAGAAAAAACTAGAACCACTCCGTCGGAGATTAGCAACATATACGTTAAAAGAATCATTCCAGTTTGCTGATAGACTAAATCGTACTAATGTTGCCGATAAGTTCATGGTTTCTTTTGATGCAACATCCTTGTTCACCAATATACCACTTCTTAACAATATTGATATAATTTGTCAGAATTATGATCTCCTACTTTCACCAGCCTGGGAATTCGAAAAATCTACTATTAATGTGCACAATAGACGTTCAACTCCAGTTAAATAACACCATATATCGTCAAATCGATTTCGTAGCAATGGGAAGTTCACTAGGTCAAATTCTGACAAATATTTTTATGAGGTATCTTGAAAACATGGTGCTCAAACAGGCAATTAACGAAAAGACGGAATATTCCAGATATGTTGATGACACGTTTATTGTCTGTAACAATAAACAGCATGCAATCCGCCTGCTAAAACTCTTCAATAACACCCATCCTAACGTACAATTTACTATAAAACACGAACAGAATAACATGTTCCACTTTCTTGGTGTTACTATCAAACGTAGGAGAGACGGGACAGTCCAACGTTCGCTTTACCGAAAAAGTACTTGGAATGACCTTTACCTGAATTTTAATAGTTTTTGTCCACTCAGCCACAAGAAGGCATTAGTTAAAACACCATTTTATAGGGCAGAAAAGATATGTGCCACCGACAAACTGGAAGAAGAATTAATGAACGTAGAAAAATGTCTAAAAGAAAACTTTTATCCACAAAAGTTTATTGACAAATATAAAAGGCCCAAGGAAAAGAAGACGGTAATAACTATGGTCAATAAAAAGCCAGTATATATAAATCTTAACTTTAAAGGTGATGACGTCGCACAAATTATCAACAAGAGACTGAATACAGTGCTAGCCAGAACTTATCTTAAGGCCAAACTTCAAATTCTGTATAAAACAACATGTTCAATAATTCAATCAAAGGTTGATAAGCATCCTTTTCACGTTACGGTCAATTGTATTTATAAATTTACGTGTACCTGCCAAAGCAGCTACATTGGCCGAACAAAAAGGAGGGCATATCTCAAATTTTTTGGACATGTTCCAAAAAAGTCTTAGAACAAGGGAAAGAAAGACTCTGAATAGTGCAATCACCAAACATCTCCTTGATACAAGACATCAGGTCGATACCCTACAATCATTCAAGGAGATTAGTAAGCAGCCAAACTCTAGTCTTCTGAAGTTTGTTGAAGCCGTTGCTATTAGACACCAAAAACCTGACCTATGTATTCAAAAGGAGACGGTGGTTAATCTTTCCTTGCCCTGGTGACAAATATTCCTTCACTGAACCATAAAAAATTTTTTCTTTTTTCTTTTGCATTTATTACATCATTGACTCTATTTTATTTTTTTTCAACTATCTTTCAAATTAATAATCTTTCAACTGAACTCCACTCACTATCTTCCTATCAATGTTTATTCATTATGTAATCAATTGTTTCTAATCCACTTTTGAACTGTTGTCACAATGAATGTTGTAGAATATTCTTTCACATTAGGTATATATTTACAATATTCAGTTAGCAATTTAAACCCATTATGTAATTATGATTTTTAAATATCACAGGTTGTAAGCAGTTGACGAGAACCTACGAAATGAAAATGAATTCATGCTATTCTGCTAGAATCTTTGTTCTTGCTCTTTTCAAAATGATAAACGGAGCTATGTGTATGAAAATGCATTGAGTTTGCCGACTATAGATCAATAAAAAGATGATCAGAATACTTAGATTGAATAGTTATCAATAACATAGAATATCGTAAAAATGGATTGAAATTTCGTGAATTATGTTGAAATTTAATAATTTACTTACTTACTAACTAACGCCGTCCAGTAGCACTCTTCATCCAACCCTATCCTGAGCAATCCTTTCCAGCTCTTTCCAGTTGTTATTCATCCATTTTATATCTGATTCTATTTCCCGACGTAGTGTGTTCTTCGACCTTCCTCTTTTCCACTTCCCTTCAGGATTCCAAGTTAGGGCTTGCCTCGTGATTCAGTTTGATGAGCTGCGTAATGTATATCCTATCCATTTTCAACGTTTTTTCCTAATTTCCTCTTCATCTGGAAGTTGGTGTGTTCTCTCATACAGCAGGTTGTTACTGATGATATCCAGTCAACGAACACTGATTATTTTGGGTGGATAATCGATTATAAATACTTATACCTCCTGACACGCCGATGTTGATGCTTCTTTGATACCTGTCCAGTTGTCCTCCATAGTAGTTTCTTCTTCCTTCAGATCTTGTAAGGCTTGGAACCTGTTGTTGAGAGCTATCTTGAATTCCTTGAATTTTTTTAATATCTCGAAGGAAGGCCTTATTGAATCTTTGTAGTGCTGTTGGTCCAGTTGTCCAGTTCTTCTTTAGCTTCAGTTTTAAATTGTCCACAACTAGGCGGTGATCTGAAGCTATGTCAGCTCTTTTTCTGGTTCTCACATCTTCCATTGTCCTTCGGAATATTTTATTGATGCAAATATAATCTATCTGGTTCCCCGTGATGTGTGTTTAATTACCCTGTGATAAATCACATTATAACAAGACCTTTCCATTTACTTTTCAAAATTATTTACAGAGTATATAGTTCATTCAGTGTTCTTGTATCATAGTTGAATCTTTGGTTCAGTAAGTCAGTAAATCAGCTACAACGTGGGACCAGGCACATATATAAGTTGGTCCAATTTTCCTTACCTCATTAGCACAACAAAATGAATACCAAATTCATAAAAGTAGTGGTGGTAATTTATAAAAGAAAGATTGCATATAAGGACATAGTACAGGAAGAAAGAATTAGTTGGTACAAAGAAAGATCTGAAGCGATTCTAATCCCTTAGTTTAAGGGAAGACAGAGAGTGTATACACCCACGCGATTGTGACCGATTTTCAGCCATGTCACACACGCTCTCTAAACATTAGTTACGATAGTCACGCGGACCCCAATCAAGTAGTCTGCATCTACCAACATGGCTCAGACTAGAAGTTAGTGACTTCAAGTACTGATGCCAGGTTTCGGTTTGGCCGCTCCTAACTTTCTTCCAGCCATCTCCCACACTAGTCAGTATTGCTCATCGTGGTTATCAGTGTTCAGGCATACGAAACATGTTGCTCAACCATCTCAGTCGATGAAGATTCACAACCTCATCAATTGATTTACCATCGTTCCTCAATACCCTGCGTCTAACCTCATTATTACTCACCCTGTGATCCCAGCAGATGCCAGCAATATTTCTAAGTCATCTGTGATCAAATACTAGTAGCTTACGAATATCTTCAACTCTAAATGGCAACGTTTTGCATCCGTAACTTTAGATGCATTGAAAATCCTTTAAGGTTTACGTAAACATAATCAATAATGCTAAAGAAAATTATGTAAATATTTAATTTACTGAATAATTTACTAGTTTACGAAGTTATTGATTATCAAATTACGTTACGGGAACCTTTTTACGTTTGTACAGTACTACAGCTATTGGATAAAGTTGATTAAAATACCATTGAAAATATCAGAATATTATAAGATAATATTTATGAACTGCTTGGTAGCCTTTCTACGAGGAATCTAATCAAGATCTATCAGTCTAGGGTTAGGTATAAGTTAGCTGGATTTTAAACAAATAATTTTCATTACGGACAAATAGAATTTGGGAAAAATATTGGCAATACAAAAGGGAGAGGTGACAATCATTTCCATCCATAAATTTGGGGCTTCTTACCAGTAAACAACCATGAGCTATTACTGAACTGAACCCTGAATCCTTGATCTAAACAACAAGGAACTACACCTTTAAAATAAGTTATTTTATGGTATAGAGAGATCATAACTTTATATCGTAGTGCTTAACTGACTTATAGCCGATAATAGGAACTCAAACAGTCATAAGCTCTTGGCTGATTATCAGGAATTTACTTCAGAGCCATTTACTCATAAGTATATAATTACTGTTTAGTCCAGGTAGGCATCTTTGAGTCTCAAACAAGAATGAAACAGGTATTTAGTGATTTTTTATGGTTTCCATTTCTCGAAATGGTAAAAATCATAATTATAATACGTAAAAAATTTGACTATCTCTATAAAAACCACCTAGTACAGGACTCAATTCTCAGTTACCAAGTAAAAATCCACTCCAAGAGCCGAGTACATAATAAAGTGTATTAGCCATGTAATCCAACTAACTCATTATTATTCTAGGTTAAGATTTGAAATTCAATTTCCCTCTACTAGACAATAATTAATTTTATACTATAAAATTTGTCTTTAAAAACCACTATGTCTGGATGTTTTAATGATTGGAAACATTTATCGAAAAATATGGACATCCTAAAACAAAGTAATTTATTAACTCATTCTGAAGGTTTCTCGTGAATCTTTCCATACATTACCCAGATTCCAGTGCTTTTCAGTATAATAGAATAATGAAATGATTGGCCAAGCGTTTGCTTCTTTTAGGTTTCCAAATGCCCTGGTACGGTCGAGAGTGAGAAGAGTCCGCTCTACCTCTCCAAATACTCTCACATGGCCATGTGCATACAACCACAGACAGGGAAGTCTTATTCACTGCCTTATCGCGGCATTACTGTCATTTACAAAATTGATAGGACGAAAAGCGAATGTCCGACTCTTTGATCGGGTTGGTGGACACAGAAAGTCCATTCAAGGGAGTCGGGAAACGCTGATTTCAAACTAATGGTGAATATGGGCTCCAGGATTCTAAGGAAACAAATGGCGTATGAACCAATCATTGGTCACTGGCTACCATGGGAATACATCTCCTTACGATGCTGCACTGCCTTGTGGGTCAGTTCTTTAGGTCGAAGTCTCAGGGCGTGTCTCCCTTAGAAAACTACCGATTTGGGTTTTGGAACCTGGGCAGTATCCCAGGCCTTACATAAATCGAATGATTTATGGGCGCATATCTGTTTGGTGCCTTCTTGTACCAATGTTTATGTGTTTAAGTAAGTAAAAGTAAGTTATTTCTTCTATGAGCTGCCTCTCAACAAAAGCCACTACTTTTTGGATACATTATCTATTAAAACCTTCCCATCTTCAGTATATGCAAGATTTGAGATTAATACAATATTCCAAGCGCATATGTTTATATCACATAATGAGTCTTCTGATAAACTCAATGATATAACTATAAAATCATAAAAACTGATTCCCAAACATTGGATTTGTTACATTTTCAGTGTTGATGCCACTATAGTTTTCTATATGGCTCAATGAAACTCATTTATACTTATGAAATGATTTATCTCGAAATCAACAGATTTTAGAGGCTCTATCATTGTGACCTATCAGTGGGAATACCTAACTCATCTTAAGTCACAATTTCATTTTTGTTACCTATAATGCATACAGATATTTGTTTCAAATAGGTGGAAGATATACATCCTAATGATGATATAACTTAGTTAATTTCCTATCGATTTAGTTTTCCCACTTAAAAGTACTTTTCTTAAAACAATGTAACTATTTATTTAATATAACTGATGACATTGATGGATGTATCGCTCACTTTTGTGGATTAGTTGAATTTAGACATTAACACCACCAAATGCCGGCCAGACCATTGGTCTAGTAGTTAAGCGCTTGCTCGCGAGACTGATAGATTCTGGATTCGAATCTCGCGAGGCAGGGTCGTAGATGCGCACTACTGAGGAGTTCCACAATAGGACGAAACGGCGGTCCAGTACTTCTAGGTTTTCCATGGTGGTCTAGCTTCAATTGACTACTCATGATCTCAACTATTAAAAATTATTTATCTGTTTGTTTTTCATAAGTTAATAAGTTTTTATTCATATCTCTAGAGTAATAAAATTCGAAAAGGAATATATGATTAAAGCGGAGAAGGCAGCTGAACTTCAAGAGCAAATCAATGAAATGCTTGAAAAGATTGAAAATTTAAATTTATCAAATAAGTATGTAATGATCAAATTTTAATTTTAATTTTAATTAAATTAAACGTATACAGTCCTAGAGGGACCCTCGACTCTGAGACGCAGGTACCTCCAAATGACGAGTCCGAAATAGGACAGAACACGTGTCCTGTATTCCACTGTTAGTCACTACCCATCTTTGTTTATAATGCTTATGAATTAAGGCAAAATCGAGGCAATACGCACAGTATGCACATATGCCAATAAGAGACTGATCGAATGCAGTCCTAAACATCAATGGGAAGATTCAAGTAAAACAGTATCAAGTGAATTTAAATACAGTGGTTTATAATTTTCTTTCAAGTTATAATATTGATAAATAGTATGTGATCTAACGACTATTTTGATACTAAGCAAAGATAGATAGTGGTTAGTAGTGGAATCCAGAACGCGCGTTCCGTCCTATTTAGGACTCGTCAGATGGATGTACCTGAACCTCAGAGTTGATGTTCACTATGGGACTCGAACTCAGTACCGTTCACTTCAAACGCTATCGCGTTATCCACTTAGCTACTAAGTTCTGATAGCCAATTGCTTCTGCGATGGGGTAAAGTTTTAAATTCACTTAGTACTGTTTACTTCAATGTTTCCATTGATGTTTAGAACTGAATTTGATCAGTTTTTTCGATACTTAGTTCATTCAAAGTTGACTTGTAATGAAATATTGAATTATCCATGATCAGATCTTTGATGGGATATCAGTTTCCGCTTATTGTTAAGCCTACTTTTATCATCATTATTGGCTTTTATCAATATTATATTTTTGGTACAATATAGAATATTCAGCATGAAGTATTTCAACAAGTTTTACTTTTCTTATTTCTTGAACAATCCTGACGACAAATATTGAATGATCGCTAGATAGATGTTAGCAGTTCAGGAATCGACATCTGATTAATGTATATTCATTTCGATGCATATTTCCAGCAACCACACTGTCTCTCATTTGGCTCTTTTGTAACTTGTACAGTGAAATGTTGTAAACTTTTCACAAATACACCTGAATAGATTGTAAATCACCAGCGTAGATGATCTATATCGAATGGTTGGAGGCCTATTAAAGTTAAACGGGAATGGTGTGACGAACCAGATAACGTCAAAGTCACACCTTACGGTCAGCACCTTATGTGGATTACCCCATCGACGCATCGAGGTACTATAGATGCTTTGAAGACTGTAAAACACAAAGGACGTTATTACAGAAATATATTAGTTAAAGTAGATACAAGTGAAAGTAAGACCATCACTGCATAGGCCAATCCAATGGCGTACGATCAACTGACGCGCGTTGGTTGTCCTTGACCTTGACAAGAATCAACTATCGGTTCAATATTCAGTGACCCAACTGCCAGATGAGTTGGCTAAGGCTTAGTGACATTTCACTGGCCCTACAAAGTTATGCGATTAATAGCCATAATGATGTATTAAAAACAACAAGAAAACATATAACTTGTTGAAATATCTAGATGGTAGGAAGGGACAGGTAACCTAGATGTTCAAGCAAACCGCTTGAGTGATAAAGTAACAAAAAGCAGATATTTCATGATACCACAATATCTGGTTTAGTGATTACAGTGTATTCTGCAATTACTGGTGATTGATTAAACTATAAAACATTAAACATAGAATATATGCCAATAAGAGACTGATCAATTTCAGTCCAAAAACATCAATGGGAAGATTCAAGTAAAACAATATCAAGTGAATAGAATATAATTGCTAAAAAATAGGTTCATTTTAATTAATGGATAATAATTGTATCATAAATTAATCTTGATGTTAAAACAAGAACTTAAAGTGTCAGTTTGAGTTTCCCCTGAAGTCACCTATAATCAAATATTTAATGATATCACTTATAATCCCTTTTTTTCTATGTATTTTCTAGCTGCTATATGCTTGATATAAGTGTATTACCACAAATTAGAGTAGTGCTCCGTTAATCCGATCTTCAATAGACATTTAAGTATCCTAAGATTCATATATATCACATGGGTTCCTTATTTATGTACATAAAGGTTTTTGTTTCCTATTTTAACCAGTCAATGCATACTATATATATATATATATATATATATATATATATATATATATATATATATATATATATAGGCGGCCTGTCTGAATATCTGGGCTATCTGTTCCTGTGATCTAGATATTTCAGCAGGTTACCTGTTTCAGAGGAATGTTTATTTATTATTTATCTGAACACATAGATACTGATACAAGAAGGCACCAAATACATACGTGCCACACAAATCTCATTTGATATATGTGAGGGCTGTGATACTGTCCGGGTGCCCAAATTCAAACCGGTGGTTTTCTTAGGAAGACACACCCGGAGACTTCAACCTAAAGATCTAATCTACAAGGCAGTGAAGCAAAATAAGGCGATGCAGTCCCATGGTAGCCAGTGATCAACGATTGGTTCATACGCCATTTGTTTCCTTAGAATCCTGGAGCCCATATTCACCATTAGTTTGAAATCAGCGTTTCCCGACTCCCTTGAGTGGACTTTCTGTGTCCACCAACCCGGTCAAAGAGTCGGACATTCACTTTTCATCTTATTAATTTCGTAAACAACGGTAATGCCACGAGAAGGCAGTGAGTAGGACTTCTCTGTCTGTGGTTGTATGCACATGGTCATGTGAGAGCATTTGAAGAGGGAGAGTTGACTCTCCTCACTCTCGACCGTGCCAGGGCATTTGGGGGCAGAGAGGAATGTGGTGAATATTATAGTAATATAATAGTTGAATTTATGAGTCAATTAAAGTTAGACCATCATGGAAAACCTGGAAGCACTAAAGGGCCGTTTTGTCCTAGTATGGGACTCTCCAGAAGTGAGCATTCACGATCTCGCTCCCCGCTAGATTCGAACCCAGGATCCATCGGTTCTGAGAATTCTATATTGTACCAAAAAATTGAATAAAGCCACTAATATATATAGTTGAATGTGTTCATCTTGTATACTCACCACATAACAGTGTTAAGGTAAACACCATGTGAGTGATCATTCAAATTGAATCCATGACTGAAGAGACTAGATGGATGATCCATAAATTTAATAATACTGTTACTTACTAAATGTTTGTTACAGAATATCAGCTTTGATGGATTTGATATTGAAATAATATATGGACTACTTCTATTTAACACCATTATCCAGTGACTAGAATAGAAATCTAAGTTGTGTGACTTTCTGGTTAGATTCCCTTGAGTGCTAGTATGTTACTTATTACTTGCCAGATCTTATACTAAACACATAAAACTTCGAGATGGTGGCGAAGATTTGTAGCTCAGGTGGATGATTTTGATGGAGTTTTGTTCTCTTAGCTGGATGGTTTGGTCAACATAAAACTTCATTTATTAGGTACAATAAAAGAGATTATTGACATTTCTATACAATCAGTCAGTTTTGTTATTACAAACTATTCATGTAGATAGTGCAATATCGACTTTTGAATTATACCTTACATTTATTATTGTCCCATCAAACCAGTTTTGAATAAAGAAGGAACGAATCGAGCACGAAGAAATTTCTCCTCAATTAGTTTTTCACCATGGCTCTACATTAATATCTATATCTATATGATATACAATAATGAAATAATACTCATCGAGTGGATACGTTACGTAATAGTTACATAATAATATATCGATTATAAATTGAGTAATTAGAAGGAAGAGGAGATAATAATAATCCATAATCACGCTAGACCGGTGAGTCCTAGGTTCGAATCCCGCAGGGCTAGATCGTGAATGGGCACTAATGAGGAGTTTCATACTTAGACGAAACGGCTGTTCAATGCTTCCAGGTTTTCTATGGCAATCTAGCTTTAATTGACTCATGAATTCAACTATTGAATAATCAAAGTAATTCTTCGAAAATCAAACGATTCCTACGTTGCATAATATAAAAAAGAGAAGAAGGAACTAATGAAATATTTTGATGAATAATCAGTAGTATAGTAGTCATGTAAAAATCAAGAGACGAATGTTGAGAATAAGTAAAATACAAAAAAATGGAAGAAATACAAAGATAGTTTATCAAAGTTCTGCTTTAAACTCTGCTATACCGGTAGCCAAGGTAGCGAGAGTGATTGTACAAACTTCTTTTGGATGCTGCAAAGGTTAGGTTTGTGAACATGGATGGAAATGGCTTCAGTTATGTTCAAAAGACAAACTCGTAAACGATGTGACAAATTCGATGGAATATGGTAGATAACCTTAAAAGTTTTATTCAATTAAACTTGATGACCTGTGTGCACCAAGTGAACGAGAATAGAACTTTTAATCACTCTTACCTGTCTTTTGCTCAACCATAAGGGATGGTGTTCTGTTATACGATGACGAATTCGCTCAATTGTACATCCTATATAACTGGCTGCAAAGGAACAGTTGAATTGGTGAACACACATAGATGTTTTTGATTGGGATCATGAACCGATTGATGTTAGACCATCTTTGGAAACCTGGAAACACTGGACGGCCGTTTCGTCCTATTGTGGGACTCCTCAGCAGTGCGTATCCACGATCCCGCTCGCGGGATTCGAACCCAGGGCCTTCGGTCTCGCACGCGAACGCTTAACCTACTGGACCACTGAGCCGCCATCCAATGGTGATAGTGTCTAACATAGATGTCATGAATTCAGTTAATCTGTCTTTATTAACCGTTCTTATTATGTGTCAGTTGTAGAAGACGGCATGACGTAGTTTAAGTCACTTCTTCAAAGAGTAAAGTAGTGAATAAATTAAACTAATGTAACATTAATTAATAACATTTTCAAACTACGTTTTCTTTAATTTGAAGAGAACTAAGATTCCAACAGATTAGTATGAATACATTTCATCTCATCTTGTTCTCAACAACTGCTTACGACCTATGATATTTAAAAATCATAATTGACATACTGAGTTTAAATTACTTACATGAGAGGCTTTGGTTAGAAGTTATATTGAAGATACATTCCTTCTTTATTTACTAAATGTTAAAATGGCATTGGTGGAGTTTTGTTCTCTGAGCTGGATGGTCTGGTCGTGACCAAATCATCCACCTGAGCTACAAATCTTCTCCATCATGTTAAAATGACAGTTTTGAATAAATAGTTACTGTAACGGTTAATTCTCTATCTTCTTTCTTTTCTCTTGTAGAAGTATAATAGATAATTTAAAACAACAAGCAGAAATAATAAACAACCAGTTAGCCAATGCACGTAAAGAAAGGTAATATCGTTCTATATTCATGATTATAAATGTTCAATTAGTCAATATGATTCAAGTGTATTATTATATATCAGTAAAGATTTTAGTGGCTCGGGATCTGATTTCAGTTATATCGTATGTTTGTTTGCTGTCGAAATAGATATATCCCCGTATATAATCATCGACTTAGATCGCGTTAGTGAATAACGGAATTAAATAAGTCAAATACAAGAATGGATTTTTGAATATGTATATTTCATTCACGCATTGATTTGAACAAACAATCAGAGAATGAAGTGAAGCGAAACGACACGAAATGGAGATGGCGGGTAAACCAACCAAACGTTAGTCAATCTTTATAGTCACATAAAAATAAGCTACTGACATTTGTTGAGTAGGATAAGAAGGGCACACACATATGCGCTCATATAAAAATAGTCAAGGTTGATAAGTGAATAATTAACATGATCCATGTGGGACTCAAGTAGAATGAATAGACTGGCCTGTCCGAAAGCTAGAATAAGTTAATACGGACTCAACATAGTAACCGACACTACAAAATCTATTTCAAAACGATAAGAACAAATTCATAAGTATCTATTGTAGGCTATGATGTACATTCTCAGGGTTAACCTACATTGAAATGTGATATTCTTCCATCATCAACTACAGTGAGACTATAATTTATGGATAAACCAATCAGATTTAGGATAACAAGTCTTAAATTTTGGCGCGAGATTCATTCACCCATTTGGCAAATTAAATCCTGGCACTTTAGCTATGAAAACCCAAAATTTAATTCCTAATCCTAACCATCAACAATAAATCATAATCCTTATTTTTCAAACTGCTGTATAACCCTTTATTTAGCCCTAGTAAATAGGTAAACACCCTCAAGGTCACTTTAGCGTCGCTCAAAAGTCGTCCATAAATTATAGTCTCATCTCAACCACTACTATCCTTGTTGCATCAATATAACTGATTTGTCATTGTTAAACAATATTAAATACCCTGACTAACAAAAAGACGAACAGTTTGTTTTGAACAACACCCAACACACTAATAAAGACATTGTGATACATGAGATCGATGCATAAGTTACTGAAATCTGTGTATGAACCAGTAAACATTGAGTAAACAGTTAAAAGGCTAATTTATTTCTGATTTAGAACTGTTCAGCATACTTTATTTTTCATCAAATACAGTATTAAATGAATGATTCAGTCAGTCAGTCAGTCACCAATAACGTAGGACCAGGCACATATATGCATCGGTCCAAATTGCCATACCTCATTAGCACAACAAGATGAACACAAATTCATAGTAGTTGATTCAATGGTGGTTATATACAAAAGAAAGATTGCATATAAGGATATAGTGGAGAAAGAAAGAATTGGTTGGTAGAAATCAAGATATGAAGCGATTCTAATCTAATAGTTTAAGGAAAGATAGAGAGTGTATACACCGACACCACTGTGATCGATTCTGAGCCATGTCATACACAGTCTCCAACCATTGATTACGATAGTCACGTGGACCCCAACCAAGTAGTTTGCATTTACCAACATGGTTCAGACTAGAAGTTAGTGACTTCAAGCACTGATTCCGCATTTTCGTTTGGCCACCCCTAACTTTCTTCCAACCATCCTCAACACTAGTCAACATTGCGCGTCGTGGTAAACGGTGTTTAGACATACGTAACACGTGACCCAACTGTCTCAGTCGTTGAAGATTTACAACTTCATCAACTGACTTGCCATCATTCATGAATGATTAGTTTTCTAGAATATCCCGGTTGATACCAAAAATGAATTGTTACGTCATACTCGCTTTTATTTGTAGATGGTATTTGTTGAAAGCAATAAATTTAATAAGGAATAATTTGACATTATAACATTAGAAGAAATTTTTTAAGAAAAAGCTTAAACTTAATCTTGAATGAACTGATTTTCATCACTAGATCCAAATGAATAACACTGTAATATACTTCACTGATGATCTAACCAGATAGCAACTGATTTCCTGTTGGAGTGAGAGATTTATGTCAATTTACTTAACTTAATCCTGTTACCCTTAATGAAGGATAGATCACAGACCAACATTCTCCAACTCATTCTGTCCTGGATCTTTCTTTCTAGTTCTACCCATTTGTTGTTCATTTTCTCATGCTTGTCTCCATTTCTCGGAGTATTGTGTTCTTTGGTTTTTCTTTTCTTCTTTGACTTCGAGGAATCCAAAAGAAGGCTTGCCTTATGACGCAGTTGGATGCTTTCCTCAGTGTCTGTCCTATCTACTTTCAACGCTTCTTTCTAATTTCTTCCTCTACTAAAATCTGGTTTGTTCCCTCCTACAGTAGGTTATTGCTGATAATGTCTAGCCAACGTATCTGAAGTATTTTGCGTAGACAACTGTTAATAACCATTCAGAATAGAAAGTTCGAATAAAGCTGTTGTCTAGTTTTATCCTGTATGTCACATGTCATCGTTAATCTAGAACTTATTTAGGGCTGATCCAAGTTATGTTTGCCTTGAGTTCATAAAAGAAGTTTGAAACTATTAGAATGAATCAAATCAGTAGTCGGTAACTTTGATTTATCTATTCCCATTTCATTTATCAATCCATATTACTTAATGGTGTACTCAGTGGTTAGTGTCTTCTAACCACAGATACTTATCATTAAATAGCACTAATTCATAATGATAAAATTGTATACTGTATATTATTCGTTTTATACATTTATTTCTATTTCAATAGTTGAGATTATGAGTCAGTTGAAGCTAGACCAACATGAAAAACCTAAGGAGTCGCACAATGGGACGAAACGACCGTCCAGTGCTTCCAGGTTTTCCATAGTGGTCTAACTTCAACTGACTCATGATTTCAACCATTGAAATTACTATAATATCCACGTTAAACCCTTCTGATATTTATTTTTATGTAAACAAAATAATAATAATAATAATAATAATAATAATAATAATAATAATAATGGTAATTCTATTCATTAAAGAGTTCAATTACAACGTAAACAACGTAAAATTCATAAACAGATTGGTAGTTTTAATGATGAACAAAATTTATTTGTACGTAAATATCAACGTCGTATTAATGAAACAAAAAATAAAATAAATTTACTTTTAAAACAAGTAAGTAGATATACTACTTATTTACTGATATATAATATTCTATGTATTTATTTTAGTTATAATATGTTAGATATGTAAGTGATCATGGCGTGTAGTTATCAAACGAGATATTATCATACAGTTGTTTAGTGCCATTTTATTAATTGTCACTGGGCTTGGAGTCCTTCTGGGGCTACTGCCGGTCCCAAGCCTGGATATAGAAGGAGGGTTGAGCATGGAGTTAGCGAACACATCCTGTCGAAAACTAACTTGCTAAGAAAACGCTAACCAGAAAAAATAATTCAAAAGCATTTAAACTCTGCCTTGGGAGTTAGAAGGTCTTCATTTAGAAGAGTTATTACGCCACATGATGAAAGCCAAGTTCCTTCGGAATTCACGAGCCTGATACCCTTTTTGACAAACAGAGCAACCATAAATCTGAGTACATGGAATGCTTGTACAATGTGGGAAACCGGGAGAGTCATTCAAATCGCTGATGAAATGAAAAGATACAATAATTGTCTAGTTATAGTGGAAAATGTATTGATTGTGGTTGAAATTTACTACTGGATGCAGAGCCAATGGTTTTAATAGTTAAGTGTTTGATGAAGAACTTTGAAAATCTTGCATCCGATCCAACTATATTGGTAGATCAAGACTATTTGATTGAGGTCCGCGTGACTACCGTAACAAGTGGCTGGAGACTGTGGTTGACATGGCTCAGAATCGATCACAATAGTGTGGGTGTATACACTCTTTGTCTTCCCTTAAACTATGAGATTAAAATAGCTTTATATCTTTCTTTCTTCCTATACTATATGCTTATATACAATCTTTCTTTTATATATTACCACCTCTGAATTAACTACTTTTATGAAGCCGGTGTCCATCTTGTTGTGTTAATGAGGTATGGCAACTTGGACCGATGCATATATATGCCTAGTCCTTTGTTATAGCTGACTGACTGACTCAATCTAACTAAGATACACTTTTGACGAGCACAACTTATAAAATTAATCAGTCTTCATGAAATTCCTTTAAATTCAGTAAGGATTTCCCAGGACAAGGTTGAATGGAGAGTACTGGTCTTCAGCTTATGTTTCTTGACGAGGGCTAATGCACGTCAGTAAGTATCATTCATCTATACAAAATGTATAATCTAGAGCAGATGTGTATCTGTTCAAATTGTCATAATTCAAATTACGGTGATATAATGAATGTGATGAATTAAAGACGAAAATGGTTAAAAAATCTCAATTGTGAAATTCTTTGGTTGATAAATGTGAAATAGAACTCCCATCACTTAAAAAAAGTTATGCACCCGATCCTTTTATAATACGAACAACATTGGGATATGTTACCTAAGTTTATTTTAAAGTAAATAACCTTCAGTTTTTCAACATATATCCATTCCGACTAACCTACAATACTAAGTGTTTTATCAAACATATATATAATATACAATTCTAATTGATTTATTAAACAAACTGTTATGTCCCGATAAGAATAAGGAATGGTAACTTTTACGATCCAGTTATGGACTCATACTATGCTTACACTTTTATCGTATAATTGTTAATTAACTAAACTGTTCATATTCGTGTTCCTATTGGTATATACATAAGATTTAACCTTTCATAACACTTACCACACCTTCATTGTCTAGTTCATATTGAATCTGGGTTATTTACTCGCTTTGTTCATGGTTGTTCAGTCAATAAAACATAGATATTGATAATGTGGAAAATCAAAATATAAACTATTTTGTTGAAATAAGATCAGTGAAAAATGTGTTACATGGAAACATAATCTTGAATAGAATGATCAGGAAGCTTTCAAATTAAACTATCCAGCTTATGAAAAAACACAGCACTAACGAAAAGCATCCACTGTAATTAAATCTCTTCTGAATCATTTCAATATAGTGTTTAATGGTGTTGGAGTAGGTTGGAAGGAAGCTAGGGGTGGTAAGATCAAAGTATGGCACAAATCCATGAAGTCATTGACAATTGGTTGGGATCGGCGAGACGATGGCAACCGATAGTTAGAGACCTAGAATGACATGGCTCGAAATCGCTTGCAATGGTGCAAATGCACCATTATCTCTATTTTGCTCTTTCCAAATTTACTTCACTGGATTATACTCTTTGAATAACATCTTCAAATCATAATCTTTCCGATTACTACATATACTTTTACCACCTCTACCACTATGGGATTTTAATCGATAGGTGCATCTCTGTACTAATGTGGTATGACAACTCGAACTGATGTACGTTTGTACGAAGTTCTACGTTATTGCTGACTGACCGATAGTGTCTATATATCACTCACTATCAAATGTTTACAGTAAACTATGTAAAATTAACAGAAAACTATCAAATCACATACAAATACGCAACACTGAATACATAACAATTCTGTACTTACTATCAACTTGTATATTAAATATGGAGTCAATTTGTATGAAGGTGATGATTGTATTAAGACGAAACCTGAAACTTAGTAACAGAAAGTTGAACACTTCAATCGCTAGACTATTATGTATATCAATAGTATAGTATCGTATAGTATATAAGCATAATGAATTGTAACTTTTGGGATCCATATATGGACCAATACTATGCGTATATTTTTATTAAATAACTAAACTGTTCATATTCATGTCCCTCTTATCATTCTTGAATTATGCCCTGTCTAACAATCACCATTTCCCTTATTCACAGCTACATTTGGCTAAATTTTGTACAAATGTTTTTCTTATTTTATGGTACGATGTCTTTCTGTTTGCTATATAAACCCAGTATGTTTGAATTAAATGATTCATATCGCAGAGGCTGAGATTGACGTTCTAAAATTAACTGGCTGAGCTAGGCGGGAAGCAGGACCGATAAGGACTGTGAACTGCTCATACGGGTCTACGCGTCATTGATCCGATCGATAAATCACTGAACTTCAGTTGGCGGTATCATTACGTGATACATTAGCAGGGTACTCAGACCACAAGTTATCACAAGAAATTTGAATACTTCAATCACTAAACTATTATGTATATCCATAGTATAATATAGTACAGTATAGTATAGTATATAATAACATAATATCAAAAACTCAAATTACCCGATTCATCCCAAATTTAATCGATTTTTAAGGAAAATTATTGAAAATTAAAAATCAATATCCTTCTTAGTAACTTACTGCATTGATTCGAGCATTTTCAATTCCTACTGTATTTAAACGACAACCATAAGTATAAATATTTTTTTCATTATTCTTCAATAAATCAATTTCATTGATAAATTTATTCATATAATCCATTTGAAATGCATTCGTTTGCTTTTTCGATAATTTCTAAGACAAAAAAATATTCAATATTACATAATACATTAGAATTACTATAAGATCTACAAAACCCCTTCTGATATTCATCAACATATGCTCAATAGTGACTGGGATCAAGAAGTATTTTCTGGAATTCTAGTAAGAAACAGTGATCAGTGGAGTTCAATTGGTTCGATTGTAAAATAGTAACTTACTGATGACCAATGGTTGATGTGTCACTATGCGTATATTTCTATCGTATAATTATTTAATTACTAAACTGTTCATATTCATTACCCTCTTATTGTTCTTGAATTATGCGCTGTCTATCAATCACCATCTCCCTTATCCACAGCCACATTTGTCTAAAACTTGTACAGGTGTTGTTTCTTATTTTATGATACGATGTGGTCTGTCAGTATGGTTGAAATATAATGATTCATATTGCAGAGGCTGAGATTGATGTTCTGGACTTAACAGGCTACGCTAGGCGAGAAGCAGGACCGATACGTACTCTAGACTGCTCATACGGGTATAAGGCGTCATTGATCCGATCGATAATATTGAATAGTCTACATTAAACTGTTGTTGTTCTTTTACTTAATCAACAATAAAGTCAAGTTAATTGTTGATATCTTCTTTTATTTAAATGAACTTTTATTTGTATCAAAACTATTGACCTTGATTAGTCTAATCAATTAAATGATAGGAGTATTTCATTATGAATAGTTATATATTTAGTTTTCTGTTTTAATATTAGCTCAGTTAGTAACAAAAAGTAACTTCAAGCACATTGATTCATATCACATCCCATTTAAACTATTCACATAATGAATAATAAAGAAGAATAATGAAATTTATTCAATAGAATTCATTGATGTTCAATGGTTCAAACGATTTATTGATCTGATCCATTTAATTAGTAACAAATATTTCAAATATTTGAAATTAAAAAAAATTTGGCAAGCAAATTACAGTAATAATAATAATAGTGAATGTTGTATCTCAGTCAGTCAGTCAGTCAGTCACCTACAACGTAGGATCAGTCACATATATGCATCCGTCCAAATTGCCATACCTCATTAGCAAAACTAGATGAATATCGAATTCATAGAAGTAGTTAATTCAGTGGTCGTAATCTATAATAGAAAAAATTGCAATAAGGATATAGTACAGGAAGAAAGAATTAGTTGGTAGAAAGAAAGATATGAAGCGATTTTAATCTAATAGTTTAAGGGAAGAGAGAGAGTGTATACACCTAAACTATTGTGATCGATTCTGAGCCATGTCAACCACAGTCTCCAGCCACTTGTTACGGTAGTCACGCGGAGGCAAATCAAGTAGTCTGCATCTACCAACATTGATCGAATGTTGTATTTATTGAAATATGATTGGAAATATTAGACTTACTAAGAAAAGATGAATAATGATTAGTAGTGTAATTCAAGACTTGTCAGATAGATGTACTGGCATCTAAGAGTTGATGTTCATTCTGAGACTCGAACTAAGTATCCAGTATTAACGATAAGATTCAAATAAACAATATCAAATGAATTTAAAACTTCACCCCATTATACAAGCAAGTGGCTATCAGAATTTAGTAGCTAAGTGGATAACGTGATGGTGTTTAAAGCAAATGGTGCTGTGTTCGAGTCTCAGAGTGAACATCAAATCTGAGATACAGATAAATCTAACTGACAAGTCCAAAATAAAATGAAATACTCGTTCTGAATTCCACTACTAATCACTATCCATTTTTGCTTAGAATGTTTGTGAAATAAGGCAATATCGAGATAAGACCCACATTATGCATATTTGCCAATAAGTGGCTGATCAATTGTAGTCTTAAACATCAATGAGTAGCATTTATTTATTTATTTAAACACATAAACTTTAGTAAAAGGAGGCATCAAATAGATATGCGCTACATAAATCACTCGACCTATGTGACTGATGGGATACTGCTCGAGTGCCCAAACCCAAATCAGTCGTTTTCTTAGGAGGTCACACCCAGAACATTCGATCAAAAGATTTGATTCATAAGGTAGTAAAGAAACATAAGGAGATGCAGACCCATGGTAGCCGGTCTCCAACTATCGGTTCATATGTCATTTGTTCCCTCAAGATCCTGGAGCCCATGTGTACTATTGGTTTGGAATCAGGGTTTTGCAACTCCTCCGTATCCACCTACCCGGTTAAAGCGCCGGATAATCGCTTTGCGTTCCCTCAATTTCGTAAACAACGGTAATGTCGCGAGAAGGCAGTGAATAGGACTTCCCTGTCAGTGGTTGTATGCATGTGGCAATGTGAGAGCATTTCGTGAGGGATAGCTGACTTCTCACCACTCTCAGCCGTACCAGGGCATTTGGGGACACATAAGTAGTATCCACCATATTATTCCTATCTTCCACTTGTGAAATATTTGAAGTAACTAACTAACTAACTAACTAACTAATTAGTCATATTTAATCAATATTTCCAGAAAACTCAATTAGAAAAAGAAATTGAAATGAACAAACAGAAACGCGAAGAAATTCAAACAACAATGAAAGTTGAAAAAGAACATCATGATCATGAAAGAATACATACTACAGAGAAAATTGTTTGTAAGTTAGTTGTTAAAAAAAGAAAAAAAAAGAAATAAACAAAAGAAACACTATTATTTTTTTGTTATTTGTGTGTTTTTTTGTTGTTGTTTGGTACAATCTGTAATGAATGATTCATTCAATTGTGATGAAGGACCACGGGTGAACTCGAGGAAGCTGTAGGAGGCTCAGAAGGAGCCGAAGATATTCCATCCAATCATCTTTTGGAAGAAAATCCTAGAATTCCTACGTGTAGCTTCCTGATTGGTCAATGCTAATAACCTCCTGTATGCGGATTGGAGGACTGTAATGATGATTTCGTTCTTACTAAAAACTATAAGTACCTGACAATTTTGTACTATAATGGACACTGTCATGGAACAATATTCCTCTCATTAGTATTCTATCTTCGCATTGCGACTTGGACGGGTTCTGGCGTTTTAGTGCTCACGTTATACGCGGTATATCAAGAACAACCTTCTAGATATAACATCAGTAATATACGTTTCATTCCAATTCAAATTAACTATTAAATAAACTAATCAGTGGTCTAGTGGTTAAGCGCTCGCGCGCAAGACTGATAGATCCTGGGTTCAAATCTTGCGAGGCGATATTGTGGATGAGCACTGCCAAGGGTTCCCAAAATAAGACGAAACAGCCATCCAGATTTTCCATGGTGGTCTAGCTTCAATTGAGTCATGTTCTCAACTATTGTAATCTGCGAATGTTATTTTGCGTTCAGTTGAACTAGACTGAAATACTTCTAATCATTGAACATTAGTTGAAGTTAGACATTAACACCGTTGGATGCCGGCCGGCTCAGTGATCTTGATGTTAAGGGTTCGTGTGCTAGACCGATAGGTCCTGGGTTTGAATCTCGCGAGACAGGATCGTGGATACGCACTGCTTGAGAGTCCCAGGTTTTCTATGCTGATCTAACTTCAATTGTTTTACGAATCCAACTATTAAATTTATAAAAAAAATCCATGTTTCTGTTCAGTTGGCGGATTATGTTTATTAACTGATCGACTGACTTATTTACTTACACCTGTTACTACCAATGTAGCATAGGCCGCCGACCAACATTCTCCAACCCACTCTGTATTGAGCCTACCTTTCTAGTTCTATCCAATTGTTGTTCATTCTTATCATGTATGTCTCTACATCTCGGCGTAATGTGTTCTTAGGTTTTCCTCTTCTGCTTCGACCCTGAGGATTCCAAGTGAGGGTTGGCCATGTGACGCAGTTAGATGCTTTCCTAAATGTCTGATCGACTGAAGAACAATCTAATCATTGTTAAAAGAATATTGATAAACTTAGACTGTTGAGATGAATTTGAGAAATCGATAAAAGATATTCTAGGAAATATTGGTCTGTTTTTTTAGCCAATCAAATAAGTTGATAATCATAAATAATTGATAATTGGAAGTAAATTCAATTAGGCGGTTAACTGAATAAATAATTCAAGGATTTTATTTTAATGAATTCTTTTGTTTTAAAATATAAGTATGTTCTATATAGGAATGTAATTTTGTAGTTTAAAATCATTCTATTGTGTTAGTTATTGTAAGAAACATAAATGTAAGTTAGAAAGTATTTTGAAATTGTGGAAAGCCAGATTCAGATTTGTGTAGTAAGGACAGAAAGCCTACGGGTTATGTTATTCCTTTTCTGGTATGCTTCTGTGAGTGTCCAGGCTTCTCTTGAAAGTCAATTGAAGGTGCGGACACCACTGCTTCGGGCAGCAGATTCCAAGTATTGATGACTCGGCGTGAAAAACCTGTATGCTACGTGTATTTTGTTATTTCTTGGCTTTTCTACTTGCCTTCTATATCCTCTGAGATGTCCTGATCTAGTGGGAAGAATTATATTTAAGCAAAATAAACTGATTATACATATATATATATATATATATATATATATATATATATATATATATTTCTTACTCTAAGAATATCTCTTTCTGCTATGATTGTATTAAGATTCTTCAATTGTTATTTTTGTAACAATAATCACAGATTATTACGTTATTAAGCAATTCAACAAATAAAAATTATAACCAGAGAAGGGGATTTTGTGGTTATTATAGTAATTTAACAGTTGAATTCATGATTCAATTGAAGCTAAACTACCAAGGAAAACCTGGAAGCACTGGACGGTCATTTCTTCCTAGTATGGGACTCCTCAGCAGTGCGCATCCACGATCCCCATCTATTCTGATAAGAATCATGTGCTCACTGGTGACTAGCTTCAGGATTTTACGGAGTCCCAGTGAGAAGTCTTAACCAGTGGACAGTAACTCATTGAAGACAATTGTGGACGGTGGCGCAATTTCGTGGATTAGTTGAAGTTAGATATTAACAACGTTAGATACCGGCTCGCTCACGAGACTGATAGGTCCTGGGTTCGAATCTCGGGAGGCGGGGTCATGGATGTGTACTAATGAGAATTCCCATACTAGGACGAAACGGCCATCCAGTGCTTCCAGGTTTTTCATGATGGTCTAACTTCAAATGACTCACGAATTCAGTTATTAAATAAAAATTATTCCGTTATGATGTACTCATTTAAATAGGCCGAAGTTGAGTCAATATTCGGTAGTTTACCTTTTTGTGCTTCATAAAAACTTCCCATATCAAATCTGATTGACTCACTTCTATAATAGTAGCAAGATTACAATTGGCTAACAAAATACCCTCAATAAAATTGATTTTGACCCACAAAATACAACATAACTACGAAGATAGTACTTGAAGGAAAAAGAAACTATTTATAGATTATTAAGTTTGCCTTGATTCATTATCACGTTAGTTTTTGACTAACTTCAGGCAATTGGTAGATAGTTTTTTTGGGGATCAAAAATGTTAACAAATTATGAGTGTTAGAGTGAAGAAAAAGGTGTGAAATTCAATTGTCTCAAACTAATCAGGATCATATAGATCGTATTTCTATATAAAGTTATTCAACTTATTAAAATTTTTAGAAGTTTAATCGATAATACTCAAATGCTTATGAGGATTGCTTGTTATTAACACATTAAATTGGCTTAGTAACAACCGTTTGTGACTGTGAAGCCATAGTAAACTTCCTCGAATATCTCAGAAGTTATTAGTCGGTACTAATTAACCACTGAATATTAACTGCCCTGGTACGGCCGAAAGTAGGGAGAGTGAGCTCTCCCGCTCGAAATGCTCTCACATTGCCACATGCATACCGCCACTGAAAGGGAAGTCCTACTCACTGCCTCCTCGCGACATTACTGTTGTTTACAGAATTGAGAGGACGAAAATCAACTGTCCGGCGCTTTAACCAGGTAGGTGGATATGGAGGAATTACGAAACCCCGATTCCAAACCAATGATTTACATGGGCTCCAGGATCTTGAGGGAGCAAATGGCGTATGAACCAATAGTTAGAGACCGGCTACCATGGGTCTGCATCTCCTTATGTTTCTTTACTACCTTATGGATCAGATCTTTTGATCGAATGTTCTGGGTGTGACCTCCTAAGAAAACGACCGGTCTCGGTTTGAGCACCCGAGTAGTATCCCATCCGTCACATAGGTCGATTGATTTATATAAATGATGATTTATATAAATTCAATATCCTAACTCATAAGCAATAAGCTAGCATGATTCATGGTGAAATATTTCTTAATGTAAATCAATAGTGATGAAATGTATTTTCTTTTCACTCAACATGTTTTACGTATAAAATCATAAATAGATCAGTGTTAGACCTGAAGGCATTGGACAACCGTCTTGTCCTAGTATGGGACTTCTCAACCGTGCGTATTTACGACCCCTCACGCTGGCCTCGAACCTAAGACCTTCAGTTTTCGATAATCTTTATTTTCTATCTCTTATTCTCAAATATATCATTGCTATTTAAATATTATTCTCTCTCTGTTGATGTTTATATAGCACTAAATAAATTGTTGGATGAATTCGTTGAAAAGTGTCAACAGATGGATAAAAATGTCCAAGATGAACTACCAATATTGGAGGGATTAAATAATAAAGTAGAAAAAATTGAAAAGATTGAAACAGAAACTAAGTCATTACAGGTTGGTAAGTTTAGGGGAAAAAAAGTACACACTTTCAATGCTTTAAAGAGATTGATATTGTTTTATATAGGGCTTAATTTAAAAAAAACTTCGATACCATCTAGAGTGCTGTTAAACGCTTTGACTATTTCATGAAAGATAATGAAGTAGTTGGAGAGTACAAATGAATAGGTTGCAAATATTAATAATCAGTGGTTTGTGCTTAAAATGAAAATGTTTCAAACCTCAGCTCACCTACTTAGAATTTGGTGACAGGATACTTTGGTTAAATTTCAGAATTAATATGTGACAATTCAAGAACATATGGAACTCAAAACAACTATCAGGATTTGCAATACAAATATTAGGAGAGTTATACAATATGGAGCTGAAGCTTAGAGAACTACCACAAACATCATCAAAATGTGCAGGTATTTATAAATAGTTATCTACTCAGGATACTCAATATCCGTTGACTAGTTATCATCAACAACAATCTAATGTAACAGAACAAACCAACTTCCAGATAAAGAGGGAGTTAAGGAAATAAACTGAAGGAGGGTAGGGCATACATTGCAGAGATTATCAAACTATATCACGAAGCAAAGCCTTAGTTGGGAACCTAAAAGTAAAAGAAAAAGAGAAAGATCTAAAAAGGCATTGTGCCGAAAATTGGAGGTAGGTATCAAAGGAATGAATGATACTTGAAAACAATTGGTAAGGACAGCTAAGGACAGAGTTGGTTAAAGTATCCTGATCAAGCGTCTATGCTTCATGAGTAAATTAGCAGAATACAAATTCTGTCATAGATAAGCTGGAAACACAATAATGTTAAGATGCATTGGGTTAGGATTACATCGCTGTACTTTTAACCTTGGATACCATACCGATATCAATACTCACAGCTAAATGGCTACACAGACATCATCGTTCTTTCCAATAACCCACTTGAGAGGTTGAGTATATATACAGATTCATGCAGCTGATTAAACGACTATTACATATTTTTGTTTTTCTTTTCTTTACAACTGTATCTGACAATTCTTTTTGTTCTGAATAATCATTTACATTTTTATTACTTACGTCTATTAATCCCAATGGAGGATAGGGCTGCCGACCAGCATTCTCCAACCCACTCTTTCCTAGGCCTTACTTTTTAGTTCTATCCAATTGTTATGAATTCTTCTCATGTGTGTCTCTACTTTTCGGTGTATCGTGTTCTTAGGTCTTCCTCTTCTCTTCTGAACCTAAGGATTCCATGTGAGCGATTTCCTTGCGATGCAGTTGTGTGTTTTCCTCAATGTGTATCCTATCCACTTCTATCGCCTCTTCCTGATTTCTTCCTCTGCTGAGATCTGGTTTGTTCACCATGAGGAGTCAGAACTCTTCTAAATGAAGATCTAACTCCCAGGGCAGAGTTTAAATGGTTTGAATTATTTTTTTATGGTTAGTGTATTTTAGCGAGTTGATTTTCTACAGGACTAGGTCGCTAATCTCATGCCTAACCTTCCTCTTTTATCTAAGCTTGGGACCGGCAGTAGCTTAAGAGGGGCTCCAGGCCGAGTTATTTACATGTTTATAGTGAAAATTAACTTCTAATTGTATCTAATTTTGTTTTATTCATTGGACAAAAAACGGAAATGGTAACTAACGTTTTTTTGGTTTTAATGATCAGATTATGCAAATTTTATACTACAATAATAAATCTTTAGATAAATAAGTAGAATAGATGCAAATTTTCACAAGTTTTGTTATGATTACCAATGTTAATTAGGTAGGTATACGATTACATTTGTGATAGAAAAGATGATAAGTTATGTAATAGCATGGTAACTGATTTTATACATCATTTGTGGAATTCTGTTTTAATGTTTACTTCATCAATAACATGAATATACGATTATGTAATATGGATAAGATTATGGGAAGACAGTTAATAAATTACAATGTCATCATTTGTATCATTGCATGCAGATAAGTTTGCTAATTTATTCTGATATATGGCAAGCAATTACTTATTACGACGAAACGGTCGTCTAGTGGTTTCCGGTTTCTCATGGTGGTCTAGCTTTAATTGACTCATAAATTTGACTATTAAATTACTATGATATTCACAAAACCTATTTCTAATTATGATCATCATATCCTCACTAGTGACGGTCTCCAAGAGGTATTTCCTGGAGTTCTAGTGAGAAGCTATGACCATTGAAATTCAACCCGGTCTATTGTCAGATAGTAACTCACTGAACGGTGGCGCAACTTCGTGGATTAGTTGAAATTAGACATTAACACCGTTGGATGCCGGTTTAATCGTCTAGAGTTTAAGCATTCATGCGCGAGATTGATAGGTCTTGGGTTCAAATCTCGCTTGTGGTTTGTGCATACGCACTGTTGAGTAGTCCCATGTTAGAACGAAACGGCCGTTTAGTGCTTCCAGATTATCCACGGTGATCTAGCTTCAATTGACTCATAAATTTAGCTATTAAATTACCATAATATTCACAAAACCCATTTCTAATTACTTAATCATTTGGATTGCAAAGGACAATCATCTCTACAATCATCTGTAACTTGTAATCTTATTTTAGGGTGTAATTATATGAATTAGTTAATCAGTCATATCTACTTGTTATATAGATGCTTAATTATCTGATATGTGTGCACACAGTAATTTATTGATTAATTGATGCTACATACTACTGAATTCAGTATAAACAAACCTAACTGTTAACCTGAATGTAAATAAATCACATGAAAAGTGATGTACTTATGAAAATATATTTCTCTTGATTTACTTACTGGGTCAAATAAATCTTTCCCATCAGTAGTTATTGTTTTCATTACGCATCACTGGATTTCGAGTCTCAGTAACAAACACAAGGCAGTTAAGGATTACGTAGAAATTATAGTGTTATATATATATACTATATTAACAAAGTGTCGAAATCCGTGTTAGAAAAACCTCTTAGAATGCTAGAGAACTTCTCAGTCAGCTACAACGTAGGACCAGGCACATACATGCATCAATTCAAGTTGTCATACCTCATTAGCACAACAAGATAAACACCAAATTCATAGAAGCAGTTAACTCAATGGTGGTAATATATAAAGGGAAGATTTTATGTAAGGATATAATAGAGAAACAAAGAATTGGTTGGTAGAAACAAAATATAAATCAATTTTAATCTCATAGTTTAAGGTAAGATAGAGAGTGGATACACCGACACCATTGTGATCGATTATCAGCGATGTCAAACACAGTCTCCAACCATTGATTACGATAGTCACGCGGACCCCAATCAAGTAGTCTGCATCTACCAACATAGCTCAGATTAGAAGTTAGTGACTTCAAGCACTGATTCCACATTTTCGTTTGGCCGCCTCTAACTTTCTTCCAACCATTCCCAATACTAGTCAGTATTACGCGTCGTGGTAATCGGTGTTTAGACATACGTAACACGTTGCTCAACCATTTCGGTCGATTTAGATTCACAACCTCATCAATTGATTTACCATCATTCCCTAATTCCCTGCGTCTCCAATATCCTTCTAATAAAACAGCAATAAAAGCTTCATGATAAAACGGTTCCACATCAGTGATACTAACGACAATCAATCCATGTATGTAAAATATAACTTTTTATTGTCAATTTAAGATTTTCAACACTAGTTATAGGAACTTTTCAACCATATCAATAACAAAGTCTTCCGACATTCTAGTCGAATCTACTTTAAAAGTTTATTGCTTACTTACTTACGACTTTTACTCTTCGTGGAGGAGCATACACCGACCACGAACACTCTTCATCCGATTTCGTCCTGGACAATCATTTCCAACTCTTTCCAGTTGTTATTCATCCTTTCATATTTGATTCCATTTCCCGACGTAATGTGTTCTTTGGCCTTCCTCTTTTCAACCTCCCTTCAGGATTCGAAGTTACGGCTTGCCTCGTGATGCAGTTTGATGATTTGCGTAATGTATGTCCTATCCAGTTCCATCCTCTTTTCCTAATTTCCTCTTCAGCTGGAGGTTGGTTTGTTTTCTCTCATAGAAGGTTGCTACTGATGGTATCCGTCCAATGGATGCTGAGTATCTTGCGTAGACAACTATTTATAAATACTTGCACTGACAAGTGGATTGAGCATTGTTGGTAGGTGTAGACTACCTGGTTTGGATCAGCGAGACGATAGCGACCGATGGTTAGAGACCTTGAATGACATGGTTCGAAGTCGTTTGCAAAAGCGCAGGTGCATTCACTCTTTATGTTCTTCCAAGTTCTAATCTGATGAATTCTTCATGTCCTTTATTTTCCTGTTTCCAAATTTATTTCACTGGATTATACTCCTTGAATAACATCTTCAAACCGTAGTGTTTCCGATTTCTGCTTATACTTTTACTATCTCTATCGCTATGGGATTTGAATCGAAACTTGTACCTCAGTGCTAATGTGGTATGGAAACTCGAGCTGATGTACGTATTTACGAAGTTCTACGTTGTTACTGACTGACTGACCTTGTTCATCGATGATGCTTCCCAGGTACGTGAAAGATTCCACATCTTCCAGAGTTTCGCCATCAAGTATGATTGGCTTGGTGATCTTTGTGTTGTATTTGGGGATCTTACTTTTTCCCGTCGTGTATGTTGGTTCCTACTGATGCAGAGGCTGAATATTATTTCAAGAAAGCTTCATAAGTGTCATTTTTTAACCTTCATGTTGAAATGTTCATCTCCTTCTACAAAAAGCAAAAGCATTAATTTTTCTGATGTCTTTGGATATAAAGTGTTTTTTTAATTATACATCTTTACAAAATGTAATTATTATTGATCATATCAAAGATTCACTTATTCATAAAAAATTCTTATTACTTGAAGACTATTTCAATCATAAACTACGATCCATTGAAGAAGTATTCAAAGTTATGATAATGGTTTAGTTCTAGTTTTAGGAATCCATGGTAAGTCCATACTCATCATTCTATACAAGAAAGAAATATTTGAATAAGATAAATGTTTACATTATAAGATGATGGAGAAGATTTGTAGTTCAGGAGGATGATTTCGATGAATTTTTGTTCTCTGAGTTGGATGGTTTGGTCGTGGAGCTTTCATCGTTCTTCTGAACGACATCATCAGCACATTCCATCCTAATGTGCAGTTGATGATGTCGTTCAAAAGAACGATGAAAGCTCCACGACCAAACCATCCAGCTCAGAGAACAAAAATCCATCAAGATATTTACATTATCACGGAATATTGTAAATGTTGATGATTATGTCAGTCAGTAAACAACAACGTAGAACTTCGTACGTGCATACATGATGATAATGTTATAGATAAATAATTATGTTATCATTAAACATGATTTGATTATTTTGATCCATTAGAAATGAATCAGAATATTCGTTCATTGGAAAATGAAATAAATCGATTGAATGATGAGAATAAAAAACTTGATTTTGATCTAGTAAGTCTTTTTTTTTGTTTTTTTTAAGGATAAATTACTTTTTATTATCTGTTTATTGATTAGTTGATTATTGATTGATCTGATGATTGATTTCAAGAAGAACTGTTGAAGTTCTAATATGATTCTGAGGAGAGTAAACATCTATTATGTCAGGAATGGGTTAGATATTATTAATGGAATGGATTATGTTGAAGACTCTGATTATTAGATATTATCTTGGTAGGAGAAAAATAATGCGCTTTCAACATTCCTTAAATACAATAGGCGAGCAGTACTGTGGAGTCCTAAAGAGGAATAAAATATTTCATTGACTTTCGAATTTACCCCAATTGATGTCGATCTATGATAAAAAGAAACAAAACAATGACCTATATATTAGATTCATCTGTACAAGTAATAAGTGAAATATCTTAGATAAAATCAAAACGAACATGGATGTAAAATAATATGAATTAATTAGATTTCGTGGTTTCTCATCAGCTGTTTCCAACCGAATATGTATGAATTGCATGTAATATCAAACACACAGTTCACTTTTGCTTCCCCTCCCTTCTTAGTTACAAATTCAACAGGACTTTCAATCTATGATCTCATACTATGTTGAATTTTATACATTCCGATTTGTGGAATTAATTGTTATGAGGAAAAAGTCGATAGGAAAATATCACAGTTACATTCACTCTTTTACTTTACCCTAATTTTTTTTCTGTACTATTCTAAGGTATTAGTTTTTCAATCTTAGTTATTTCGTATATATCATCATTAAGAATTGAATTAATGGTTTCCAACATACCCAATATTACTCAGTTTTAGTACATGAGTGAGTGAGAACATGGAAGTACTGGACGGACGTCTCGTCCTATTGTGGGACTCGTCAGCAATGTGAATTCACTATCCTGCTCGCGGGATTCGAACCTAGAGCTTTTGGTCTAGCGCGCGAACGTTTAAACTCTAGAGGTTATTAATCTGCACAACCCCATACTGATACGTTACGTAATAATTATATAATGACATGTCAATTATAAACTAAAATTGAGTGATTGGAAGAAAGAGGATTATAATAATCAATAATCACGCTAGACCGACAAGTCCTGGGTTGGAATCCCGCGAGCGAGATTATATCATGTTGAAGATACATTAGTATTGCATAGCAAGCGTATGAATAAATTCAATCGACTGAATATTGTAAAATTTACCTTATATAAGAGAAAATCCAAACGGCCAGAAATAAGTGATTACATAATAAGTAAACAGTGATAAGAATAAAATGAGTAAAGCGTAGTTAATAAAATAAAATTAGTAATCTAGGAGACAGTCTAAAGAGCAAGACATAGTGATGTAGTAAATGCTAGAAAGACTTTTAAAAACAAGGAAAAAGTTGTAAGATGCACAAAACGAATATTTGTCACCAAGGGAAGGAGAAATTGATAACCATCTTCGTTTGAATATATAAATCAGGTTTCTGACACTTGATAGTAACGGCTTCAGCAAACTTCAAAAGACTGGAGTTTGGTTGTTTATGAACCACTTAGATAAATTGCAAGGTATCAATCTGATGTCCTGTATTCAAGAAATCTTTAGTAATTGCACTGTTTAAAGTCATTTCCTCTTTTGTTCTAAGGATTTTTGAAGCACGCTCAAAAAAACCGATGATATACCCCCGTTTCTGTTCGGTCAATATAGCTGTTTCGGCAGGTACACGTAAATTTATAAACACAGTTGGCGATAACATAATTTAATCAATTCTGATTCATTGAAGAAGTGACTTGAATTATGTTATGAAATTCCGAAAATTTCATTCTGTTCCTCACTGAGATACTACAAATATTACTTACTTACTTAAGCCTGTCACTCCCAATGGATCATAGGCCGCCAACCAGCAATACTAGTAATATATTTATTGTTATTTTTTGTCAACTTCATTTGATATTATTCCAATTTGTATTGCCTTGAATTGTTTTTTCTGGCTAGCGTGTTTTTAACGAGTTAGTTTTCTACAGGATGGGGTCGCTAATCCTATCCTCAACCCTTCTCCTCTATCCGGGCTTCAGACCGGCAGATGAATACTTCGCTGTGAACTGTCTTTTCATTTTATTGCTTTATAGGTATTTGCTAAGTCCTGTATTGTTTGTAACTGACTGATTGATTTAAAAATATAGTAAAACCGTTTATAATATATAATCATCTATTATTCTATTCCACAAATAATGATTTCTACTATCTAAATACTGTGTTCATATTTTAATGGTTGAAATCATGAGTCAATTGAAGTTAGACCACCATGGAAAACCTGAAAGTACTGAGCCTTCGTTTCGTCCTATTGTGAAACTCCTCAGAAGTGCCCATCTACAATTCCGCCTCCTGAGATTCGAACCTAGGGTCTATCAGTTTCGTGAGCCAACGCTTAACCTCTAGACCACTGAGCTAACATCCAGTGGTGTTAATGTCTAACTTCAAATAATCCATGAAATAGAGTGACACATCAACCATTGGTCATCAGTAAGTTACTATTTCACAATCGAACCAATTGAACTCCACTGATCACTGTTTCTTACTAGAATTCCAGAAAATACTTCTTGATCCCAGTCACTATTGAGCATATGTTGATGAATATCAGAAGGGGTTTTGTAGATCTTATAGTAATTCTAATGTATTATGTAATATTGAATATTTTTTTGTCTTAGAAATTATCGAAAAAGCAAACGAATGCATTTCAAATGGATTATATGAATAAATTTATCAATGAAATTGATTTATTGAAGAATAATGAAAAAAATATTTATACTTATGGTTGTCGTTTAAATACAGTAGGAATTGAAAATGCTCGAATCAATGCAGTAAGTTACTAAGACGGATATTGATTTTTTAATTTTCAATAATTTTCCTTAAAAATCGATTAAATTTGGGATGAATCGGGTAATTTGAGTTTTTGATATTATGTTATTATATACTATACTATACTGTACTATATTATACTATGGATATACATAATAGTTTAGTGATTGAAGTATTCAAATTTCTTGTGATAACTTGTGGTCTGAGTACCCTGCTAATGTATCACGTAATGATACCGCCAACTGAAGTTCAGTGATTTATCGATCGGATCAATGACGCGTAGACCCGTATGAGCAGTTCACAGTCCTTATCGGTCCTGCTTCCCGCCTAGCTCAGCCAGTTAATTTTAGAACGTCAATCTCAGCCTCTGCGATATGAATCATTTAATTCAAACATACTGGGTTTATATAGCAAACAGAAAGACATCGTACCATAAAATAAGAAAAACATTTGTACAAAATTTAGCCAAATGTAGCTGTGAATAAGGGAAATGGTGATTGTTAGACAGGGCATAATTCAAGAATGATAAGAGGGACATGAATATGAACAGTTTAGTTATTTAATAAAAATATACGTATAGTATTGGTCCATAAATGGATCCCAAAAGTTACAATTCATTATGCTTATATACTATACGTTACTGTACTATACTATACTATTGATATACATAATAGTTTAGTGATTGAAGTGTTCAACTTTCCATTACTAAGTTTGAGGTTTCATCTTAAAACAATCATCAGCTTCACACAAGTTGGATGGATCTAAGTTGATCAAATGACTCCGTACTTAATATACAAGTTGATAATAAGTACAGAATTGTTATGTATTCAGTGTTGCGTATTTGTATGTGATTTGATAGTTTTCTGTTAATTTTACATAGTTTACTGTAAACATTTGATAGTGAGTGATATATAGACACTATCGGTCAGTCAGCAATAACGTAGAACTTCGTACAAACGTACATCAGTTCGAGTTGTCATACCACATTAGTACAGAGATGCAGCTGTCGATTCAAATCCCATAGTGGTAGAGGTGGTAAAAGTATATGTAGTAATCGGAAAGATTATGGTTTGAAGATGTTATTCAAGGAGTATAATCCAGTGAAGTAAATTTGGAAAGAGCAAAATAGAGATAATGGTGCATTTGCACCATTGCAAGCGATTTCGAGCCATGTCATTCTAGGTCTCTAACCATCGGTTGCCATCGTCTCGCCGATCCCAACCAATTGTCAATGACTTCATGGATTTGTGCCATGTTTTGATCTTATCACACCTAGCTTTCTTCCAACCTACTCCAACACCATTAAACACTATATTGAAATGATTCAGAAGAGATTTAATTACAGTGGATGCTTTTCGTTAGTACTGTGTTTTTTCATGAGCTGGATAGTTTAATTTGAAAGCTTCGTGATCATTCTATTCGAGATGATGTTTCCATGTAACACATTTCTCACTGATCTTATTTCAACAAAATAGTTTATATTTTAATTTTCCACATTATCAATATCTATGTTTTATTGACTGAACAACCATGAACAAAGCGAGTAAATAACCCAGGTTCAATATGAACTAGACAATGAAGGTGTGGTAAGTGTTATGAAAGGTTAAATCTTATGTATATACCAACCTTCATTCAAGATCACCAATATTAAAGCTTATTGATTAACAAAATATCGTCTATCCGCCAAGTGAATTAAGCTAACTAATTTTAAGAAAATAAACTGCTTAAACATTCCTGTCTGTCAAATGTAAATCTGCCTTTTTGATGGAGTTTTGCTTTAGTCAAAAACCAAACCAATGAAAGATACAAACAAAATAAAGAATTAAACAATGACAGGTTTAAGGTCAACAAGAACCAATTAACATCGAGGTCTAGAGGACAAGCTGTTAACCACATGTGGAGAAATTCGAACACTTCAATTCTATCTGAAGTTTGTGCTGATGATGTCATTCGCAAGAACGATGAAAGCTCCACGACCAAAACATCCAGCTCAGTCAACAAAACTCTATCAAAATCATCCACCTGAGCTACAAATCTTCACCATCTGTAAATCTGCCTATGGTTTCAACTGAAATAAATGATTATTTAAATTATCTACATAATAATCTTATATTAATAATGGTCGTTGTATGAGGTCCACCTATTCATCTAATTATTATTATGAAATAAAACCTACTTATTTGACGACTCCACTTGGAGCCCCCCTGGGGCTACTGCCGATCTGAAGCACGGATAAAGGAGAAGAATTGGGCATGGGGTTAGCGACCCCATTCCGTAGAAAACTAACTCGCTGAAAAAGCGCTAACCAGAAAGAACTTATTTGACGCTTATTATCCCAGTTGTCAACAATCGACATTAAGTTTCACTACAGAGCACAAAGAATGATGATTTTTTTGAGAATATATGTAATGAAGAATTCCGAGTATGACTTTTTAATTTTAAAATAAAAGCATTTTTTTAGTATCTAAAACTTATTCAAAGTAAAATCTATCGAAAATTTCCCAAGTATTTTTGAACTACCCCTTGAACAGACTATCCTCTGGCTGCTTGAAATAGATATACGAGATAACATTACTATAATGAAAATAAAAATTTGTAAACAAATTTGAAGAATTACAGTATTTATTGAGAGCAGAGTTTTTATTTGATCACATAAATACTAGTACAAGAGGGCACCAGATACATATGCCCTACACAAATCTCATTTGATTTGTGTGAGGGTGCCCAAACCGAAGTAGATGATTTTCCTAGGAGGACACACCCGGAGCCTTCAACTTAAAGATCTCGTCCACAAGACAGTGGAGCATCGTGAGGAGATGCAGTACCATGGTAGCCGGTTCCCAATTATTGGTTCATACTCCATTTATTCCCTCAAGATCCTGGAGCCAATGTGCACTATTGGTTTGGAATCAGTGTTTTCCAACTCCCCTAGGTGGACTCTCCATGTCCACTAACCCGGTTAAACGCCGGACATTCGCTTTTCGTCCTCTCAATTTCGTAAACAACACCCCCGCCACGAGAAGGCAGTGAGTAGGACTTCCCTGGCAGAGGCTATATACGCATGGCCATGTGAGGGCATTTGGAGGCAGATTCTTCATTAGACATTTAGAAAACTACATTTTTGACTGATTGCAGAGCGGAAGGACAGAAGACGAATCGGACATGTTTCACATCATCAAAAATATTATTCCCCATTTCAATTCTCACCTTTACTTATATGCGCTTTTTTCATGATAGCCCTTATTCATGTGTACCCTTTTTCATTTGCTCTTTAGAATGAATACCATTCTACATTACTTATCACATAGATTGATTAAAATGTTTACATCATATTTATACAATTTTTTTCCACTTTATGGACACTTGGATAGATATGTGTGTATTTAACATGCTTATTCAACTTCATATGATGCATAAATATGTGTGCACGTACCTGTGTGGATTTTTCGGTGTTTATTTAAAGTAAACAAATTAAAAATCGATAAAAAAATTACAAAATTGGTTTGTATTAAATAAACAGCACTAGAAATTCAGACACATAGATTATTTGTTCTGATCTGAAATGTATTGTGCTTGCCTCGTAACTTCAATATACTATGTCTTACCCCCCCATGGGGGGTTAAGAAAAGCAACTTGCATACATATTTTTACAGAGAGAAACGAATAGGTTACTTCTCAAAAGAAGTATTGATAATGGTAAATCTTCTGACTGAACGCTTGAATCGGTTTTCTAAGCTCTTCTAATAACCACAGGCTAACTCTACACAACAACTTGAATACGAGAGGAAAAGCACGAAACATGGTAAGGAGGCTTTACTTCAAAGTTAGTTTGTGTACAGAAATTGGAGGTATTTATAGCTTTTCAGATGGCTTTGGGCTTCTGGAACCCTACTAAGCACAATAGCAAGATTGGTAACCATCCAATCAGAAATGTGACACGTGACTTCACTTTCCAGTAGTTTATGAGAAACGCTTATTCAATGCTGATTGGACTAAACGTTTCCAGGAGCTATTTAGGCTTTTTTCAAGGAATTCTCTGGACCTCCCCAGCCCCTTTATCCTTTCTTCTTCGAGCCTGCTTGCAGCATGGTGACTGGCTTCCGACGCCGTTCCGACTTCCTTGGTGTCCTGTGACTACGAATTTTCATCCTATTGTTCTCCATTATGTCCCTAAAAGTCCTGTCATTATACTATCTGTAATTATTCCCAGTGAGAGACTCACTTGCCTATCTACCGCATTCAACGTCTTTTTCTTCTCTATGGATTTGGTTGATGAATCTAATCCACGTTCCGAAAGTCCCACCCACTTTATACAAAATGTTTCTTATTCTTTGTCTCAGTGAAGTGATCACAATAAATTAATCACAGGCTGTATATTTTAACTTTTTGGTCACACATTGATTGACTCTTAAGTACCATCAAAAACCGGGAACTAATAGGAATCTATATCGTACCACTATGGAACTTTTAATCAGTGGGACTCACGACATCTTCAGGAAATAGACCAACGACCTTCAGATCCCGTGTTTTAAGTAAATAAATATACAAATCACATGGTGGACGCATAAACATCAAAACCACTGATATAACTTTAACCATAAACAATTTCCAATATAGTATGACGACCATTCAAAAGGAATGATGACAATTGTCACACTCCCGGCGTGTTTGAAGCCCACCAACAGTGATTTCTCGATAGTTCTAATGGTTGAACGTTCGTCACAACACCTGAAAGTTCTGATTTCGATCCTCGATATGGTTACAGATGAATCCTACGGAATTGTCCCGTACTAGAATGGAACGTTTGTCCATTGTCTCCTGGTTTTCATTGGTACCGCAAATGAGATCAAACTATGACGCATACTACGCACAATCATAGATTCCTTTGAAGATAACTAAATCCGAGATAAATGTTTTATAAAGAGCTGTTAATGATAGCAAACATGGCTAAATTTTCATCCTTGATACATCTGGACACATGTTTCTAATCCTTTATTTCAGTAGTATATAATCTGAAATGCTGTATGTAGAAATTTAAAATTTCTCTTGCAGTAAAGAAAAATAGTAACGCATTTCAAATATTTCAAGGATACTCCAATGTGAAAATGATTCGACTAATATGTGCATTGTAGAACCTGGAACATATGGGTTCCCATATTACAATGAAATAAAATTATCATAACAAATCCCGGAGTAGTAGAAATAGTTACAGTGTCTGTGGTAGTAAATAATACTAGACATAAGTAGTACGATTTGACAAGCGAAAATGAATTCAAAGAATAAAAAAATAATACGCTGATTTTAAATATGAAGATCTAATGGTGATCGAAATTGAACTATATCAGCCAGTCTCCAACTATTGGCTACGACCATAGTCTGAACTTATTAACATGTCTCAGTTCAACAATCGATGTTAATTAATTAATAATTAGAATTCACAGAAACAGTAATTTTAAAACTCTGGATATCTAAACAAAGATGGATAGTGATTAGAAGTGGAATCCAGGACACGCATTTCCTTCTATTTGGGACTCGTCAGCTAGATATACTTGCATCTCAGAGTTGATATTCACTCTGAGACTCCAACTCAGTACCATTCACTTCAAACGTTATCGTGTATATCCACTTAGCTACTGAGTCCTGATAGTCACTTGCTTCTGCAATAAGGGTGAAGTTTTTCAATTCACTTGATATTGTTTACTTGAAACTTCCCACTGGATATCTAAATAAAAGTGACCTATTTTTTGTGTGTTTAGCATATATCCCTGCAGGCTATATTATAGTTACTAAGTATATCCAACCCCCTAATTGTTTCTTCTTTGTTAACCTTTCAGCATATTACAATTTATTTATTATAATAAATTCTTATTAAATATTTAGGGTATTACAAAACAAGAACAAACTATACAACATATTTGTTCAGATTGGGAAAAGATATTGAGATTTAAATCAATATTAAGAAATCAATATCAATCTATAAAAGGTTCGATTGATTTACGATTTGGAATGTGTATCGATTCAATGAATCATAAAATGTTATTTACATCAAATGAAAATTTTCCCTATATTTTATTCATTTGTTAAGGTAGTTAATTAAGGTAATGATTAAGGCATTGATTGTTGTTGTTTACGTAAATCTGATCGACAATCGGTTATTGCATACTATCTGATATTCTTTCTTTAACTATTTGCAACATTTTGTATTGCTTCAGTCAGTCAGCTAAAATATAGGACCAGGCACATATATCCATCGGTTCAAGTTACCACACCTCATTAGCACAACAAGATGAACACCTAACTCAAAGAAGTAGTTAATTCAATGGTGGTAATATATAAAAGAAAGATTGCTTATAAGAATACAGTACAGAAAGAAAGAATTAGTTGGTAGAAAGAAAGATATGAAGCGATTTTAATCTTTTAGTTTAAGGGAAGACATAGAGTGTATACACCGACGCCATTGTGATCGATTCTGAGCCATGTCACCCAGAGTCTCCAACCATTGGTTACGACAGTCACGCGGACTCCAACCAAGTAGTCTACATCTACCCACATGGCTCAGACTAGACGTTAGTGACTTCAAGTACTGATGCCACGTTTGACCGCTCCTAACTTTTTCCAACCATCCCCAACACCGGTTAGCATTGCACGTCGTGGTAATCGGTGTTCGGGCATACGTAACACGTGGCCCAACCATCTTAGTCGATGAAGTTTTACAACGTCATCAACTGACTTTACTGATTGATATAACCAGCGATGTTATTATTGATCTGTTCGGACTGTAATTCACCTTCCCTTAGGTTCTAGATATCTACTTATAATTTCACCAATTACTAGTTATGATTGCCAATGTTGATTGAATTTCATGGACAACATTCTAATGAACTTAATTTAATTTTAGATGGTTAGAAAAAATCATCAAACATGCTTTACTCGTCACTTATTGTAGATTTCTAATTATTTAAGAGGTCGGGAAGTATCTCGAATAGCTCAATGGTAATGTCTTTGATAATGGTTCACATATCTTTCAAAAACAAAAAGACATTGAAATTTTCAACTTCCATCGATAGACCTTACTGATGATTCCCAACTAACATGAAACTAATGAATTGTCTTCAATAAAATACATTGCAATATCAAATTATCGAAACTAGTAATCATTTTATAATTTGTTTAATAATAGTAGTGTATTGACCAGAGGTTATTTCAGTTATGTTATTAATGTGGCCTATGTGCCCTGTTAATGTATAACGTGATGATACCGTCAATTAGAGAACACTGAATTATCGACTGGACCAATGATGCATAAAAGAAGTACGAGCAGTCTAGAGTCTTCACTGGTCCTTCTTCCCATCTAGTCCTACCTGATGGAGTCCAGAACACCGATCTCAGCCTCTGAGATATGAATCATTTATTTCAAGCACACTGGGTTTATATTCCAATCAGACAGACCATATCGTAGTATAAAATAGGAAACAACACCTGTACAAGATTTAGCCAAATGTGGCTGTGAATGTGGGAGATAGAGACTGATAAACTTGAGTATAAGTCAAGAATGGTAAATCGTATCATAATAGTTCATAGATCAAAATAAAGCTCATGATAAGAGGGATATGAATATGAATAGTTTAGTTGTTAAACAATTATACGATAATAATATACTTATAGTATTAGTTCAGAAATAGTTTCCAATAGTTACCATTCATTATACTCATAGGAATATAACAAGTTACTATCTACATCTTCTATTGATTATTTATACCCATTATTCGTTTGTATTTGCTTGTTGTTTTATGATTAGTTATGATCACAAATAATGAAAATAAAGAAAAGAAATTAATTCAATCATCTATTGATCTTTATCAATATCTTATCAATATAAAATTAAATATCATAAAAGAACAATGTATTGAACGTGATCAATTATTGAATCAATTTCTACCGGAATTAATGAAAAAATTTAATGAAATTAATCAATATTTTTACAATGATATTAACACATCCAAACAATGATAAGATGATGCAATCAATGAATGATTCAAAAGAAAATAGAGAGAAAACATGACAAGGAACATAATGATGGCGATGATGATGACGATGATATGGAATAGGTTAAATGAATATGTTTCAATTAGATGGAAACTATTTAGTTATTTTGTTTAATAAAACAAAACAGAAATAATCATCATAATCATAAAACATTTGTTTATTGACTTTTTTTTTAAGACTCAGCAGTTCACATTCACGATCCCACCTTGCAGGAATCAGTTGTTTAGAGGTTCAGCGCTTGCGCGTGAGACCGAAAGGTCTTGGATTCGAATCCTATGGGTGAGATGGTGGGTATGCATTTGTGAGGAGTTTTATACTAGGACAAAACGACCAATTAGTGCTTCAGTTTTTCATAGTGGTCTAATTTTAATTGAACCATGAATTCAATTATGTAATTACTACAATCTCCACAAAAACCCTATTCCGGTAATAATCATCATATGCTAACTAGTGACTGGCTTCATGAGGTATTTCCGGGATTTCTAGTGACAAGTCGTGGCCAGAGAAGTTCAACTGTGTCTATTGTGAAGTAGTTACTCGATCAAGATAATGGTGGATGGTTGCACAATGTCGTGGATTGGTCGAATTTTAGACATTAACACCATTGAATGCCTTAGCAGTGGTCTAGTTGGTAAGCATTCGCGTACGAGACCGAAGGGTTCTGGGTTCGAATCCTACGAGTGGGATCGTAGATATGGATTGTTGATGAGTCTCATACTAGAACAAAACGACGGCTTACTGTTTCAGAGTTTTTCATAGTGGTTTAACTTTAATTGACTCATGAACTAAATTATTAAATTACTACGATCTCTATAAAAATCTCCTTCTAAATATATATAATTAGACAAAATTTAATAAAAGGGAATGTAATTAGTTCATAAGCGTAGAAAAATGTTTTGATATACTGAAATAGTTTGATATCTTATAATTGCTTTTTGATTTCTCCAAGAAACTTGAAACGCGATAATGAAACGAATGTATACTTTGCAAAGTTTAGCAAAATTCATCTTTATAAAGTTGTTAAGACTGGTTGAAATTGATAAACATGTTTTTGTAGTGGAACCTTACGATGGGTATATTATACTATGAAAGTTAAGTTATAGGGAACACTTATTAGATGGCACCTGAAGTGGAAATTACAATTTATGTAAACTTCATGTGATTCAAAGCATTATTATGAGTATTTATTAATGAGAAAAAACTGACCTTGATAGCATCGTTGGGGATCTAACTTCCAATGACGATGGTGGAACCTAGGTCACAATCAACTTCAGATATTTACTTAGAGTTGAAAGTTGCGTGATGAATAAGATGAAAATAATGACTTATGAAGTCTGATACGAAATTTGTTGTAGCTCTGTATATTGCAAGTATTTCCATAAGCAGACAATCCGTGAATGAATAGAATAAGTTTCTTGTAGAAATTAGTGTGAGATAAAATTGTTGAATTAAATTTGACTCAATTTATATATAGGAGCATACACGATGTACAGAAAATATACATCTCGTTATTCATATGAGATATACTTAGGCATGTTATCCCTCGTGGAGGAACATAGACTGCCCATCAGCATTCTCCATCAAAATCTGTCCTGGGAAATCCTTTCCAGTAACTATTCATCCTTCTCATGTTTGATTCAGATTCCCATTGCAGTGCGTTTGTTGATCTTCCTCTTTCACGTTTCCATGTTAGCACTTGCTTCGTCATACAGCTTGGTGATTTCCGTAATGTATGTCTTATCCACTTCCAACATCTTTTTCTAATTCCCTCTTCAGTTGTAAGTTGATTTTTTCTGTCACAGTAGATTGTTACTGATAGTATCCAATCAGTGGACCTAGTATATTTTGCGTAGACAACTGTTTATCAAAATTCGTACTTTTTTTTATAATGATTGTGGTAGTTCTCCACGTTTAAGCTCCGTACAGTAGAATTGTTTTGATATTCGTATTGAAGATCCTGATATTGGTTGACAGTTGTTTCGAGTTCCATATGTTGTTCAACTGTAAGAATGCTGCCCTTGCTTTGCCAATCCTTGTCTTTATGTTTCCATCACATGTGAGAAATTGTACAACATAATTCAACAGAACTAGAAATGAAATATTTACACGTCAGACTTGAAAAGATAATAATAAATTGCATAGGGGTCTACTCAAAATGGGTACATTCCAAACCATAAAAAAATGCCTTGATTAGCAATTTGGACTTTGTTTACCTAAGATTTCATCAACCATAAATGAATGAAATTAAACAACTAGGCATTTGTTTGTGAATTCCTTCATAACTTTACGGGATATGCATTTTTGCGAAGGCTAGTTAATGATACTACTATTCGACTACTTGAATAAAAAAAAAGGTAGAGTGAAGTTGAAAGATTTAATCATTTCATCATTTGAGGTTCAATATAACACAATACAATGTCAACCGATCAAATTTCGTTAACAGCAGAAAAATGATTACATATAGAATAAATGGCAACCAATTGCATTAGATATTACAAATGAATATTGTCAATAATAATCAAAGGGAATAAGAAGAATATGGCAACTACGATGGAGGACAAAAAAAACTGGATTATAGTACTTTAATTTTGGAATTAATGTAAAATGTTCAATCAGTAGACATATTATGCAATTTCATTGTCGGTCATGGTGAAATATCATATGAAGGTTACTAGTGATAATATTTGATGTGTTAATGAATGGAATAAACATTGATTCAAATCAGTTCATCTCAAAAATAAAGTCATCTAAATCTTTATGTTTAAAACTTAGAAACCTTGAATTCAAGCTTCATCGAAGTTGGTGCTCATCAGCAAAGTGTACTTGGAAATTCGAAGCAACTGATGCTCCATAATGAATTCAACACAGTTTCATTAGGTCAGTCCAACCACCTCGTATTTCAAAAAAGTCCATGCGACAATGACCAAGCTAAACGCTACAGATCCATATATAAATAAGGAATATTTACTACATAAGTGAACAACTGCAGATTTGGTTATACACTAACCGTATAAATAATCGGGATGTTATATTTGCAATATCCTGACATTTAGTGACTCAGTGAAAGTCACTTCATCAGAGAATGAAAAAAGATAACTATTTAAATATTTATACCACCCAGCTTCAATGGATTTCCCAAGATTATGCAATTATATAGTTAGCCTACGAATGAACTCATTAAAAACACATATACCGTATCTAAAACTGGTTGGCAAATTCCGTTAAAACGTGTTATTTAATGACTTATTTTCATTATTGATGGAAATTAACTAGGAACTGGAATTCTATATGATATAAAGACATACAGAATTATTAACCTTAAGCTTAAAACAATGGATTAATGTGACCGGATTATAAGACAATTATAAATGAAATAGAAATTACTGATAGTAGTACACTACCTTAGTACAATGTTATATTGATCATCTAAATTCCTGAAATCATCTATATATCCAAAAAAAAGATATCAATATGAATATAGTGAATAATTCATACAAACTATTCAACCAGTTTCATACAAACAAAATTGAAAGTATTTTTCAGTATAGGGTTGTTAGTCAATCAGTAACAACGTAGAACTTCATACATACGTATATCCGTTTGAGTTGCCATATCACATTAGTACATAGATGGAGTTGTCGATTGAAATCCCATAGTGGTGGAGATAGTAAAAGTATAAAAGTAATAGGAAAGATTAGAGTTTGAAGATGTTATTCAAGGAGTATAATCCAGTGAAATAAATTTGGAAAGAAGAAAAAGATGAGGGATATGAAGAATTCAGTAGATTAGAATTTAGGAGAACACAAAGAGTGAATGTTCCTACGCCATTCCAAACGATTTTGAGTAATGTCACATTCAAGGTCTCTAACCATCGATTGCTAAGGTTATTAGATCACTAGGTTTTCAATAATAGTTTAACATGGATAACTTTATGATTTCAATAAAGTAAAAAAAGAAGAAAAAGAAAGGAACTAATTTCAGAATCAATAATTTCTTATTTTCTCAGTCACTAACACAAAAAAAACATTTACTCTGAGATATAAGAAAGAGTAAAATGATTTACATTAATATCAATGTTGTGTTCAGATGTAAATGAATAGATTGTCTATAGTTCAAATGAACAAATAATCATTAACATTAATAGGAAGTAATAGAATACACTTTAAACAAAACATATACAATAGAGCAATACCATGCTCATATGATTTTGAAATGGTGGAGAAAATTTGTACCTCAAGTGGATAATTTTGATAAAGTTTTGTTCTCTGAGCTGGATGATTTGGTCGTGGACCTCTTATCCTTCATCTGAATGACATCATCAGCACAAACTTCAGGTAGACGTCTTCTATGATGAACGATGAAAGCTTCACGACCATATCACCCAGCTCAGTCAACAAAACTCGATCAAAAATAGAGTAATACATAGAAACATATAGATTATATATGCAAAATACGTTATAAATGCATTTGAAGCAAAATAATAAAGGAGGCAAACTTTTTTTAAAATAAATCCCATTTCTTCCTATGAAATGGGTAAACAGTAAGGTAAAGAAATAAAAAACAACCCATGGATCATAGACGAATAATAATAATAATAATATCTAATCTTGAAATGAATGTAGTGTATACACATCTAGAAAGAATATTTTATCACAACAACAACAACAACAGCAAGAAAAAGAATGAAGGGCGAAAAACAAAACATGGTAATAATAATAATAATAATAATTGGACGTGTTTTTGTAATCATCTTCATGAAAGAAAAATCAATTTTGCCATAGCAGATACCTTTTATAAAGTAAGGAGAATAATGATGATGTTGATGATAAAAGTTGGAATCATTTCATTATAATCATTGACCAATCATAACACAATGAACAGCAGTTAGTAGTTACATAATATTCATAAACCGGGGTTAATATCATGCACACAAAAAAAGCAGGCAACGATGAACATATACAAACAGATCATATTTATATGTATATATGTATATAATAAACTTAATGTACACAAATGAATCATCGTAATGGATTACTTAATAATTGCAAAAGAGAACAAAATGTATCTATCCATAAATAGATGAATGTTACTCTTTTATTACCAATCTATTCAATGAAGATACAATGATGATAGTGATCATTGGAAACATCTTTAGAAAATGGAGAAAAAAAACAAACAATAACACATTGATTAACAATTTTCAAAACAACAAAAACAGTGATGAGGTAAAAAGCAAACAAACAAAAAGTAGAAGAAGAAGAAGAAGAAGAAGAGTTGTAAACATATAAGTATGTTTATACATGATATAAGTAGTATCTGAAAGACTAAAAACATTTCTCTTTATATAGACGGAAATAAATAAGAATTTCTAAATTAGAAAAGAAAACTATCAATCATGTTTTTTTAAATGTTTTCAATGAAAAATCTTTCTGAAATGATCAAGAAATATAAGGGATTAATGAGAAAAATAAATAAATAAATAAAGGAGAGACCAATGAGGTATCCATTTACAACAGTTATATTATACATTAAAAATCGATGTGTTCTATATCTTATTGCCAACAACAAATGACTACATTTAAATATCAAAATATTGTAATAGGTATACAATATGAAGGTAGATTAGTTGTAAAAGAGAGAGAGAGGAGGGAAAGGAGAAAACTCTTCAGTTACACTTCGAACAAGAGATAACAACAACAGATAGTTGAATGTATATATGTGTAACTGTATGTAAATATAAAAAATTACTAATATTAGCAGTATAACCAAGAAGTATCATGAAAGCGTACAAGCATAATAACGACTAGAAATGATTATTCGATATAATAGATGGTGGAGTTGACGGTGGAGATGTTGTCGTTGTTGTTGTAGTTGACGTTGCTGATGAAGATGAATTCAAGTAAACACTTGTAATCATTGGATCATCTGGTATAAGACAAAGATCTTCTAATGGACCAATTGACTCAGTCATAACAGCTGGTGGTAAATCTTTCCACATTGAATATAATTCACCATTGATAGGACTATATGATTTATCATAATTCACTATTTTGTTATCGATTGTTGATTTTGGTGTAGATACAGTGGAATTTGATGGATCAGATGGTGGGTTTGGTTGAGTAAATTTTAAATAACTACCAAGGGTAAAACGATTAGCATTATTACTACTATTATGTTCAGTGGTACTATTAGTGTTATTAGTCATTTCTAATATTTTATCAGAATCCAATGATGATTTTCTAAGCATCAATTCATGATTATCGGTTTTCGATTGAAGACGTTGTGATGTCAGTAGACTTTCATATTGATATTCCAATTGTAAATAACCTTGTTTACGTTCAGCTAGTTGAGTTTTAAATTCCATTTCACGACTACGCCACATAACACCATCGGCTTTACGCTAAAATTTTCAAACGAAACATTATTCAGGAGAAAAAAAAGTTAATTGTGACATTGTCGTGAAACAATGAGAAAACAAATCAAGCATAGAAATTTGTAATTACAAAGTGTACTATCCACAATGTTATTGTTTGAAGGTATTAGACTGTCCAATCAATGAGTCAATATTTTAGAACCCTACTAGATCGCCACTGCATTGTATTTAATTAAATGTGAATTTAAACAGGATCAATACAGAGGATTTAACAGTCAGTCAGCTACAACGTAGGACCAGGCACATATATGCATCGGTCCAAGTTGGATTGTTGGTACAGGTTTTTCAATTTCGAGATGGGAATGTAGAAAAATCGAATTGGAATTCAATAGTTTGAAAGAAATTGTGCTCATGAGAAGACCCGAAGATCTTTCGGTAAATAGGAGGGACTGTTTAACGGACTTAAAATATAACAAAGCTACTGTCCAGTACTCCGACGTTTTCACTGATTTCAGAGCTGATGTTAATCCAAAAAAATTATATTGGAGGGGTTACATTTCTAAGAAAACTAGTCAATCTTGTGATTCAGTGAAGAAAAGTGCCAATAATAATAATAATGGTGATGCATATTAGTATCCTGGTTGAAATGAGAACCAGGCTTGCAGTGCAATGAATCTAAACATTTAATAAAGTTAAAAAAAATAAGTAACGAATATTGATTGAGAACTGTGTAGTAGACGATTTCGTGTTTGCTATCCAGTTCTTGGTGTCGATCAAATTTTATCCATTAACTTGAATGAAGCCAATAGTCTAAGTGAATTTGTATTGCCTAGCATCGTAGTTTGAGGTTAGAGGCCTATGAAAGGACTGGACCTAGATTTCGAGCTAACTAGGAATCATCAACAAGGGATACTTGGAAATTAGATACTATTGACCGTTTCGCCATCTAGTCGATAGAATTATGTTAGGAATGAAGAAAAGATAAGTAAGAAATTGGTTAATACACAGTGACTATTCTATGCAAGTATTTCAGTTCTACAGCGAATTATTCGTAGCGTGAATAGTTTAGTGGCAACATCTAATATTATCGAAACAATATGACGTGGATCAAATCCTACAAGAGCATTAGTCCTCTCAAGATTGATACTTATTATTACATGGCCTCTAAAATTACTGAAGTTATCGACCATCGATCTGAGTCATTCTAGTACGTACAGTTTACCCAGTTGCGGTCCACGCTATTAATGTGACGGATAGTTGCGAACGTTAGCTGATAAACCTCAGAGTCTATTTCAATGATGTAATTGCATTCGCTCTTTCTTTCCGATTATATCATGAGTTTTAGAAACATTTTATACACCTAATTCATTTTATCGAGTCATTTTCTTTATGCCGAATCTTCACTATCACTAATACTTTTGATACTCAGGTATTTACCTTGATAATTTTGTTCTCGATGTATAGTTGCAGTGTGACAACTTGAGGTAATGTATATATTTACCAAGTTCCATATTGGTTATAACTAACGTAAGCAGCTGAATATTAGTGTGCCCGGTAGGCTCTTAAAGAACATGTACTAGCTACTGTATAAAGCTTAGTAATCACTTACACATAATTATTAGGTTGATAATACAAATCTGAAACAAATTTTTAAAAAAACTGGGAGGACAGACAGAAACTAATGGGCAGTGAGACAGCGAAATCTATTACAAAGAAGTACATCACGGGATTGTTGTTGAACAGCAGTGGTCCTAATACCAAAGTTAGTTTGGCAGGGAAGAAAAAAAGTGGACAAGGATGTGGACGAGTACAGAATAAACAAATCTAAGAAAAGAGCAGTATACTAATACTGTGTACAATTTATCAATACATGTATATGCACGAAAAGAGAGAAGGAAACCCACACACTTTAAACAGATTTCGAAGTAAACATGTTTTCTGGTTGAGTAGTGTTTATGACGTAACAGATATAATGTACAAACTATTGATTACTATCAGCCTTTCACGGTCATTTCATTTTAATAATGGTAAGAATTATTGCATACCGGTAAGAGTTGTTGTGCTGTTGGAGAGTGGGTTCAGTTCAACTGGTCACAATAGTCATACCACAGGAATATTATGTAGGTATGTTTTTATCAATGTTACAGCACAGAATCGACAGAAAAAAGATCAACAAATATGCGTCGGAAAAAATCGGTATGTATTAATGATAAATAATCAGTAAACTCATTCACCAGGTACTTATGTATGAGATGGATATATTTTAAGTGTGAGGACTGATGATAGTACTAAATTCCGCAAACCAGAGTAGATAGAGTGGCGTTCAAACCTGAGATTTAGTGGTGTTGAGATGAATTTGTATTTTTAGTATATACTAAACAATTGTCCTAACGTTTCTACAGTATTTAAAATGCTAACCTAGTCGTAAAATATGGTACTCACTTTGAGACTGAATGTCGACGTGCAGGCTTAAGATACTATTTACCAGTTTCGTACGAAAATAAAGTTGGAACGTATGATGACTTGGTATAAAGTTGAATGTTTTAAATATTTCCAGATGGTTGAAAACCGTGAGTGACATGAAATTCACTGAGACGTTATTTAGAATGTTTTGTGCTTTGAGTAAGTAAACCAAGTACAAGGATGTAACCTTATGAAGGTACAACAACTGGATAGCTTTTTAAAAAAAAGTAATTCAAAATACTATTTGAATATGATATACATGAAGGTTCTTCAGAGATATCCCACAGTTTTTTAAGTTCATGTGATACTGAATGATCATACTTCAGTGCGATAAAAATTTACAGTTGTAAGAAAGCTAATTCCAGAAGAAAACAGTACCCCTGCAGAAAACCTACTCATGTATATTCAGCTAAAAAAGACACGACGATAAGAGACTGAATAAAACGTTAATTCATCAACAACAACAAAATAAGGGGAAGAAACTAGACCGTGATAAAAGATGAAATATGAACAATGAAATCCCAACTTTCAGTGATCCAAAAGAACAGTAAAAATAGAAATAGACTTGGAAATCTTACACCGATTTCATTAAATCAGAATTGTCACTATGCACTGCATAGTACTAACAAACTAGAAGGAAACAACTGTGCAACGGTACTTCCCGGTTTTACATGTTATTGAAGTTGATTTTAGTTATCAGTAACATGGAGGCTGGCACATATGGGTTAAGGTCCGAATTGAAACAACAAATCAGCACTGTGAGATGAAATTATCAAGACAAACATCAGCGGTAGAATCATTAGTTATAGAAAATATTTGTGAAAAAAAGAGAATGAATACGTGGAATAAAAAGCATAAGTCCTTCAAGTCAAAGAGTGAGCTATGTGGCACAATATCTCCAACCTCTGGTTATGATAATCGTACCTACTTACATGACTAATTTCAACAATCAATAAATACCACATATTAGAATAGATTTAGGTAAACAACACTGTTTTTTATTTAAATCACTGTCAGAATTTACTGGTCATATATAGTTACCAAAACTTCAAAACAATATCATATGAATGTATACGGTGAGCGAAAGAGAGAAACACTTTAAACAACAGAATTCAAATCATCTTATGATCATTAATAACAAGTCATCATTTGATACACTCAAGTTTATTTTTGATACAACAATGTAAATGGAATAAAATACTTAACTTTATAGCAGTCACCATGAGTTATTTTTTGTTCTAATGAATGAAAGTAAATATAATAGTGTAGAAATGGTGGAGAACACTTGTAACTCAGGTAGATATTATTGCATTCTCTGAGCTGGACGATTCAGAGTTCTGGACAAGATTACTGTCTCTTAATTCAAGTGTACATATAGAACAGAAATACTATCTATCAACTCGAAGATAGATAAAGGTTTAAATGAACACAAACTAATTGGGTTAGCTTCAGTAACTGCCATCAGTGATTGAGAACGTTGGTAGATACGAACAGATATACAGTGGTTAGCAGTGGAATATAGGACAGACGTTTTGTTCCATTTAGGACTTATCAGCTGGTTGTGTCTGTATCCTAGATTCGGTATTCACTACCGGATTTGGATTGAGTAACTTTCGCTTCAAATATCAACGCATTATTCACTTAGCTGCATATCTACCTGTGCTCAAACAAACTGATCATTTACAATTCTGAACATTAATGAGAAGATTCAAGCATCCAATACAATGAGTTGGTAAAAACGGCCTAAATTCGATTGTAACGGCACAGATTCATTCAATTTTCAGTTTACACTATATCTTATGTTTCCAATTTTATCCATTCCATTTAAAGTATAGTCGCTAAAACCAATGACATACATTTTATGACAAAAATGATAAAAGTATGTATATGATTAAATCTGTTTGCTTTTTTCAACAAAAAAAAGAATAACATCACTGTTACCTTCGCTTCTATATCAGCACATTTCTGTTCTAATTGCTTTAATTCCAGTGTTAATTCACGTTCTCTTGTTTGAAATGCTGTACGTGATTCGAGTAGTTCAGTGACACGTTTATCTAAACGATCAGCACGACGATCAGATAATTCTTGTTGTACAGTTAAATCAGTAATCTGATAAATTATGTTTTTTTTTGTTGGGTAAAAACAGCAATAAAATGACAAATGTAAGATAGTTGATAAAAATGATGATTAGAAAGAATTAAAAAAGTATAGATATTTAAGAATATTTATGTTCAACAAATATACCTGGACAAATTTTATAGACTAATGGGCCAATGGTGAAAGGGATTGCTTCATCAACTAATAGATTGCGGACTCGAACTTCGTCGACTAGTCTACATCAATTTCAGCAACCGAGTAGTACCATCGAAGCATATAACTGAGAGTTCAGTATTTAAATCAGTAATTCGTATATGATTTATATTAGGTACGAGTAATACATTCAGCATAAAGCTGTGATTCCATCTTCATGTATAAATAACGTTATTTAGTTTCAGTTGGTCTACAGAATTTAAACATATAGGTTGCCTGATAACGTTTACTTCTAATGGATTTACTGACTTATCGACTTTCCAAATACAGCACTGACAGAAAATCTAACATATAAAAATACTTAAGAAGAGAAAGATACACTGATTTTAAAGTATAAGAAAGAACTCATAGCTAGGATATTAGTAAAATTGTTGACAAGCATATTCGATCTTCCACGGTAGGGATGATTTTTGATAGTAATTAATGAAGAAAAAACTTAAGCTAAACTAGTATCAACATGATGCTAAAATCTATAAGGAAATTGATTATTTTAATAGTTCTTGTCGGTAACACGAATAAAATTCGTATCCACTGTACCTATTTCATATCAATAGTTACATGATCAGTATTTTGCGATTAAGTCAAACATTAAACCTAACATTTTTATTGATTTCCTTAATTCATTATTGTGTTCGAAGTTAATTCACTTAAAGATTAGTCAGTCAGTCAGCTACAACGTAGGACCAGGCACATATATGAATCGGTTCAAGTTGCTATATCTCATTAACACAACAAGATGAACACCGGATTCCTAAAAGTGATTATACATATGTTAGAGCGGTTGTGTGTAACCCTATGAATATAAAATATATATAAATATAAATATATATAAAAGTTTATATGCACATCGTTTAAAAGGGTAATTGAAACCAAGATGGAGATCAAAAAGAGATAAAAATGCATACAATTATAGGTTAAAGATCAGCAATAACCATACAATATCGAGGTCGTCAGGACAATAAGTCCGTCATATGAGAAAAAATTCGAACACTTCACTTCTAACTGAAGTTTATGCTGATGGTGTTGTTCAGAAGAATAATGAAAGCTTCACGACTAAACTAAGCAGCTCAAAGAACAAAAAACGATAACCACTAATACTGTTGAGCTCTTTTATTACATGAATGTATTTACAATTGATTGATCACTGAGTAGTGACCAATGTCATCTTTGCCAGGTCCTTCTTAGTGCTGATCAAGTTCTATCGACTAAGTTACCAATTTATTACACCTGCGCAGGTAGAAAGTGTTATAACTTATGACCATGTGTCCTATTAATATATAACATATTTATACCGTTAATTAGATAGCACTGATTTTATCGACCGGACCAATAACGCGAGCAGTCTAGAGTAATATGAATATGAATAGGTTAGCTACTTTACAATTACACAATAAATATATATGTATCGTATTGGTCCATAAATAGTCTTCAAAAGTTATTATTCATAATTAACGTCAGCATACAACACCTCCTTTTTTCAGAAGATTCGGAGTTTATATCCCAATTTTAAATCTTCCAACTTTAGAAAGTAGAGTTGTGCACAAATATCCCAAAGTATAACAGAATAGTTGGTTACTTGTGTTTATTTTTCCCTCACTCGTATGAAGAAGAATAAAAAATTATTACACATAAAATAAATTTATACCTGTTGTTTTAAACTACTGATTTGATTGACGAATCGTGTTTCCAGTAGTCGGTCAGAAAATTTCATCTTAAAATTCGTTTCATGTGAATCCAGTGAGTTTAAAGAACCAATCCAAAGTGAAGAACGTTTTGTATCATTGTTAACACCTTTACATTTTCCAATATGTGCCTAATTACAAAGCGGAAACAAGGGAGAAAAAAAAACAAATATAAAGGAGGATTATGGTTAACTTAACTCTGCTTGGAGACCGTCTTGGGTTACTGCCGGTCCCAAGCTCGGATAAAGGAGGAGGGTTGGGCATGGATGGGGTTAGCGACACCATCCTGTAGAAAACTAACTCGCTAAAAAACTCTAACCAGAAAAAATTATTCAAACAATTTAGGCTCTGCCCAGGAAAGTAGAAGGTCTTCATTTAGAAGAACTATTACGCTCATAGTGAAAGCCGAATTTCTTCGGAAGCCACGAGGCCGATGACCTTTCTAACAACCAGAGCAACCATTTATTTGGGTACATCGAATGCTCGTACGATGTGGGAGACCGGAAGAGCCGTCCAAATTGCTGCATATTTCGACATACGATATAACTGAATTCAGATCCTGGGTCATTAAATCCCATTATTCAACACATAACACAAAAGAATCAATTATTCCAAAATCAATAAATCGATTTCTACATATATTTACAAATTGCTACAGAAATGAAGAGATACAACCTAGAGGTGCTTGGAATCAGTGAAACACATTCGGCACAAGTTCGACAACAATGAATAACTTCAGGGGAGCTTCTGTTATACTTCGGCCATTTTGAAGAAAATGCCCCATATACACAACGAGTTGCATTCATGCTGTCTAAACGAGCACAAAATGCACTTATGGGATGGGAATCTCATGGACCAAGGATCATCAAAGCCTCCTTCAAAACAAAGAAAGAGAAAATTTCAATGAACGTCATCCAGTGCTATGCGCCTACCAACAACTACAATGAAGACGCTAAAGATCAATTCTACAATAGGCTGCAGTCAATCATCGAGAAGTGCCCAACAAACGACTTGACCATTCTGATGGGAGATTTCAACGCCAAGGTTGGAACGGACAACACTGGATATGAAGACATCATGGGACGACACGGACTGGGAGAAAGAAACGAAAATGGTGAGAGATTTGCAAACCTATGTGCCTTCAATAAACTGGTCATGGACAGCACCATATTCCCACATAAACGCATACACAAAACCAGTTGAACTTCACCGGATCACACTACACAAAACCAAATCGACCATATTTGCATCAACAAAAAGTTCAGGAGGACGATGGAAGACGTGAGAACCAAGAGAGGAGCTGATACAGCATCAGATCATCACCTGCTGATCGCCAAGATGAAATTGAAACTCAAGAAGTACTGGACAATGGGGCGGACAATATCACAAAAGTTCAATACGGCCATTCTTCAGGATACTGACAAACTCAACAAATTCAAGATAGTCCTCAGCTATAGATTCCAGACCTTTCATGATCTACCCAGTGGAGAAAATAATGTGGAGAGCAACTGGAAAGGGATAAAAGAGCCAGTGCCTTTAAAAATGTCATGGGGTTCTGGGCCACAAGAAGCACCACCACAAGGAATGGATCACTGTTGATACACTGGATAAGATTCTAGAAAGGAGGAACAGGAAGGCAGCAATCAACATCAGTCGAACAAGAGCACAAAAGGCCAAGGCACAAGCTCAATACACAGAAGTAAACAAGCAGATGAAGAGGAGCATCAGAACTAACAAACGTAAATATTTGGAAGATTTAGCAATGACGGCAGAAAAGGCTGCAAGAGAAGGAAATATGAGACAACTGTTCTGGCTCTTCTATCGCAAACGCAACAACAAATACAAGAGAAGACAACCAGAGTAGAAGCCGCAGTAAGTCTCAACATAAACAAAGGAAAAGCAATATTCTCCGATACAACACAGCATCGCCAATCCAATCACAATTTATGGAGAAGATTTGGAAGATGTAAGAACCTTTACATATTTGGGCAACATCATTGATGAACACAGTGGATCGGATGCAGATGTGAAGGCACGGATCGGCAAAACAAGAGCAGCATATTTACAACTGAAAAACATCTGGAACTCAAAACAACTGTCTGTCAACTAACACTAAGGTCAGGATTTTCAATACAAATTCAAAACAGTTCTACTGCACGGGGCGGAAACCTGGAGAACTACGAAAGCCATCATCCAGAACATACAAGTGTTTATTAACAGTTGTCTACGCAAAATACTTCGAACTCGTTGGCTGGACACTATTAGCAACAACCTACTGTGAGAGGGAATAAACCAGATCCCAGTGGAGGAAGTAATCAGGAAGAAGCGTTGGAAGTGGATAAGACATACATTGGGGATAGCACCCAACTGCGTCACAAGGCAAGCCCTCACATGTAATCCCCAAGGCTAAATAAAAGAAAAGAGGAAGACCAAAGAACACATTATGCCGAGAAATGGAGACAGGTATGAGAAGAATGAACAACAATTGGAAAGAACCAGAAAGGAAGGTCCAGGAAAGAGTGGATTGGAGACTGGTGGTCGGCGACCTATGCTCCATTGGGAGTAACAGGCGTAATTAAGTAATTAATTATGGTTAACTCAAGTGTTTTTTGATTAATGATACTGGCTGAAAATTGTGGTGTATCGCGAAAGAACTATGTTTGAAAATGTGAGGTAGTGAATCATGTAAGTCGATAGACTAAACATATTCCGCTCGCTGAGAAACTTGAAGCTTGTATAACTCATGGCAGTTAGATACAACCAGATTACAGGAGTAATGTCCATGGGGCTAGTTAGTTACAATATCCAGGACTTGTTACGTGAGTATAAACATAGACTTCATGAAGCAACCATTCAAGATGATCTAGCTCACAGAGCTGAACGATAGCAAGAGTATATGTGGTGTATAAAAGATCCGCTAGTCATAACATAAATACGATCTAATGTAAAAATCTATCGTATCAATGTTCCACAATTCCTATCGAAAAAGGTCTTTAGTAAATAGAAATGAATAAATTAATGTTCTACAATTAGATAACGAATTGCTAGCTAACCTGCCAAAGTGAATTCAAATCATCAAATCTTCTTTTTAACTCTTCTACTTGATTTATTAATTCTGTTTCTCGAAGTTTTGCACCAAATAATTCATCTTTTAATACAGCAATTTGTTCAGCTGATCGAAGTGATTGATCTGATTTTGACTGATTTTGTAGTCATATATTCGTTAGGTACAAATGTGTTGTAGAATTAAGAAAAGCAAAGAAAATTATTAGGAGCATTGCTTGGACAATTATAACAGTAGAGTTTAGAAGAAAGAAACAAAAAAAACCCGACATCATAACAACAACTCGTACAATAACCAAGGCGATACACAAGAGATTCTCAACAGGAATTTAGACAGAAATGACTTGAAGCTACATGCATTTTTAAAGTTTCATCTAACTTCATCTATCATAATTCAGTATGAAGGACAGTGAAAACTGTTAGGGATGCAGAGGAATATACCAATAATTATCGTGTTAAGTTTAATGGTGTCCTTGGACGTTAAATGGACATTTCCATTGGTCGATATTCATTTCACCTGTCAAATATTGTACAAATGTTGTTTTCTATTTTATGGTACGATGTGGTCTGTTTGGTTGGCATATAAAGAGAGTATGTCTGAAATATAATGATTCATATTATCTCAGAGGCTGTGACTTGCATTTTGGACTCAACTGGCTGGGCTAGACAGGGAAGCGGGACCAATCGAGACTCTAGGTCGTTCATTACGTGTTTTACGTGTCACTGTTCATCTTGTTGTGCTAATGAGGTATGTAAACTTGGACTGATGCATATGTGTCAGCTCCTACGTTGTAGCTGACTGATTGGATGACTAACTAAAAGATAAAAGTCTATTTTCACCTATTTATATCAGAGAATGAGGTATATAATTAAAATTAAAAGAGAAACTTTTACTGACAATGAAAGAACACGTCACTATTTTGTAATTAAGATGAAACATTCATTAATTAAAGAAATAAGAGAGTTTTACAGTTTGCTTTATTAAGTTAACTGACATCATCATTAAGAGTTGATGATATACGACTATAGTTGATGAAAAGAATGTTTACATTGAAAGTAAACTTCTCATCGACAGAGATAATCGATAAGATTGTAACCTTGAATCAAATAACATAATCTTTAAACCGTTCATGTCATATTCTACAGACATTGTAAAACTAAGAATTCAAATGTTTTCAAGAGTATAGCAGACAAAATGACACAGTAATCAAAACAAATGTTTATGCACTCAATCTTCAGTCATATTTCCCGTGTGAGTAATCAGTAATGACAAATAATGTAGTAAAGATAAAAATAGAAATAACCGTATTATAAGCAGAGATGATGGTGGCTATCAGTGTAATCCAGTACTAGAGTTACATCCTATTTGAGATTCGCCAGTTGGATGAATCTGAACCTTTAACTGAATTAAACTAACTCGAAGTTAAATATAATCGAGTTTATGTCACAATCATATATCGACTATTTTACTGACAAGAATCAATAACTGTAAATACGAATTATATTTTTCTGTTATATCCCAATAAATAGAAAAATTGTATTTTTGACGTTTCGCGACTTAATGTAATCAACTTAATCTGAAGAATCGGTTTACATTAAGTTACGAAACTTCAGATATACAATTTTCCTACTCATTGGGATAACACAAATATTGATAAACTTTAATTCTGTTTGTGCAAAATCCAGTAAATCTATTTATTTATTAAAACACAAACATTGGTACAAGGAGGCACCACATAGATATGCGCCACACAAGTCACTTGATTTGTGTGTGGGTTGTGACACTGTCCGGGTGCCTGAACCCAAGCAGGTGGTTTTCTTAGGAAGTCACACCCAGAGCCTTCGACCTGAAGGTCTCATCCACAAGGCAGTGGAACATCGTATGGAGATGCACTACCATGGTAGCCAGTGACCAACAATTGGTTCATATGCCATTTGTTCCCTCAATATCCTGGAGCACATGTGCACTATTGGTTTGGAATCACGGTTTTCCAACTCTTCTAGGTGGACCCTCCATATCCACAAACCCGGTTAAAGCTTCGAACATTCGCCTTCCATCCTCTCAATTTCGTAAACAACAGTAATGCCGCGAGAAGGCAGTGAGTAGGACTTCCCTGTCAGTGGTTGTATGCATTTGGGCATGTGAGAGCATTTCGAGAGAGAGAGAGAGAGAGAGAGGACCCTCCCCACTCTCAGTTGTACCACGGCATTTGAGAGAAATCCAGTAAATCTAATCGAGCTATTCAAATTAAACTAAAACTAAATTGATTTAAAACTTTTGAATCTTGCGGGGAGAGAGATCATGGATGCGCATTGCTAAGGAGTCCTATACTAGAAAGAGACAGCCATCCAATGCTTCCATATTTTTCATAGTGGTTTATTTACAATGGACTCATGAATTTACTCATTGGATAAATATTATTAAATCCTTATTTAATACATCATTATAAAAATTTTAATAAATAATTACATAGAAATTACCTCTTCTAATTCATGTAATTTACATCGTAATTCATGTAATATTTTTTTAGTATCCGCTTCATTAAAACGTGAATTCATTAAATCTGTTTGTAATTGATTCATAGTAGTTGATAATAATTCATCATTTTTCATTTCATTATAATGATTACCACCTTTTATTTGATAATCACGATTTCTTGATCTTGGTAATGTACAAAAATCATATGAATTATTTAATTGTTGTTCATGTAATGAAGAAGAAGAACAAGTATTATTATTATTAGTAGTAGTAGTATTATTAGTAGTATAGTCATCCTGAATATTATGAGTAGGTGATGAGAAACCATTAACAAGTGATTGATGTACTGTATCATTATTGGTATAATTCTGATTGGGGTTAGATATATTTGTGATTGTTGGCTTATCCATAGAGATTGTTGTATTTGTATTAGAAACAGTGGTATTTATTATCTTTTCATCTGTTGGCAGTACATCATCATGATTGATTGTGGTTGATTTCTGTAAATGAATTTCGAAAAAAGAAAGATGAAGATTTGGAGGATAAAGAAAAGTGAATTGTTTGAGAGATAGAGAACCAACAAAGATAAATATATCTTTTTACAGAGATAATGATTGAAGTATAACTGTTACAGTCATTATATCAGGGAAAATATTCAAAAAAGCTTCATTTACTGTACGAATTGTTTATTATTAATAGTTGAAGAAGATCGATAAATTATTGTGAACCTAGGAATCTTGCTAGTAAACAATTATAAGAAAGTTTTATCAACAATCTCTAAAAGATTTACGTGCTCTCATAAACCTAGTCCCAATTAGTGAAGTTATCATCGAGTGCTTTAGACAGTGGATTAAAGCTCTCTAGATTAGAAGTATTGACATCAAATGATCATTGAATGATATTCTATGTTATGACTTTTCTAATCTTTCCTTTTATCATACAACTTCATCCACAGATTTATTAGGTGTCATTGAAAGATAGATGTTTTTAAACCATAGATGATTAAACATAATACATAGGTTCTAATTACCAATAACTTCTCAATAACAAATATATCAAAAGTTTTATGTTATACGTATTATAGGCATATGACACTAGTTTTCTAGCTTGTTACTTAGACCTAGAAGCAAAAAATCAATAAGCTTTGAAATATTTGAAAGAACAGCGATCTTACTACCCATTTCTTGATTTGAAAGAACATGGAATTGAGGATCTTTAGAATCTATTGAAATTCAATATAGGAACATAAGGCTTCAAAAGAATGAATTTTTTCTTCTTCTTAATGGTTTTTTAGAGGGATATTTATTAACATTCCCTAAGAGGAGGCAAGTAAAAATGCACTAGGAAATCAGGAGAGAAAAAAAAAACAAACTAATTCGGAGATTATCATCATTGAACATGGTAAGATCTGGCAAAAAAATATACACCGTTTCAAATTAACTCATTTAACATCCAATCACTGATAAAAGATCAAGCAAAGTACAAATAATGAAGAATAGTAACACTGATAGTAAAAACAAATTCAACTGATGTTTGAAATGTACACCTATTAGGTACTGAAACTCGTTCAGAAAGTCTTGATTTCAATACTTAGTGGGCTCATGTGTATAGAGTAGTAAGAAGTCATATAGTAAAAACAAAATAACTGTCTGATGATCACTAGTTTGTTAATAACTGTTCAATGAGAATCAATCCAATAATATAAACTAAATTTCAAATAAATGAATAAGAAAATTATATCCTGGAAATAATTATGGAATGTATTTCAGTAATTTTCAGAAGTATCCTATGAGTTTAAGTAAAAAATAAACGAACATAACTAGGAAATAATAAGTATGGAAAACAATTAAAATTGCTAGTATAGGGGTTGTGGAGATTATTAAGTTTTTGATCGAGATCATGAACCGATTGATGTTAGACCACCACAATTGAAAACCTGGAAGCCCTGGACGGCCGTTTCGTCCTATTGTGTGACTCCTCAGCAGTGCGCATCCACGATATATAGTATATTCGATTTATGGTTCGGAGTGGAATCCAGACTAAACGTTTCATCACAATCGGAACTCATCAGGTGAATGTACCCAAGATTAAGGAGTTGATATTCACAATGAGACACATATTTTTCACTTTGAATGCCTAACATATTATCTATTCAGTTGTAAACTATTACTGATACTAGTCCATTCGATTATAAAATCAATTCAATAATAGAGATCAAAATGCAAATGGGTTACTTTGAACCACATATATCTAGTGCAAACAATAAGACAATTATGTATTAAATTAAATTACAATGCGTTGTATTTGAAAAGTATTTAGGCTCTAATAATAGAAAGAAAAATGTTAACAATTTATTTGAAACAACTTTGTTTCCATGATTTATCTTATCTTTATTAAGTTGACGTATGAAATATTGATGAATGTGCCAATATCAAAATGAACAATCATAGAATTCTCTTAGATACAACATACATTTGGTTGACGATTAATTCTTTTGAGAAGTATTTAATCCCTCTCTATTCCACCTCAACCCCCCCCCCACCTTGTATAACTTTAAATATTAAAATGAGATCATAAAGTGATTGTCAAGATGTAGATCATTTTAATAATAATGAACTAAGCAACATACAGAAAGTAATAATACGTTTATCTACAGATATTTACTGATGACATTTTCTTTTTAAGTAAAGAAAATGAATAAGGTCTCTCTGTGTCAGATTGGAAACAACAACAACATAGTTCATACTTAATTTAGATGAAAAAGGATGAGTATCACATGTTCATTTAATCAAAAGTAAAAAATGTAACTGACATTTATATTATATGAAGCAAGAAATACAATTACAAACATCACTATAGTAAATGCTTTTATCAATTAGCTGTTCATTTTATTATGCTAATGAAGTGTGACAACATGGACTGATATATATACGTGTCTGGTCCTAAGTTGAAGCTAACTGACTAACTTCTATTGAAGCATCAACTAGTTTTTTTTATGACCGTGAATCAAAACATCATACAGTTTTACAAATTATTCCAGGATTCAATAGCTGAGTGGATAACGCGATGGCGTTTGAAGTGAATGGTACTGAGTTCGAGTCCCAGAGTCAACATCAACTCGGAGATGCAGGTACAACCAGCTGACGACTCCAAAATAGGACGAAACACGCATCCTGGATTCCACTGCTAGCCACTATCCATATAAGCCCCCAAATGCCCTGGTACGACCGAGAGTGAGGAGAGTCCCCTCTCCCTCTCCAAATGCTCTCACATGGCCACGTGCCTACAACCACTAACAAAGAAGTCCTACTCAATGCATTCTCGCAGTATTACTGTTGTTTACGAAATCGAGAGGACGAAAAGCGAATTTCCGCCGCTTTAACCCGGTTAGTGGACACGGAGAGTTCACCTGAAGAAGTTGGAAAACCGTGATTCCAAACCAATAGTGCACATGTGCTCCAGGATATTGAGGGAACAAATGGCATATGAACCAATTGTTGGTCACTGGCTACCATGGTAGTGCATCTCCATACGATAGTCCACTGCTTTGTGGATGAGATCTTCCTAAGAAAACTACCTGTTTAGGTTCAGAGACCCGGGCAGTATCACAGCCCTCACACAAATCAAATGAGATTTGTGTAGGGCATATGTATCTGGTGCCCCCTTGTACCAGTATTTATGTGTTCAAATAAATAATAAATAAATAAGAATTGCTGGATGCTACGTTTTACAAAACGTAGGACAAACAACGGACATTGTTATTTTGAATGCCTTTATTAATGGTTGTTTTCAGCAACTTCAGCAGCATTTAAACTAAGTATAAATTTACTTTTCCAATTTTTTTGAAATGTCCATTCTGATTAATTTATGATTAAATCAATTCATCCCTATTATGAATTTAGATAGAATAATAAGAAGACGTAGATCATCAAGTCATCTGATAATCCTAATCTTCTTATTATACTATCCAAATTTATAATTAGCTATTTGTACAGCTTTTATTATCTTTGCAGGTTTTCATATTCCTAACAGGAGTTTACTTCCCCATGACGTAGAAGTTATGTTGTCTAGAACTATGTTGAAAACTTCATCATTGTATTATCCAGTTCAGAGAATAAGAAAAGGATCGAAAACATCCATTTAACTTTAACGTTCTCTCCACCATTATTCAAACTAACTATTATTTATGTTTATACATTATGTAATATCAACAACGACAAGAATCTTACTTATTATTAAGTTTCTGTAAGTAGGTGTACAATCATCAAGAGCAAATAAATTTATACATAAATAAGCATAAATATTGGTACAAGAGAGTATCAAATAGATATGCACCACATAAATCTTTCGATTTGTGTGAGGGCTGATATACAACTCGGGCGCCAAAACCGAAGCACGAGCAAAGAAGTAAATATAGAATAAATACTTACCAATAATAATTTATGTTGTTCATCATTATTTTCAATACTTTTATTAGTATTATTATTCAATAAAAATTCATTAGTTATTAAATGAGAATTAGAATTTAAATTAGCATATTCACGTCTTAATATAGATAATTCACAACGTAATGCAATGGTAGTTTCAGCTTCTTGTGCTCGAATCAATTGACATTTAACTAAACGATCAGCCATTACTCCACTTTCCTATAGTAAGATTTAAGTAAAACCAGAATAGTTAAGAAAAATATGGTAATGAAAAGAGAAAAAGAAAGAGCAATTTTAAACAAAATTGAAATGTAATTTGCATGTGAAACAATTTAGTTACTCAGTCAGTCAGTCAATCAGCTACAACGTGGGACTAGACACATACATGCACCAATCCAAGTTGCCATACCTCAATAGCACAACAAGATGAACACCAAATTCATTGAAGTACTAGTGGCAATGTATAAAAGAAAGATTGCATATAAGGATATAATACAGGAAGAAAAAATTAGTTGGTAGAAAGAAAGATACATAGCAATTTTAATCTCACGGTTTGAGGGAAGACAGAGTGTATAAACCTACACCATTGTGATCGATTCTCAGCCATGTCACACAGTCTCTAACCATTGGTTATGATAGTCACGCGGACACCAACCAAGTAGTCTGCATCCGCCAGCATGGCTTAGACTAGAAGTTGGTGACTTCAAGCACTGATTCCACGTTTTAGTTTCGCCACCCCTAACTTTCTTCCAACCATCCACAACACTAATCAGCATTGCACGTTGTGGTAATCGGTGTTCAGCCATACGTAACACATGGCCCAACCACCTTTGTCGATGAAGATTCACAACCTAACCAATTGATTTAACACCATTCGATAATACTTTGTGTCTAACCTCACTATTACTTACCCGATGATCCCTTCCCTATAAAATCGGTAAGGATAAAATATATAACTGAACCTATGGCTATTACATCAATTTGCCTATAATAAGTGTTATGAAAGAGACATCACACTACTGTCAGTACAAGGAAAGGTTTTCGACAGTGTTGCTGAACCGAATCAAACACGCAGTAGACGCCCAACTTCGAGATCAACAGGCTGAATTCCGTAAGGATCGGTCGTGCACAGACCAAATTGCGACAATACGGATCATCGTCGAACAATCAGTTGAATGGAACTCGTCACTATATATCAACCTCATTGACTATGAGAAGGCATTTGACAGTGTGTGTAGGGGAACAGTATGGAAACTTCTTCGATACTGTGGAGTTCCTGAGAAGATTGTCAACAAGACAGCATGTTCTTCTGACGTGAGTCCTGTGTATCGTTAAAAAGACTACTGATATTTTATATTACTATGTATCTTTGAATAACCTTGCATTACATTTTCCTTTAAAAATTCTTAAACATTTGTTACTATCATGCACTAACAAAGTCTAGCTCATATCTGAAGGTGAATATTTCCGTTAGATCGACAAGGTTGATATGGGTAGTCCGTTTGGACCGTTATTGGCACGTGCTGAAAAGTTGGCTGTAGACCTAATCGAAAACATGTCTCTTTATAAGGGATATGAGGATGACACCTTACCTATCTGCAGAATAAAGGAGGATATGAATTGCTCATTAAATGAACTTAATGCTTATCAAAATCTCATCATCAACTGATTTATCATCATTCCCAAATACCCTGCATCTAACGTCACTACTACTTACCCGATAATCCCAGCAGATGTGAACAATATTTCTAAGGCATCTGTGGTCAAATACTATCAACAATAAATTATATATTATTCTAGATTGAATATATCATGCATTGTTTCATTTATCATACTTCTATATTGGTAAATCGAGCATAATGATAATTGTTCACTAAGAAACTCAAATAAATAAATTTGTTTATCTTTCACACAAGACAAAATCTGTTAAACTATATCTTATTTACAAAATATAAAATGTATGTGAAAGATTTAGAAAGCGTGTGAACTAATTAAGCAAAGATGGATAGTGGCTAGCAGTGGAATCCAGGACGCGGGTTTCATCCTATTTGGGGCTCGTCAGCTGGATGTACCTGATCAATTGCAGTCCTAAATAACAATAAGAAGATACAAGTAAAACACCACCATGTGAACTAATCATTAAATTAACTCAATTTATCTTCTATAATGACTGTTGTTATTATTTTGAGTGAACATGAATGCATTAAAGAGTACCCATAATATGTATATAGAAACAATAGATTGAAAAACTTGAACAGAAAATAGCGATGATAAACAAGTTAAGACTTCGCATATCATCAATCGAAAACATGCAGATTGGCATATAATAATATGAATAAATGATATATATAAATATATATATCCATACATAATTAAGTAAATTCAAGAGTTCTACTGTATAGACCTGAAACTTGGAGAATTACCATAACCATCATCAATCAAGTACGAATATTTATAAACAATTGTCTAAGTAAAATATACTAGATCCGTTGACTGGATACTATCAGCAACAATCTGTTGCTGAAGAAGGAATTAGGAAAAGACGTTGGAAGTGGATAAGACATATATTACAGAAATCACCAAACTGTATCACGAAGTAAGAGCTAACATGGAAACCTGAAGAGAAACTTGAAAGAGGAAGAACAAAGAACACACTGCGTTGTGAATAGAAAGTAAACATGAACAGGATGAATAGAAACTTGAAACGACTGGAAAGGATTGCCCAGAACACAAAGAATGCTGATGAGCAGTTTATGCTCCACCATGAGTGTTAACAGGCGTAAGTAAGGAATTACAAACTTATCTACGTATTAAATACAACATTAGTTATGATTTAGAAATGTATCATGAGCTCATTTTTATGCAAATTATCTCTATTTGGTCAATTAAAAAAATCAAAACTCGCGCATACATACATACATACATACATAATAATGATAGCTTGAATAAACACTATAATAAATTAATCTCACCTCTTCTAAACGGGCTAAACGTTGTAATAATAATCCATTTTCAGTACGAAGACGCTAAAAGTTAAATGAAGAAAGAAAAAGAAAAGATAAATATATAACACTTTCAACTAAGGCACATTTAGAAAAGTTAACACAGTTTACTTGAAGGTTTCAATAACCTTCAGTTAGTGATTGGTAAAATCTATAAATAAGTCAAGATTTTCTGATTACTTGATTTTAATATCGAATATTAAAATATATTGCAAAACAGTGATTAACAAGAAAAAAAACTTATAAAGCAGAACCTTCAAAGTGAGTTTGATGTTCTGGATTCTACCCATAACAGAGATGTTTCCAATATGACTATGTTTTATTCATTTTAGCTTTGCGTTCAAAGAAAATGAGAAGAATGACAGAAATGCATTAATTTTTTATCTAACTTTCAATGCATAAGGCAACGTATCATTCTTACACACATATATATGATTAACCAGGTAACTTACTTACTTACGCCTGTTACTCCCAATGGAGCATAGGTCGCCGACCACCAGTCTCCAATCCACTCTTTCCTGGACCTTCCTTTCTGGTTCTTTCCAATTGTTGTTCATTCTTCTCATACCTGTCTCCATTTCTCGGCATAATGTGTTCTTTGGTCTTCCTCTTTTCTTTTATTTAGCCTTGGGGATTACATGTGAGGGCTTGCCTAGTGATGTGGTTGGGTGCTATCCTCAATGTGTGTCTTATCCACTTCCAACGCTTCTTCCTGATTTCTTCGTCCGCTGGGATCTGGTTTATTCCCTCTCACAGTAGGTTGTTGCTAATAGTGTCCAGCCAACGAATTCGAAGTATTTTGCGTAGACAACTGTTAATAAACACCTGTATCTTCTGGATGATGGCTTTCGTAGTTCTCCAGGTTTCCGCCCCGTGCAGTAGAACTGTTTTGAATTTGTATTGAAAATCCTGACCTTAGTGTTAGTTGACAGACAGTTGTTTTGAGTTCCAGATGTTTTTCAGTTGTAAATATGCTGCTCTTGCTTTTCCGATCCGCGCCTTCACATCTGCATCAAATTCACCGTGTTCATCAATGATGCTGCCCAAATATGTAAACGTTTTTAAATCTTCCAAATCTTCTCGGTCAACTGTAATTGGATTGGTGCATGCTGTGTTGTATCGGAGAATCTTGATTTTCCCTTTCTGTATTTTGAGACCTACTGTTGCTGAGTCTGCTGCTACACTGGTCGTCTTCTCGTGCATTTGTTGTTGCGTTTGCGATAGAACGGCCAGATCATCTGCGAAATCTAGATCATCCAACTGCATCCTAGATGTCAGTGCCAACAAATCCCCTGGTATGGCCGGGAGTGGGGACAGTCCGCTCTCCCTCTCGAAATACTCTCACATGGCCATGCGTATACAGCCTCAGCCAAGGAAGTCCTACTCACTGCCTTCTCGTGGCATTACTGTTGTTTACGAAAATGAGAGGACGAAAAGCGAATGTCCGGCGCTTTAGCCGGATTCCAAACCAATGGTGCACGTGGGCTCCATGATCTTGAGGGAACAAATGGCGTATGAACCAATCGTTGGTCACCGGCTACCATGGGACTGAATCTCCTTACGATGCTCCACTGCCTTGTGGATCAGAATTTCAGGTCGAAGGCTCGGGGAGTGTCCCCCTAAGAAAACCACCCACTTCGGTTTGGACACCCGGGCAGTATCACAGCCCTCACACATATCGAATGAGATTTGTGTGGCGTATATGTATTTGGTACCTCCTTGTACCAATATCTGTGTTAAAATAAATAAAATAAATAAATAGATGCCAGTGGCGATCCTGCTGTAACCTTCCTTTACTTTCTTCATAAAAAAAGTGGTTGTAACTTCCTTAACTAAAGGAATTCTTCTGGTTGTACGTCTCCGTTTCCCCCATTATTATTATTATTATTATTATTATTGTTCTCTTTTTTTCTTATACGCTCCTTACCTTCTTTTCTTTCATCCCATTCTCATGGTTTTGTGTGGCGCATATATATTTGGTGCCCCCTTGTACCAATATTTATGTGTTCAAATAAATAAATAGATAAAAATAGTTGAGATCATAAGAGAATTAGTTAGACATTAACACCTTTGGATGCCGGCCGGCTCAGTGGTTTAATGGTTAAGCGCTAACACGCGAAACTGATAGGTCCTGGGTTCGAATCTCGCAAGGTGGGATCGTGGATGCGCACTGCTGAGGAGCCCCACAGTGGGACGAAACGACTATCCAGTGCTTCCATGTTTTCCATGGTGCGCTAGCTTCAATTGACTTATGATCTCAACTATTAAAATTAGAAATTGTTCTATTATTATTGATAACTTAATACATATTTTTTACTATGTTACATAATTAGTTGATGGAAGTCGTTGAGAAATCCTGAACTTAATTTCATAACTAGTTGACACGAAACATACCTACAATATTGAAGGAAATGATGCTTCCCGTGGAAGTTAAACTTGAAATAACCTAGCGGTTTTTCAGTCTGTAACATTACCAGTGGGCTATTCGAAGATCTATTAAAATGTTTACACAGATTGACCATTGATTAGCAAGCAATATCATACTAGGATGAAACGGCCGTCCAGTGCTCCCAGGTTTTCCATGGTGGTCTAGCTCCAACTGACCCATGATTTCAATCTGTGAAATATCATATTTACTTAATTCGTCAGTGTTGATCGAATTTTATCGATCATATCTTTGTTGTTCCGAGCTGTAAATTACGCGTTGCATGTACGGACAAAAGATTCTTACCGATTTGATTATACACCCAAAGATTTACATATATATTTATATGGAATACTCACACGTAATTCAATTTGTTCTTCTCGTTCTTGACTACGCATTGTCATGTATTCTTTCGCTAATCTATAATTATAAATGGACAAATTACTTAGTTAATATTATGAGGAAAACAAACAGAACAAATGAAGAATGATCGAATAAGAGGTAGATTTTTACAACAATAAAACATATGATAGTATTTAATGAATAAGATTATTATATATTTTGTATGCAGATTGACTGATTTAGAGTTTATACAATAATTGTAGCCTAATATGATTAATGGATTGGTTAATATAACTTGAAATCAATCGCTATAACGTAGATACATTTACATTTTCTATAATTAAACATTTTGAAATTATGTTGGTGAGACTAGAATTTATGGAAGAATCAATCAGGTATAAGATAACAGGTCTCGGATTTTGGCACGAAAGTCACTCATCTATTTGGTTGAATAGAGTTTTGGCATTATAGTTGATATCAGTTAGTGATGAAAACTCTAAATCGATTTCCTAACCCTGACTATCAACTGTAAATCATAATGCTTGTTTATAACCATAAGTTGATCCTAGTTATTAGGTGGATATTCTAAAGGTCACCTTAGTGTCGCTCAGAGATCGTCCATAAATTATAGTCACATCATCATGTTATACAATTGATTCTTTGAATTCGTTATCTCTTCGTAAATCGGTTAATATATATGTATGTGTATATATCAAGTGATTTTTTATTATTAATGATAATTTATTATTGTTACTATTCTATCATTCTCAATGAGTGATTTATGATCTCACTCAAAACTCAACAATCTCCACAACCCTATACTGATAATTATCATGTGCTCACTAGTGACCAGCTTCGAGAGGTAAATCTCGAAGTTCTAGCGAGAAGCCATGACCAGTGGAGGTACGTACTTGTAGAAGTAAGTACATAGGAAGGATTGAAAGGAGAGCATTAACAACGTTTGCGGAACGAATTCTTCGTAAACAAGAAAAGTTTAAAAAATCAATTGCTAAAGTTAGTTGTCTACACTTAATGAATAATTATTCACACCAAGAAACTATTCTTAAACCATCAAGTAAATTAACCGAACGGAACATACATAAACATTTATGTATGGTACAAGGAAAAGCATACTAGAACCTGGAAAGAAAACCCATTAAAATATAGCGATTGTTTCATCACACAGAACTTACTTTTTCATCTTTTTTGTATTCAATTTAAGCGAACAAGCATTTTCAAATATAGTACTCGAATGTTTATCCCACGCTAATGGCCCTTCATGTTGAAGGAACTGGAAAATAAAAACATATACATAGAAAATTTAGTGCGATCCGAATAATTGCCTGTTACAAAAGCTTGGAAAAACAATAAACAAAACATTTGTAGAATAGATGGATTGTGAACTAGTAGTGGAATCCAAGACGTATGTTTGGTCCTATTCGGGATTTTTTTAGCTAGATATACCGACCAATCCTGGAGTTGATATTCATATCATGATATGAAACCAACAGCTTACACTCCAAGTACCAAGGCGTTATGTCTGGTACTATGTCAGTTTATTTATTTGAACACATAAATATCAGTACAAGAGGGCACCAAATACATATGCACCACATAAGTCGCTTGATTTGTGTGTGGGTTGTGATACTGTCCGGGTGCCCAAACTGAAGTAGGTGGTTTTTTTAGAGGGACATACCAGGAGCCTTCAACTTAAAGGTGTCATCCACAAAGCAGTGGAGCAACTTAAGGAGATCTAGTACCATCGTAGCCGGCGACCAACTATTGGTTCATACTCCACTTGTTCCCTCAAGATCCTGGAGCCCATGTGCACCATTGGTTTGGAATCAGGGTTTTCCAACTCCTCTAGGTGGATCCTCCGTATCCAATTACCCGGTTAAAGCGGCGGACATTCGCTTTTCATCCTCTCAATTTCGTAAACAACAGTAATGCCGCAAGGATGCAGTGAGTAGGACTTCCCTGGCAGTGGCTGTATACGCGTGACCATATGAAGGCATTTCGAGAAGAAGAGCTGACTCTTCCCACTCTCGGTTATACCGGGGCATTTGGGGACGAGCTCACATGAGTTATTCTAGTTCCCAGACAGACCGACTTATTCATTTATTTTGATCTTGTCAATTATACGCTTATTAGCCTTGACGTTTTTCATATGAGCGTGTGTGTACATCTCTTAGCGGTGCTTAAAACAACTTTCAGCTACTAATTTGCTGATTCATTCGCTTTGATGTGGACACTATCTTGTACAAATAAACTGAGTAATGAAGCCGAGCAGACTAATCTGTACCAGGTAAACAAGGTTAATAGACGAAAAATACCGAAAAAAACTTACTGCAACCATTGACTCCATATCACATCTTAACAAATTGTCTGCAGAAAATCTCAATATTGATAAAGCCAATTTAAATATGAATTGAAGGCCCTAAAATATTTAATGTAAAAAGAAAAAACGAATGATAAATAATGAGACTATAATGTTCCAAACTGAGATCTGTCAATCAAAAAATCAATTTTTTGAGTATTATTTAAGTTAGTGTTTTTGGTGGCGAACATTGAGATATAAATTTTGAAGTTAATTGTTAGGTACTCGGTAAAGATGGTAAATTGGTTGAAACTGTATCGGTTGAGATAGCTGATATATATGTTATGTACAGCCAGGAATAGGTGGGCAGAAAGATAGAGGTGGTAGCAGTTCAGTTGTCACTGAGTATTGCACTGAGCTTTATCAGTAGTTGTACATTACTTGATTAAAGTCTGCATGGTCAACACGCCCAACGGCTGAAAACGTTGAGTGAAATAGGTTATTATCAATCGCAATATCTTAGTTCCAGCTACTCTTTGTCAACCCTTAGATCCTCCTGAGTATTAAGACTATTTCGGACATCTTACTTCGCCAATATATTCTTGCTTATCGATTCACATTCGCTCAGATCACTATCATCACTGGGACTATTACTACTCTGATATTCATGTTAGTTTCAACTTGTTGTGTTAGTGCAAATATGACAATTAGAATTAATGCACATATTTTTGCAAGTTCTAAGTAGCTTGTAGATTCAATTATGTTTTTGTGTTAATTATTATGCATTGAATAGTTGAATTCAATAGTTGTATGGCTAATGTTCAGTTTGAGTAATCTCACAGACTGAATATGACATTTTTGAGCATTTATTTACCGTATGCTTGTATATTGTAAAAGAAAAATAATCAACTTAGATAAATTCAAGATTAAAGGGATAATAAAACTGGGGAAAAAATACATTCACTGACTGAATACTCTAGTATGTAAATTTTTGACACATTATAAGCAATAAGATTAGCAATCAAAGTCAATCAGTCAGTCAGCTACAACGTAGGACCAGGCATATATGTGCATCGGTTCAAGTTGCCATACCTCATTAGCACAACAAGATGAACACCGAATTCATAGAAGTAGTTAATTCAGTGGTGTCAATATATAAAAGTAAATTCAATAAACATTGCTCTACATAATCGTTAATCAGCGGTGTATTTTGATAGAGAAAAATTAAACATAGATTGAAACTTCTGATTAACTGTAAGTCAGTTATATGGATAATTCATTAGTCATTATTTTGATGTACTATGGTGACTAAAGTTTAGAAAAAAATATATAGATGACCAAAATAAAACATGGCACTTGACTATCAGGGTTACTGACTGTTGTTGATCTGAGGCAAGTGAAAAAGTATAGATTACTTAAATTACTCAGTGTCGCTATATATCATATGTGGAATATGACTGCAGAAAAATTGAAGAAGTTTCTTACACCTAATTTCCTATATATTCCACGTTTCAAATTTTGTTATCATTGGTTTTGATGAACTCCTTTGATGCCTGTGCTACTAAAAAGCGTGACAACATTCAATGATTGATTGTAACGATAATATGGATTTGAATACATTGAAAAGACTGTACGAAATTGTTCGAACATCATTAAGTAACTGAATGACAATAAATTGAATTAATCAATAACACATACAAAAAAGGAAATCAATCTAAATAACTCAGTTTATGCGATGGTGGAGAGTTGTAGCTCAAGTGGATGATTTTGGAGTTTTGTTCTTTGAACTGCTGGTCAGCGGCCTATGCTCCATTGGGAGTAACAAGCGTAAGTAAGTAAGTAAGTTCTTTGAACTGAATGGTTTGGTAATGAAGCTTTCATTGTTCTTCTGAAGTTTGTGTTGATGATGCCGTTCAGACGAGTGATGAAAGCTTCATCACCAAACCATCCAGCGCTCAGAGAACAAAACTTCATCAAAATTCAGTTTATTAATCATATGATATTTAAGAGTATACGGAATAACAGTGTTATATAGGAGGTGGTCAGTGTATGATATGATGTCGTGTTATGAAAGAAGGTTGCAAAGGGCTGGCTTCTGTTGGACCTTCACAACTCCCTGGTTGGGGTCCGAGAGATGGCGCAACACAGTGGCTAGAAACGTTATCAGATATAGCTCAGAATATGAATCAGTGGCGATCCTGCTGTAACCTTCTTTTACTTCCTTCATAAAAAAGTGGTTGTAACTTCCTTAACTGAAAGAATTCCTTCTGGTTGTACCTTTCCGTTCCCCCTCCTATTATTACTATACTACCATACATTAATCTGTGGTTGTTATTGTTCTCTTTTTCTCTTTTCTTCTCTCCTATAAACACCTTACATTCTTTTTCTCTTCCCACTCTCATTACTGTTGTGTGGCGCATATATATCTGGGTGCCCCTTGTACTAATATTTATGTGTTCAAATAAATAAAAAAATAGTGTTATATAGTGTTTTTCATCAAATGAATCGTGTAATTAACGATGAAAAAGAATCTAATTCAATGCTCCTCTTTTTATGCAGAAAATCTGAATACAAATTTTAAAGTTATAGAAACACTAATTATAAATGGATGGAGAGTGTTGATGGGCACCCTATGCTCCTCCACGAGGAGTAATAGGCATAAGTAAGTAATTATAAATACTATGAGTATTGCATAGATTATATTAAAAGGTATAATGACTATCTTTACATTAAAATATTCTACTGAATAAAACAAGAATTAAGTACACGTGAATCTTAACTAAAAAAAATGATGTTGTGAATGATTGTTAAAGTAACAACACCTTATAATAGAGAATAAACATTATAACAAAAAAGGGAACTATTTACATGAAACATCTATGAAATAAACAGTTAAGAAATTTTGACATTAAACTATTATAAATAGTTTAGTTTCTTAAACTTCCGCAATTGATCATGTGAATTTATCACAGATCTGGTTAAACTATAAACAAAACAGAAAAAAAAGCAACAAAATACGACCAGTTTGGATTGTTGTTACTATAAAATGAAACAGTTCATACATAAAATACATCAGAATTTTTAAGAGAAGAATAATCTACTTTAGTGGAGAGAGAGAGAGAAAAAAAACACGGTAACGTTGTTGGTATTATATCATAACACTGATCATAGTGACGTTTAAACCATTTTCTAAACTTCTACTATCAATCAACAATGTTTGAAAACCGAATGAAATCAGAAAGTGAGAATAAGATTAATGCTGTTTTTCTGTATTAATTTCAGTGTAGATATCAAGGCATAAAATTCAACAATCTTAAAAACTTTAATTTTAAAAGTTGAGAACATGGGTCAATTGGAGTTAGACCACCATGGAAAACCTGGAATTACTGGACAGCCGTTTCGTCCTAGTGTGGGACTCCTCAGCAATGAGCATCCTCCATCCCACCCCGAGAGATTCGAACCCAGGACCTATCAGTCCTACAGTAGGACGAAACGGCTATCCAGTGCTTCCACGTTTTCCATGGTGGTCTAACTTCAATTGACCCATGTTCTCAACTATTAAAATTAGAAATTGTTCCAACTAACTTAAAATATTATAACACACTTCTCGATACACTAAAAGTATAAAAAGACTACTTCAATGGATAAATAACTATAGGTCAAGAATGGGGTATGAAACATGAAGATATAGATGGCACAGATAATGATCAATAGACCGATAGGATATATGTTAAGAATAGATTATTTGAAGTCAATTTATTAAGTACAATGTTAACAATTCAATTATTGTGTCGATCTAAGCTACACAACCATTGAGAACATAGAAGCTATGGACGGCCGTTTCGTCCCAACATGAGACTCCTCATCAGTCCGCATCCACGGTCTCGCACGTAGGAGTTTGGCACCTGTGACATAAATTAAAGGATTGTATATGTATACCTTAAGAGTTCATTGAAGTTTTCTATTTATATCGTACTTACTTACAACTTTTAACCCTCGTGAACGAACATAAGCCGCCCATCAGCATTCTCCATCTAACTCTGTCCTGGAAAATCCTTTCCAGTTGCTATCCATCCTTTTCATGTTGGCTTCCAATTCCCGACGCAGTGTGTTCTTCGACCTTCTTCTTTCCCGTTTCCCTTCAGGATTCCAAGTTAGCGCTTGCTTCGTCATGCAGTTTGGTGATTTATGTAATGTATGTTGTATCCACCAACTCCATTGTGTTTTCCTAATTCTCTATTCAGTCGGAAGCTGGTTTGTTATCTCCCACAGTAGGCTGTTACTGATGTTATCCGGACAACGGATCTAGTAAATTTTGCGTAGACACCTGCTTATAAATATTCTTACTTTTTTGATGGTGGTTTTGGTAGTTCTTCAAGTTTCAACTCCGTACGGTAGAACTGTTTTGACGTTCGTATTGAACATTCTGATATTGGCTGACATTTATTTTGAGTTCCAAATGTTCTTCAATTGTAGGGATGTTGAACCTTCTTTGCTAATCCTTACCTTTACGTCTGCACCAAATCCTCCTTGTTCATCGATGATGCTAATTGACTAAAAGTTGGATGATTCTCATATTAAACCACCTCTAGTGTTGTAAATATCTCAGTTGACATTTAAAAAAAATGAAATCAGATTTGTACCGAGACTATCTTGTCTACAATGTCAGTATTTGAAATTCTCTCCAGCTTATCACAATCATCTGTCATACACATATCGTACATAAATCGTTCATATTATGAGGACCTATTAATACTCTATTCTAACCAATAACCTACTTATAACCAAAGTAAGTAAGTAAACCAAAGGATCTGCTATCAGGATATTTATAGTAATTTTAATCGATTACCACCTATCATCATTAGATTACGCTTTCTTAACTATTCAAAGAAGGAAGAAAAAAAGACCAAGATTGACTATCATCAATTAGAATTACAAATCTATTTATAACCCAAGATATCATTAGTTTTTAATTATTGCATGGAATTTTAATAGAGCAAAATGGTTCAGTCAATCATCTAACTATTTTGGTTAATTACAACATACAAGTCAATCAATCAGAAGTTAGTGAGTTCTTAATAATTCTTGGCGTAAAGATTAAGTAATTAGTATTATATTTATATTATAGTATAATATTAATAATATTTCTTTCATTATTGAAAGATAGACTTGTTATTAAGAAAAGAAACATTAAAAAATGAAAGAAAAAACAACACAAAGAGTTGACTACTAATTGATGAACATCGGATTCATAGAAGCAGTTACTTCAATTGTAGTAATATATAAAAGATTGCATATAAGGATATAGTACAGGAAGAAAGAAGGAAAGATATAAAGCTATTTTAATCTCATATTTTAAGGGAAGACAGAGAGTGTATACACCTCATCCATGTCACTCAGAGTCTAACCTCACTATTACTTACCCGATGATCCCTTCCCTATAAAATCGGTAAGGATAAGATATAAAGCTGAACCTATGGCTATTACATCAATTTGCCTATAATAAGTGTTATGAAAGAGGCATCACACTACTGTCAGTACAAGGAAAAGTTTTCGACAGTGTTGCTGAACCGAATGAAAGACGCAGTAGATACTACGGATCATTGTCGAGCAATCAGTTGAATGGAACTCGTCACTATATATTAACTTGATTGACTATATTATAGGCGGCCTGCTTGAGCATCTGGGCTACCTGCTCCTGCCATCTAGATATTTCAACAAGTTATCTATTTTTGTTTGTTTTAATATATTATTATGTCTATTAACCGCATAACCTATCCTGGTGTATTTCTGAAAAGTGTACAACCTTTCGTTGTCAAAGTTACAAAAAGCCCAATAAGAGATAATGTGGTCGCTGGCAATATGCAGAGAAAAGAATATACATTATTCAGATGTTCATTTACTGGACTGCTAACATCTAACTAGCGATCACTCAATATTTATCGTCAGGATCGACCAAGAAATAAGAAACGGAAACTTGTTGAAATACTTTGTGCTGAGAATTATATATTGTACCAAAAATATAATATTGAATAAAGCTTATAATAATAATAAAAATAATAATAATAATGAGAAGGCATTTGACAGTGTGGATAGAACATTATGGAAACTTTTTCGACACTATGGAGTTCCTGAGAAGACTGTCAACATTATCCGGAAAAGGGAAGATAATATATTCTTTTGAAGTGAATCCCGTGTATCTTTAAAAATACTGTTGATATTTTATATTACTATATATTACTATATGTGTCGCTCAATTTCATGGATTAGTTGAAGTTAGACATTAACAGCGTTGGATACCGGCTCAGTGGTCTAGTGGTTAAGTGCTCGCGCGCGCGAGACCAGTAGGTCCTAGGTTCAAATCCCACGAGGCGGGGTCATGGGTGCGCACTGCTGAGGAGTCCCACAATAGGACGAGATGGCCGTCCAGTGCTTCCAGGTTTCCCAAAGTGGTCTAGCTTCAATTGACTCATGATCTCAACAACTGAAATTATTATATATCTTTGAATAACCTTGCATTAACTTTTCCTTTAAAAATTCTTAAATATTTGTTACTATAATGCACTAACAGAGTCTAGCTCATATCTGAAGGTGAATATTTCCGTTAGATCGACAGGGTTGATATGGGTAGTCCGTTAGGACCGTTATTAGCACGTGTTGAAAACTTTATTGAAGACCTAATCGAAAACATGTCTCTTTATAAGGCATGTAGGATGATGTCTCAGCTATCTGCGGAAGAAAAGAGGATATGAATTGTTCATTGAATAAGCTTAAAGCTTTTCAAATCCACATAAGTCTTTAATGTGAAGAGGAGAAAAAAGACCAGTTTCCTTTCATAGACATGCTTACAAGTAGAAAAGATGGTTCAGTCAAACGACCCATTTTTAGAAAGCCAACTTGGACTTGTAAGTACCCTAGTTATAATAGTTATTGCTCAATTCATTACACACGGGCCTTGATAAGGGGACTATTTTACAGAATTGATCGTATTTGTACAAATGACACTACTGATAACGAAGTAATGTTGTTTTACATGTGACCACATTGTTCGGAATGTATTGCGCTAATATATCACATAGTTTTGATAGTCTTTGTTTTAATCTAATTTTATCACCAAAAGAGTTACTGTTATTACGCCATTTCAACACGGAACATTCTATTCGTGAATAGTCAGTCTATTTCATGAACCTAACACGGACACAATAAATACAAACATAATTACATGTTTATGAAAACAATATTAGCAAATAGGGCGCATAAATATATAGCTAATTTTAAGTTACATTCTAATGTTGAATAGTTGTAACTGATATAAGGTAATACAATTTTACAATGAGTGAAATTCTACACTCATATAATTTAGTAAGTCAACAACAGAGTACATACATATACACACATTTTACAAACAAATCGAAAATAATACTGATAATTTGGAATAAAACAGTAAAAGATATTCAGATCTAGTTCACTCAGAAATAAACCTAGAGTTCGTATAGGATAAGTAGAATGTATTGAAGGCATTCATTAAGAAGCTTAGTACCTGACCTTTGGGCTAGTTGATGCCCTTTAATAAGATGTATCAGTAACATCCAGAAAACTGATTTACCCTATGAGATTTAAACTCGAACCAACCAGTATCATAGTCAGAAATATCACGACTGAGCTGCTTGGGTCGCGACTGTCCACTTGTAGGAAAGTTCATAGAGCAGTAATCAATGTAACATTAGTCTAATTTTTCGGTCAGGTTACACTGAAGCCATCGCTGTACGTAACTCAAAACCTAATTTAATACCTTCTCTGTGACTGCCTCCAAAATTATGTAACGTTAAACAACATGTATAAAACTCTCCAATAATTAAAATTAGTATTGCTCCATTGCACATCTACCAATAGAATTCAATCGACACTTAAAAGCAATCTTGTAGATTCAGGAAGAGGATCAAAGTCCCCGATGAACAACTGGAAGATATTGAAAAAACGCGGCCCTTTGGGGAACAACGTTTTATATGTTGGCTCGATACTTTCAAGGCCTCACCACCCACAACCGGAACCTATGGGGTAATGTAAAATGTGCTATTTCTGGTGTTGACTTTTTCTACCCCTCATTTTTGTTTTGGGAAGAAAACATCGATTCAGACGCTCCTTGTCTGACGGAAACACCAAACTGCCGTAACACCCATATACAGTCAACACCATGACTTCTTCATATGACCTAAAGTTGTTGCGTTTGGTCTTAACATTACTGAACCGACCTGGTTGGAATGCTAGGATCTAAAGAAACAAATATTTAAGCCAGGTATAGATCGGCTGGGTTACCCAAGACTGAAAGTCAATTCGAGATAGTAATTACGGTCGGAAATGCAAATCATGTACAATAAGAAAGTTTATTTAAGAAAATAAAAGCATACCTCAACAATATAAAAATCCATAACACGTGTAGCACATGGTATAGGTAGAATAGTAGAGAACAATGTCAAAAACCATGCTGATGCATATAAACTTGGTGCAAATGATTGTGTACGAAAATGCGTATACAATTCGGGTAAATTATCAGCAATTAATTGTTCTAACTGGTACATACAAACGCCAAGTTCCATCATAGATGGTTTATACATTTCACGAAGTCGATAATCATTCATTAATTGAACAAGTACAGCGAATGCATTAAGTTCAGGCATCTGAAGTATCAAACAAAAGAAAGTCAAACAATGAATAGTCATGTTTCTACAAACAAAATTGGAAAGTAAAATGGAAAACTATTACTAGATTGCGTCAATCAACTACATATGATGTGGTATAAATATGTAACAGTCTAAATCGCCAAACTTTCCATCAGGACATTAAACGGAAATTGATTTGATGAAAACCGAAGAAACTAGATTACATGTATCAATGGTAATAAAATGAAACATGGAGAAGAAAGATGAAACACAATACAATCCACATTCGTGGAATTGAAACTGATTTTAAAGCCAATTGCCTAAATAATGATTATAATTTGTACTTCATGATATATTTCATAAAATTGGTCAAACAGTTCATGAGCTGAAATGATGTTATGATTTAACAACCTGAATTTGCTATTACCTTACTCTAACATTAGTCAAAAATAATGTGTAAGTTGGACAGTGACAAGGTTTATAAGTAACACATGTTCCAGACAACTTAATCAACTAAGTTTCAAGTTCTCATCAACCCGTTTATTATATATTCCTAATACCTTATGCTGCATAACAGCTTTATTATTTCGGTAATCTTATAGTCACAGATTAATATTAATATCCAGTAGATTATCTCTTTATAAAGTTCGTCACAGATGGTGTTAGTTACATAAAACCAAGTAAGATTTCCGCATCATACCCCAGATCAAAGCATATCTGATGTGAGCATAGAAACAAAGAAACCATGACAAAAAACGGAAGCTAGTTTTGGGGCCGTTATTTCCCTTAATTCAATACTAACATTTAGCTTTGACCCTGGTTATTTCTATAACCCATAAACTTTCGTTTGATGGATGATTCCAAAGTAATTGTAATTTAAACATGATGTTTTTACTTCATTTTCCCACCCTAATGGTTAGTTTGGACATAATTGTATTTTCCCGATTGTTTGTGCGTTGTGGTCTTGTTATTCAACTATTTATTCATGCATCTTTTTACATTAATTCGAATCAGGGATCAATCAAGTAGTGTTCCAGTTGACTCGTCTAGTATGGTGTTCAATTATATATTAGGCAATAAGTCTTTACTTTTGATAATGTAATAAGAAGACGAAGATTATCAGAACTATGTGATGATATATTAGCGCAATACATTTCGAACAATCTAATCACACATATACTTGTTAAGAACATTTATATATAAAAATAAAAGGTCAACTAGACTGGAAATGGGGTAAGAGGAGACAAGGATAATAATAATAAGAGTGATGATAATGATGTGGAAACAATTTGAAACCTAATCACTTTGGATAATAAGCCAAGATCACTAGGGTAAGTTTAAGGTGAGAACAAACTGTTTTTGAATACACAAAGGGAGTTTGAATTTTTGTATTATCAAAGAAAGAACAAGGTGCATGCTTCATCCAAAACCTAAAAGACATGAAAACGATTGTATCACATTCCACTGTGTTTACCAATTTAAATGTGTGTGTGGTCACAAATACATAGGAAGAAGCAACCATGATCTGATAATCTTCGTCTTCTTATTACATTATCGAAATTTATCAAAGGGACTAATTACTTTAAATTTCTGTTTGTTTAGTTGAAAGTCAGGGACAAACAATGAATCAGTTTTTATTCTCCTACGTCAAACCATCTAATGAATGGATAGTCAGTTATAAATAACATTAACCTCAAAATAATAAACAAAACTAAACTGGTAAGATAATTGTTATTAAACATATAATAACTATTTATTTTACCTGCATTAATAATAATCCAACAATAAATGCGGAGCCTTGACAATAGCCCACTTCTGGGTCATGAATTGAATACGCTTTGATTACACGGAATAAGCTTTCTTGACCACAACCGTTCTGTGAAAAATATATATGTATGCAAAAAGAAATATAATTGTGAACAGAGACACAGGGAAACCATGACAAACAATGGAAGCTATTTTAGGGAAAGTTATTCCACTTAATTCAAAGCTTGTAAAATATTAACATTTAGGTTTATTCCTGGTTATTTCTACATATAAAAGAATAGCATTCGAATAACATAATTAGCACATGATAGATAAATCAGCCTACCACACAGGACTTAAATCTGAAAGTGTATATTCACCTGTTGAAATTATTGAATTTCCAATAAAGGACTTAATTAGTGACTATCCTGTTGATTTGAAGTTTAACATTTTACCGCCGAATCTCCACACAAGAGTTATTCTTTATATTTATCGCTATAAAAGACGATATTTCCTTATTGATCACTACCTCTTATGTGTTAGACTTTTGCTCTATCTGCAAGGCCATTGTGTATGTACTTGTACAAATATGTTAATTCCTTAAGTATGTCGTTTTACGTTCCAACTAAATAAACTTTCCTTAAAAGATTATATTTCGGAGTGGAAAAAGTTAGAAGGAGAGAAACCGTTGTGTCCAGGTATCGAAGTGATACCAAGAGTTCTATCAGTCAGTCAGTAACAACGAGGAACTTCGTACGTACGTACATCAGTTCGAGTTGCCACACCACATTAGCATACATATACAATTGTCCATTCAAATCCCATAGTGGTAGAGGTGGTAAGAGTATAAGCAGTAATCAGAAACACTAGAGTTTGAAGATGTTATTCAAGGAATATAATCCAGTGAAATAAATTTGAACTCCGCCTGGAGTCCCTCCGGGGGCTACTGCCGGTCCCAAGCCCGGATAAAGGAGGAGGGTTGGGCATGGGGTTAGCGTCCCCATCCCGTAGAAAACTAACTCGCTAAAAAAACGCTAACCAGAAAAAATTATTCAAACCTTTTAAACTCTGCCCTGGGAGTCAGAAGATCTTCATTTAGAAGAATTATGACGCCTCATGATGAAAGCCGAATCCCTTCGGAAGTTACGAGGCCGATGCCCCTTCTGACAACCAGAGCAACCATTTATTTAGGTACATGGAATGTTCGTACAATGTGGGACACCGGAAGAGCCTTCCAGATTGCTGCAGAAATGAGAAGATACAACCTAGAGGTACTTGGGATCAGTGAAACACATTGGACACAAGTTGGACAACAACGACTAACTACAGGAGAGCTCCTGTTATACTCTGGCCATGAAGAAGAAAATGCACCACATACACAAGGAGTTGCATTGATGCTGTCCAAACAAGCGCAAAATGCACTTATAGGATGGGAATCTCATGGACCAAGGATCATCAAAGCCTCCTTCAAAACAAAGAAAGAGGGCATTTCAATGAACATCATCCAATGCTATGCGCCTACCAACGACTACAATGAAGAGGCTAAAGATCAATTCTACAATAGGCTGCAGTCAATAGTCGAGAAGTGCCCAGCAAAGGATCTGACCATTCTGATGGGAGATTTCAACGCCAAGGTTGGAACGGACAACACTGGATATGAAGACATCATGGGACGACACGGACTGGGAGAAAGAAACGAAAATGGTGAGAGATTTGCAAACCTATGTGCCTTCAATAAACTGGTCATGGACAGCACCATATTCCCACATAAACGCATACACAAAACCACATGGACTTCACCGGATCACTCTACACAAAACCAAATCGACCATATTTGCATCAACAAAACGTTCAGGAGGACTATAGAGGACGTGAGAACCAAGAGAGGAGCTGATATACCATCAGATCATCACTTACTGGTCGCCAAGATGAAATTGAAACTCAAGAAGTACTGGACAACGGGGCAGACAGTACCACAAAAGTTCAATACGGCCTTTCTCCAAGATACTAACAAACTCAACAAATTCAAGATAGTCCTCAGCAACAAGTTCCAGGCCTTTCACGATCTACTCAATGGAGAAGGAACTACTGTAGAGAGCAACTGGAAGGGGATCAAAGAGGCAATCACTTCAACATGTCATGAGGTCCTGGGTCACAAGAAGCACCACCACAAGGAATGGATCACTGTTGGTACACTGGATAAGATTCTAGAAAGGAGGAACAAGAAGGCAGCGATCAATAACAGCCGAACAAGAGCAGAAAAAGCCAAGGCACAAGCTGAATACACGGAAATAAACAAACAAGTGAAGAGGAGCATCAGAACCGACAAACGTAAATATGTGGAAGATTTAGCAATGACGGCGGAAAAGGCTGCAAGAGAAGGAAACATGAGACAATTGTATGACACGACAAAGAAACTCTGGAAATCGCCGCAAACCAGAACGACCAGTGAAAGGCAAGGAAGGCAAGGTAATCACCAACATTGAAGAGCAACAAAACAGGTGGGTAGAACACTTCAAAGAACTCTTGAATCGACCAGCTCCACTGAACCCACCCAACATCGAAGCAGCACGCACGGACCTCCCAATCAATGTTGGCCCACCAACAATTGAAGAAATCAGCATGGCCATCAGACAAATCAAGAGTGGCAAAGCAGCAGGACCGGACAACATCCCAGCAGAGGCACTAAAAGCAGAAGTAGCGGCAACTGCACGGATACTCCACATTCTCTTCAATAAGATTTGGGATGAGGAACAAGTACCAACAGACTGGAAAGAAGGACTACTGATCAAAATACCGAAGAAAGGCGATCTCAGCAAGTGTGATAACTACAGGAGCATCACTCTTCTCTCAATACCGGGAAAAGTCTTCAACAGGGTATTGTTAAACAGGATGAAGGACTGCGTAGACGCCCAACTTCGTGACCAACAGGCAGGATTCCGTAAGGATAGATCGTGTACAGACCAAATCGCAACTCTACGGATAATTGTGGAACAATCAATTGAATGGAATTCATCACTCTACATCAACTTCATTGACTACGAAAAGGCATTTGATAGCGTGGACAGAACAACACTATGGAAACTTCTTCGACACTACGGCGTGCCTCAGAAGATAGTCAATATCATACAGAACTCATATGATGGATTACACTGCAAAATCGTGCATGGAGGACAGTTGACAAAGTCGTTCAAAGTGAATACCGGTGTTAGGCAAGGTTGCTTACTCTCACCCTTTCTCTTTCTCCTGGTGATCGACTGGATCATGAAAACGTCAACGTCTGAAGGAAAGCGCGGGATACAATGGACATCTAAGATGCAGTTGGATGATCTAGACTTCGCAGACAATCTGGCCCTTCTATCCCAAACGCAACAACAGATGCAGGAGAAGACGAACAGTGTGGCAGCAGCCTCAGCAGCAGTAGGTCTCAATATACACAACGGGAAAAGCAGGATTCTCCGATACAACACAGAATGCACCAATCCAATCAAAATTGACGGAGAAGATTTGGAAGATGTAAAAACCTTTACGTATTTGGGCAGCATCATTGATGAACAGGGTGGATCTGATGCAGATGTGAAGGCGCGGATCGGCAAAGCAAGAGCAGCATATTTACAACTGAGGAACATCTGGAACTCAAAGCAACTGTCAACCAACACCAAGGTCAGGATTTTCAATACAAATGTCAAGACAGTTCTACTGTATGGGGCAGAAACCTGGAGAACTACAAAAGCCATCATCCAGAAAATACAGGTGTTTATTAACAATTGTCTACGCAAAATACTTCAGATCCATTGGCCGGACACTATTAGCAACAACCTACTGTGGGAGAGAACAAACCAGATCCCAGTGGAGGAAGAAATCAGGAAGAAGCGCTGGAAGTGGATAGGACACACATTGAGGAAAGCACCCAACTGTGTCACAAGACAAGCCCTCACATGGAATCCTCAAGGTCAAAGGAAAAGAGGAAGACCAAAGAACACATTACGCCGGGAAATGGAGATAGACATGAGAAAAATGAACAAGAATTGGATGGAACTAGAAAAGAAGGCCCAGGATAGAGTGGGTTGGAGAATGCTGGTCAGCGGCCTATGCTCCATTGGGAGTAACAGGCGTAAGTAAGTAAGTAAGTAAGAAATAAATTTGAAAAGAGAAAAAAGAAAGGGACATGAAGAATTTAGAAGATTAGAGTTTGTGAGAACACAAAGAGTGGATGCACCTGAGCCATTGCAAATAATTTTGAGCCATGTCATTCAAGGTCTCTAACTATCGGTTGCTATCGTCTCGCGGATCCTAACCAGGTACTCTACACCTACCAACAAGGCTCAGTCCACTTGTCAGTGACTCGATGGATTTGTGCCATGTTTTGGCCTGGCCGCCCCTAACTTTTTTTCAACCTACTCCCAAGAGTTCTATACTGACCAATAACTATCTACCAAGTTGAATCACAGTTTTAAGCGGATACTTTGGGAAATGTAAGATAAAATCTTGGCGTCGCTGTGATATTTTCACCTTATTGACTTATTGATCCCACTGAAAATTTAGGATACCTTATTAGCAATACAATTAGAATTTTAGGTGATTGAATCTAACGAATAATTAATTTATAATGAAAAAAGTAGCGATGACCAGCCAATAACGAAATCAATCAGAATTCTTAGGTTGTTGAGGATTAAAATAATTTTACCTGAAGGATCATAATCACTGAACAACTGCCTCATCTTCGTATTGAGACAGCCCAGTGGTACATACAAATGATCCTCCTCCAAGGATCAAATTTATAGTGTTTAAGTCTCTCTCACTAAAAGACCAACGAATTATATTTGCAAATTCACTTCACTTAAGATACACAATTCAAACTTACCAGTTACGTTTTCTTACTAGAAAACATCATGTATTTACCTCGAAACCATTAAAGACTATTTCATAATTATTTAAAATAGTACAACCAATCGAAACTACAACGAAACAATTAACCATAGTACATTGTTAATAATTGAAGAGGTGAATATAATCCAATGTCAACACATAATTATTGATAAATATCAATAAAATTCAATATTGACACGACAAAATCTTTAATTAATTATGAAGAAATTGTAATAGTTAACTTTTTAATGATAATATTAT